TTAAGGTTCTGTCCAAAATCTCTATAGCTCATGGTGATTTCATTACATATAATCAATGAGGCGTCTTGTAATAATTTATAAAAAGGTTTGATATTAACAAGTAATTATTTATCAAGAATCAAGAATCGGCCAACCAAGAACGAGAAGCTGCAATATCAGCCAATATCATGCGGCGACGTCAATGATGCAGGAACAGCAATGATAGCAGTTGAAGCTTTTTTTTTTACAACTTAGAATGGCAAACAAGCTGACGGCTCTCCTGATGGAAAGGGGTAACCGTCGCCTATATACATGAGTAGTACCTGACATGTTCATATCAGCATATTGTTTCCCCCATGCGTTGCCATTCCTGAAAACTCGGGTGTTATTCCCCTGTACCCTGTAAATTCACTACCATATATATACACAGGTAGTCTATATAGATAGATATACATATACACAGATAGTATACCCTGAGAAAGGTCATAGACTACTTTATAGTGCGAAAAAAGTATTGTAAGGGATTAAAAGCGGAGATGAAAGGTTGTATAAAAGTATCGTCATTGTTTAAGTGAAACAATGAAACTTTTTTAGGTTATAATCTAAATATATTTCCTTTATTTGGTCAATTTCATTATACCACGCTGACGAAGTCGCGGACACACCTAATATACATATAAGGATGGGACCTTTAAATCAAAACAAAGCATTTAAAACACAACTATTATATATAAATAAAACAATTATTTGCTAAGTATAATATTTAGAACAAGTGAATATGGCAATAATGTATCCGACTCTTATAATAAATTATATTGTATCTATTAATAAATAAACTGAATTAATATGTAAGAAGACTTAATTAGTAAATTTATGTTATAGTAATTTCATATTCTTGTCCTTATCCCAATTATTTGTTACTCATATTACTTAAGGTTTTGGCTTTTAGTTGTACAATCGGCCAGCATCCTGACATCAACCCTCTAGGAATAATATAATAAAAAAATATGGTCATTATTAGCACTTTGATAATTAAGATAAATCACGTTATTTAAAAAAATCCAATAAGTAGTCTCAGTTAAGTAGAAACATATCACATTATTAATTAAAATATTATAAGGATCAAAATGGTTCATACTAAATCCACACCGATTGCGCTACACGGTTATTTGAGTCTGTGTGCGTGTATTACTGTGTGCACATGCGATTAAACCTAAAGTTGAGCGGCATCACTTTGTAATAGGCCTCTTAAAATTAGTAACTCTTTAAAGGAATATATTAAATAAAAATTACTTAATCATACATTAAATATACCATGAGTTTCTACACACTCTACAATGCTATTGTTACACTAGAAATAATATTCCTTATGTTCATAGTTTTAGAAGTACAGCAAAGTAGACGACGAGTTTACATTCAACTACATTTGTGGGAATTTCTGGATTAATATTAAGAATATTGCAGTACGGTATAACAAAATGTACTCAAGCTCAAGATGAGATCATTTGATTCAAAATGTATGTGGCTAAGAGTAGCTTCTTAATTGAAGGTTAGGTTAAGTTAATAGCTGAGGGATCTGTTAAATCTGTACCTGAATGATCTAAATTATGAAAATCATAATGAGAGATACCTTAGACTATTCTATTTCTAAATCCTTTAATTATGGTGTTTATATTATTTATAAACACTTCTTCTATTACTGTGTGAACTTGAAGGGGAAAATAAGAGAAATAATCGCCTCATAAGAGATGCCAGATGTAGGCCTGCAATAATTGAGGAACTATCAGAAATTGAAGTGAAGTTTCTCACCATGTAAGGTGAAAATTTATCCTGGTGTACAAATGGTTATTTGTAATCGAGGCAAATGCTATATTTCACTTCACTTAGAACTTATAATACCTATATCTATTACACTTTTTTTTTAATAATTGTAAGGTTAAAATTAGGTATATGTATAACATAGAATTTTATTTCTTAGGTTCTACAGTCTAGCTCCTATTAATGCTAGCTTATCACAAAACATGACCAGTGAGGAAGGAAATGGGAAGGAGATTTGACTGTACATTAATTTGGAAGGAAATGTAGGTGTGTAATAAAGTGATACAATGATACATATATTTTATTTTCGATACATAGTTATTTTATACATTTCTATTGTTTTTATAATACAAATTACAAAGTTATATATATTATGTGTTTCTTCCTAACTTAACACAATAGCAAAACCTAAAAAGAATAATAAAGGAAATATTTAGGCAAAGAATAAAGTATATAGAGCACTAAATTATATATGAAATCATTAAGCAAATGTTATGTATTGTATCCTAGGTTATTATTATTTAAAATATTATTTGTTTCAGTAGTCTGCTGAAAAGTCCAGATGCGAGCAACTTGTAATTCAGGATTTTGCTGCCCTACTGATTCTTGAAGAGATATTACAGATGGTTACATCAAAGCCTGTTGTTGAAACTCCTCTGTAGACCTGTAATAAAGATATTTGTTTTAGTAAAAATTAATGAAAATAGGTAGATGTTTGAACAGACGTCTTTTATTGCAGAGCGCAGTGACAGAAGTATTATAATAATAAAAATTATATAAAGAACATCATGTTTTGAATATGGATAAAAAGAATATAAAAACTGCCAGTGACTCTCATTGTAGGTCTAGCAGTTTTAATATATCTATTATTTTTAATAAGTATACAACTAAAATTTTGATTTTAATACCTACCTAAGTCATATTTCCTCAGTTGTATTTTCCAAGTGTGATCATAGCAGATGATTATTCCATATAAAGTAATCATGGCATGCTCCTGGAAGATTAGCAATACATTATACATTAGTAAGTTATATGTTATAAATATTTACTACATAGAATGTATCTCATTAAAGTGCTAAATGCATTATCCTACTTATGAATAATCATAAATAACAATAACAACCTATACAACAGCAGTGGGATATGCAGCATGCAGCAGTATGGATGCTATATTAAAACAATTCAATGAAACAAGTACAAACTATTGGTAATCACTTAATAAAATTAATTATATACATTACACAGTAGCAGTATTGTAACCAAATAACAGTGATAGTGATACATAAATAAGAAATATAATAAGTTTTTCTACCTACATTCATTCTTTTAATTTAAATGGCTTCCACCAAATGAGGTCGGTGATTTTGCCAATGTCGTGGTTTGGGAGACACAGTGGTGTGGTTTACGCTTTTCTTGACTGTTTTCGTAAAAGGACTGTTTCAATTGGTATATTCACTTATAAATTCTCCATCTTTTAATATGAAAAGGTTATTAATTTCATCTATTTATTGTCTCCATTCAATGTTCGCTCTCCAAATATTTAAATAAGTCATACTTGTCGTACATCTATAATGCAAAAAATGTTAAACTGAGTAAGATATTTAAAGTATTTTCACATGTCCATTGCACGATTTTAACACTGATCATATCCGAGTTTTTGTATACAAAAAACCTCTATTTTACTAAATAAATTCCAATATTGAAGCGCCATTCATATTTGCCACTTGTTAAAATGGTAATAATGCTATGCAATATGGTCGTAGCTCCTCAAATATCCACTTAAAAACAGAAAATAATTCTGTAAAAGTCACTCGTATAGTAACTTTTTCAAGATTGCTTTATTTGACGTAACAGCCGTGCAATAACGTCAATATGCAGTCAATTGGCTGTATGGGCTGAGTCCTTTTGCCTTTCCCTAAAAAGGGAAAAACCGAAACAAAAAAAAAAAAGATGCAGTCAAATGCGACGTCATGGTACGAATTGTTTCAAAATGTTCGTACAAAAAAAAAGTTGAACGGTTTACGAAAACAATCCTGTATATAAGTTGTATTTTTAATTCGACGAAGTCAACTGACGTTTACTGTATTGTCAGTATTTGATGAAATAAAAATAGTGTTGTGACAAAGTGAATAATTGAAAAAACTCCTGAATTAATGAAATTGCCTCGATTGTCTAGACTAGTGAATAGTTAGTGTTACCACAGATAACATCACCTGCGGATATCGGGTACGGGGTTCGAATTTTAGCTGTGCTTTATACATACCAACAAGTTTTGCGAGGAAACTTTTAAGACTGTCCTATTTACAATACATCATGTAGTTAAAACTATAGATGTATAATATATAACATAATATAGTTAGGTAATAAAAATAAAAAACTTGGCTTATTACAAAATTTGTTTTTATTCATCATCAGATAAAAAAATCATTGTTGCTTTCAGTGACATTAATTATGAATTTCTCTGAAAAATTGTCAGTAATTTGTCTTTGAAACAGTGTTCCGGTCCACGTTTCTCCGGAGACTTAAATTACTCATTTTCTTTGTATTCTTTTAATACATTGTATGATGATGAATAAAAACAAATTTTGTAATAAGCGAAGTTTTTTATTTTTATTACCTAACTATATTATGTTATATAGTTAGGTAATAAAAATAACATAATATAGTTAGGTAGTTTCAACTACATGATGTATTGTAAATAGGACAGTCTTAAAAGTTTCCTTGCAATTTTTTTCTTTATGTTTAAAATACTCGGTATTCAGTATAGGTATATACTATAGGAACATAGTCGTCGAAAGCCCATACCCGATATCGGCCGCGGCAGTTCGGCGGACTAACTATTTACTAAACTAGACAATCGAGGCAATTTCATAAATTCAGAAGTTTTTTCAATTATTCACTTTGTCACAACACTATTTTTATTTCATCAAATACTGACAACACAGTAAACGTCAGTTGACTTCGTCTAATTAAAAATACGACTATAGCAGGCCTGCTATAAGGAGCTCGTAGTACCCTTAGCAGAGCAGTTTTGTTTAAGGCCTGCTATAAGGAGCTCGTAGTTAGCCTCCTGTAATTCCTATTAATTTCCTATAATGGAGCAACACTGTTGAAAATTTGCAGTAAGCTGGCAACATAGGTAATGTCAAATTTGCCCCGAGAAAAAAAAAGATATGATGACGGTACGAATGAGACAAAAAGAAAATACTTTGTTGGTGTATAATATAATATCTCGTGAGAATTAATTTTCTTGTTAACTTTTAGCATTACATGATTAAATTTTATAATTCAATTATGAATAGCAAGTTGATTCGTATATCTGTTTTATCTAGGGTAACATCACAAAGTAATCTAAATCCAAATTTCAACCGTTTTTTTACTAATAAAATAGATGATACGGTTACGCATACAGGCCAGGTACAGTTCTATAATTATATATTAATTTTATTTCTTATTATTTAACATTTCTTTATTATATTATTACTTTAAATTTTAAAGTCAAGATTATATATATTTGAAATTATGTCTTACATAATCACATACGAAACCCTTACATACTTTAGTGAAAATGGTAATCTTTTCCTGGCTGCGGTGACGGTATACAATAACGGGGAAATAGGAAAGTGATAAGATAACAATGAAGTCTGGTTAGGTTTCCCATATAAAATAGTTATTTTATTCTCCTGTGTAAAATTCTTCAGGAATTAATGATTTTGGTTTCTAAGTCACCTCCATGTAATGTACCAAAAGTAGTTAATTGCTTGCATTACATAAAGACAAAGTTTTTAATAATGGGTTGCCCCATTATAACAATTTCTTTCCCTAATTGTTTATGACAGTAAATTCATGGAGTTATCATAATCAATGTATTTCCATAAAATAGAGTCATAGCTTTTGTTGTATATAGGATTAGATATAATAATAATAATAGTCCAAGACAATTCACACAGCACATGTAGTCTCAAGCAAAGCAGCTTTTGTGTTATAGATACTAGACAACTGTTAGAAATAATATGTTTGCTCTTGCTAATCTCTGCAACAGCTGAATAAATTATGACAGGAATTTCACGCAGATATCGCAAGGGTATGTGTATACCCTGGGTAGGTGTGGTAGCAGTGAAAGATGATGTGATGAGAATGAATGCAGGGTTAATGACCCATTGTAGTATATACATCAGGATTAAGGAGAATGGTTATCAGGGAGAACTGTGTGGAGGTTAACTTAATTGGGAATATTGCTAGCAATTAGGTCTTATATAGGTTCCCCATTGCTAACTATCCTTTCCCCTGTTATCATTAAATTATGGTATGAGATGTTCAGACTCTCTGAGATAACAATTTAACATACATAAACATAAATAAAAAAAAAAAGTAAGAGCCGTATATACTCGCATGTGTTTAGTGAAGAGCTGTTGATTTAAAATTACAAACAGATATTTCAATTTTATTTATTTGTATAGTGAAATCCTATGACTAAATGGTAAAAGAGCATTAAAAAGGATATTTTTTTAAATTTATTTGTTAATTAGGGCCTATATATCTTCTAATTCATAATAATTAAAACAATACCAATTCAAGAAGTTCTACAGATGTCAATTGTGAATTTGTAGTTAAATATTACTATTTAATTTTCTTAAATTAAAAAACCCAATATATTATAGAAACTGAATACAATCAGATATTTTGGTGTCAGTAATTTTACATTTACTTACATTTTTTTTTTATTTATGTTTATGTATGTTAAATTGTTATCTCAGAGAGTATGAACAACTCATACCATAATTTAATGATAACAGGGGAAAGGATAGTTAGCAATGGGAACCTATATAAGGCCTAATTGCTATATTATTATTACAATTTCTTTCAAAATGCCTATGTAAATTGTATGTATACAACAATATCAAAATCATATATACAGGACCTGTAAATAGAATCTACATAATTTGCTTTCAGAAATGGGATTCAGATGATTATAGATTGGTTAGATTTACTAATGCACCAAAGCAAGTGAATCCCAGTTGGGCAATAAATTTAATAGCTGAAGTACCACCCAAAGAAGTGACTGAAAGAGTAGTATGGTGTGATGGTGGTAGTGGCCCAGAAGGACATCCACGTGTCTACATTAATTTGGTAAAATTTATTCTAAAATCTATATTTGATGAGTTTCTTGTTCTTTTTGTATTATTACGGGGCTAGACTAGAATAGAATAGAAAATCATTTTTAAAAGTCCTTTTGAATAGTCATCATATTTTTTTTTATCTACAGCTCATTCGGAAAGCTGTCTCATCGCAAGAAGAATGAGCAAAACACTTGAGTGTTGCTCTTTTAAATAATTTTATTGTTACTTTACAATTTAAGTCTGTGAATACAAACTACCGATTAGCACTAATTCAATTAAATAATCAACTACTACTTCGGCTACTAAGTGATATCCACTGTTTCGCCTTATTCACTTCGATAAGTGCTAAAACCTAGCCAATAATTTCGGCTACATTATACACTGCGCCGTGCGCGCTATGACGGTTGTCTAATGCAACTTCTACTTCATATTGATATATAGAGCCTTTTTTTGTTGTAGTTATTAGTGTTTCATTTGGTTCCTATAAGATTGTGTAAATGTTAAATGAATATGTTCTTCACAGGATAAACCAGGTGACCATTCTTGTGGATATTGTGGCTTACGGTTTGTAAAGAAAGATCATCACTAAGCGAAACTAAAATATTTGACCTAGCTATGTGATCACGATAAAGTAGTACATAAACACCAAGAATGTTACTTCTAATTACAAGAATTTTGTTTTAACTTCTAATATACAAATTGTAGATACAAAAGAATCTAATTAAAAAGTAGTTTTAAGTTGATCTTGTTTAATTTAGTATATACACAAATGTTGATATGGGTTCTAAAAAGAATCCAAAGTGGAAACATTAGACCAACAATAATTACTATTATCGTCTTAGAAATTTGCGCACGATTCATCCGTCACGTTCGCGGGCTTGTCGAACAATGCCTTTTTTGTCCGAGCCACTGTTCGTAGGCCGCCATCTTGTGCTCCACTACTCTCAAAACCGAAAGTAAAAACGCATTCATCTTTTAAATTAGGAAGGAATACCGATGCTTAATATATTCAAATAGCCTAGCTGTTCCCGCGTGGAATAGTGCCATGGATAGCATTTTTAATTATTTAGGCTACTTTACAAATAAGACACTACCTTTTGAGAAATAAAATAAACAAAACAATGATACCTACTACAAAAAACTTTCATCGTTCTAGATTCAAAATTGATAAATAATGTTTACAAACTTTTATAATGTTCATTCTTTCAAGTTATATTTTATTTAGTGTAACTTTAAAAATTACTGCTTCAATACACCCTACCATACGCATTTAATCCGTTAATTAGAATAGAATAGAATAGAATAGAATAGAATAGAATAGAATAGAATTTTTTTATTAACTCGTTTTTACAGTAATAACATAAGAAATACAAGAATAATTTACACATTAAAAAACGGAGTCAATGTGGGCCACAACTCAGCATAATGCTGGAAATAGTTTCCAGCGCTGATTTTCAGTTGGGCCCCCAGTACGGACGCGCAAATATTACAATTAAAAAAAATACTTATACATTAACTTAATAAATCAGATACTATGCAATTAAAATAAACATAATAATATCAAGAGAAAAGTATATACATAATAAAAAGTAAAATTATATATTAATAATCTCAAATAATAATCCTAAAACATTATATACGTAATGGATAAAAGAAAAAATAAACAATTACAAAGAAATAAAATTAAAAAAAATATATATATATATATATATATATATATATATACATGTACCCACAGTGATGCGTACGGTGCATTTTACGTATTCTAATAACGGTATCGCAGTATTAAAATAAAAATATCCATAACACTTGCTCTCTGGTACCAGCAAATAGTTTCAGCCAAGGTAAATGTCGCCACCCACGCGCCTTTAATGAATCCTTTATCGTTATTATCAATTATTTTTTTGAACTTGTAGCAAATGTTCTTTAAAATGCTTTCGGAAAGTATATTTTGTTTTCACTTCACGCATAGGTGGTGGGAGAACATTCCATGTTTTTGAGGCCGCTATTTTAAATGATCCCCGGCAAAGAGTAGTTTTATGAATTGGCGTTACAAGAAGAAATGGCGAAGCCCTTGTATGATATCTATTATAACCACTAGCCCACGATAGCTTCTCATACAGATAATCAGGAGATTTCGACTTTATAACGCCAAAAAGTAAAACAGCAAAATGCAACTGCATTCGTGACTTCATTTTAAGAAGATTACTCTTATTCAGATATGGGGTTACGTGCGACCGCGGAGGAATGTTGAAGCAAAAACGCGCGCATGCGTTTTGTACGCGTTGAATAATCCTCTCTGTTTTAGCATTGATGCCTGGTCCATAAACAACATCGGCATAATTTAGTTTAGAAAGGACAAGACTTTCACATATTCTGACACGCAAATCAGTACTTAAATATGGTCTAATGCTATATAGAAGTCTAAGCCTGTAAAAACAATTTCTAACAGCTTCACTAATATGACTTTCAAACTTTAGGTTTGAATCAATTATTACACCTAAATTTTTTGCTTTGGGTATATTTTGAATAATTTTGCCTTCTACTCTAATTTGAGGATACTGATTTTTAATTCGTATAACTTGCCTTTTAGTACCTAATACCATAAATTTAGATTTGTTTGGATTAATTACGAGACAATTCCTATTAGCCCAGGCAGCGATGTATGCCAAATCCTCATTCAACTTTCTTACCGCTTCAGATAAATCGTTTGGATGAGAATGAATATAGATCTGGAGGTCATCTGCATATAGGTGATAATTGCAATGGCGAATACATTTTGTCAAATCAGTACTGTACAAAATGAACAATAGTGGACCCAAAATTGACCCTTGTGGTACTCCTCTTGTGACAGGCAAGCAGTTAGAAGATATTTGTTGACCATCTTCGCTTTTCAACTCAACATATTGGTATCTCATGTGAAGATAGCTTTCAAACCAGCGAACAGTGTCACAGTGGAAACCGTAATAAGACAACTTTGATAAGAGTAGTGCAGAATTTAAAGTTTCGAATGCCCTGGAGAAGTCCAGAAGCACTAGCAAGGTTCCCTGTCCAGAATCCTGAGCTGAGAGTATGTTGTCCATGACATTCAGTAAAGCTGTAGCTGTACTATGCCCTTTCCGGAATCCAGACTGAAGCTTAGGTAGAATATGCTTAGATTCCAAGTATTTTGTCATCTGGTCACTCACTACCCTTTCCAAGATCTTTGATAGAAAAGGCAATATATTTATGGGTCTTAAGTCCTGTTCTTGTGTGGGGTTAGCTGTTTTAGGTATTGGTCTAATCATGGCTATCTTCCACATATCTGGGAAGATACCTGTAGTAATGGAACTGTTTACAATAGCAGTAATTGCATGTAGTAAATGTGGCAGTGTGAGATTAATCATACACCTTGAGATTTGATCTATTCCGTAGGCATCAGAGGTAAATGACTTTAAAATAGTTGCTATGGTGTCCTCGCCTACTGGTTGCAAATGGAATGTACTCGTGCCAAATCTATGAAACTCAAAATAGGTCAAATCGGATATAGTAACTGAATCATTTCCAGGTAAATTTAAAAAGTGATAATTAAGAACGTCTGGATCGCTACATGACTTTGGAAGATCAAGATTATTGTTTATTTTTGGTAGAACTGTAGATCTAAGATTTTGCCATAACTTTTTAGGTTTGTTTAATTGAGAATTAATATTGTTATTAAAATATGCAATTTTTTCATTATGTAAAGCTTGTTTAACAGTAGATTTTAGTTCCTTGTATATTTTTTTATCCCTTTCTAATTTAGTTTTTTTATATTTTTTGTGACTGTTGTTCCGTATCCTAAACATATCTTTAATTGTATCAGTATACCAAGGTGGTAACCGTTCCCTAAATACTCCAGATTTGACAGGGGCGTGCAGATCTAATAAGGCAATTACAAAATAATTGAAGCATTCCACCATACTGTTAACATTGTCCATCTCTGATATACACTTCCAATTGATTGCCTCCAAATCAGGGTTAAACAGTTCTGGTTGAATGTCAGTAAAAGGACGATAACTTACTCTCTGTGGCTTAGGTCTAGAGACTTTAAAGAGAAACTCCGCTGTAATTACTGCGTGACTACCCAACTCCGGTATATGGGATACTGAAATTTTTCTTGCAGCCACATCTGAACAAATAAGGTCTATAAGAGTTTCACTGTGCTCTGTAAAATGCGTAGGTTCTGACACTAGCTGTTCAAGAGAAGTATGATGGAAAAAGTATCCTAATTTAATAGCCTTTGATTCATTGGATAAATTCAGATTGATATTAAAATCTCCTAACAGTATTATGTGATCAAATTCCGAGAAAGAGGTTATAGAATCAGTCAGAGAGTCCAGAAAAATATTAACATCTTGCCAGGGTGGTCTATATGCAGTGCCAATTATGACTTTACAAGTGCCTATTTTTAACCGCAGCCACATTTGTTCCACTGGTGCTTCACTTGGATGAGCACAAGGCTGTACACTGACACCGCGTCTTATATAGAATCCTACACCCCCTCCGCGCCCGCTGCGCACCGACAATGATCTAGGCGTATGTCGTATTCGGTACCCTGGTAGAACAGGTGCTCTAATGTCCTCTCCCTCTTTGAGCCAGGTTTCGTTAATAGCCAACAAATCCAGCTTCTGCTCACTAAAAGCATTAATGAACTCATCATGTCGTGTACCCAGAGAGCCAGCATTAAATAAACCCACTGTAAAATAATGCTTCTTACCCATCAGTATTTATACATAATAAGTAACACCACACCGATGCATCACTCCGAACTATTATGTTATATAGATGTAGGTTAAAAATATTGCTTTTTGTACATATTACATATAAATATATATCTTTAAATAAAATTAATACTGTACTGTTACTCCAAACGAAAAGTCTATTATAAAGAAACGAATTTGGTACTAATTTTCTACTAACGACATACACAAAATTTACATCAATAAATAATATAGAGCCTTGACAATAATGGCAGGACACACAATATAAATTTATAAGAAAATTAAACAAAAATGAATTGTGCTGGTAGTGTGCTACATATTCAAAATTCCAAATTATTGTACAATTTTTCAGCAGCATCTTCGTATTAAGACTTATCCAGTTAGTGATTATATTTATACCTATCCGACACATATCCAATGTATATGTATAGATTTCAACGAACACAAAACAATAGATAACATTTACTAATGTGATCAGAAGTTTATATATTATAGATCCAGGTATAACTCTCGTGTACATATATGTTTCTCTGAATATCTGTGTAAATATACATATATTTATATCGGTCGGTATCTGCGTATGCCATATTCTGTAATTAATGTATATATTGAAAAAAACATTACTGAACTTCTACTTCCCATTAAAACTAATTTAGTATATAATACAAAAAACATGAAATGACGATTGTCTCTTAATTCAACATTGTTGTTACTCCGCTGTAAATGTCTCTGTGCTGGGAGTATGATCTCCAAGAACGCGGTCGAGATCCGCCGCCGTCCTGACACGAAAAATTTGACCACCCGAGTCACGTCGAACGAAAATACGCCCGCCCTTCGCCCAAACGTACCTCCACCCTGCCGCTCCTGCCAGTTCCCGCGCTTTATAGTGAAGTCTTTTGTTGAATTTTGTAAGGCGTTCATTGACATAGAATCTACTTGCTGGGCGCGGTATCTCCAGATCCTTTGTAGTCAGATTGCGACGTACACGGGCGCTACGCATCACGTCATCACGCAACTGCCTTCTGGAAAACTTCACAGCAACTGGTCGTGAACGATTAGATTCTGAGGCAACCTGTCCCTCGGTCACTCCACCTCGCCGTGCTCCCACCCTCGACACACTGACGACGTCAGTGTCCTCTACCTTCATACCCAACTTCTGCATCAGTAAACCGACAGTATGCCCCAAATTCTCCCCATCAACTTCTGGGATCCCAATGATCTCAACCTCATCTGCAAGAAGAGCCTGGTCCCTGTTATTTAATTCATTTTTGAGTTCCTCCACTGCAGCTTCCAACTTAACGATGTCAGCAGAGCCGGGAACGGTTCTTACGCTCTCCAGGTTTGTTACTCTAGCGTCCAGAGACTCCAATCTAGTGCTCTGCTCTCTCAAAACTGCCCTTAATTGTTCCATCTCCTTCCTGACAGCCGCGAATTCACACTTCACTTCTGCACGGAAGGCTCGCATCTCCTCCATAAGATCAATAGATTCTTTGCTGGGAGAGGCGGCCTTCACAGACTCCCGTACTATCTCATCTTTCAATACTTCGCTATGAAGGGATTTCACCGGCGTGTCTGAGTTGTCCCCTTTTGGTTTTTTTGTCTTACACCCAGGACATAGCCATGCAGCAGAAATTTTGCCAGTTTCTCCTACTCCAATACACGCTCGATGAAAAAAGCATCCGCATTTATTACATTTAGCGCCATCTGTTGCTGTCAAGAATCGACCACAAGCAGCACACTTATTAGCCATAACTATTGCTATTACACAGTTCGATAAATAATAATTTAATTGGGCTATTTCACACTAGATGGCTCTGTTTAGTAAATATGCAACAGATTACCACTACAAATTGAGACTACCAGTTGATGCAACAAATCAGCTGATGCGGGTATAATCAAAAACAAAACACCTCGAAGACTTCTTAACACTGTCAATCACACATTTCAAACACAAATTTTTCTTCAGATTCTGTACAATATTTATTTATAACACACACTGCTATTAATCAGAAGTCGTACTTTGATAACTTATATACTTTTCAGTAAAATATCCACTATTACTATTTAAAACCGTAAAAACTTTGAACAGGTCACCACGACTGTTGACGTCCGTACGTCTACCGTAATTCAGCATTGATTCAGTCCCATCACTCAATTCAACCCTTTTTCGCATTATAATGTGTTCCTTCCTCAGGGTCAAGACTATCTATGTATCAAATTTAATTTAAATCGGTTCAGTAGGTAGTTTTGGCGTGAAAACTCGACAGACTCACTTGGGCATTTACAATATTTATTAGGAATCTCGATAGACGACTTACTTGGCATGATCATATTAAGGCTAAAAGAGAACATGCAAATATAAACTTAGAGACATACACTGGCTAATAGGCAGACAATCAGCTCTAAGCCTGGAAAATAAGGCTCTTTCTTATATTGAAATCCATCTTAAGGCCTGTATACGGACATATGGTATAAAGCTATGGGGATTACCAAAATAAAGTGCTGAAGACCATAACCAATGCACCTTTGTAGATAAAAAACAAGGAGATACCTGACTATACAGAAATGATAAAGGTACACGAAGAAATAAAACGTTCCTGTAGCAATAACTCTTTTGGACTCCACGGATTACGTATGCAGCCTGAAAAGGTTACGTTTGGCTACGATTTAACACACCAAATGTATATAAAATACCACATCCAGTAATGTGGTCCACATTACTGGATGTGGTACCTCAAAGCGACAGATAATATCTGATAAAAGTTAATTAGCTGATTGCAGATAGATAAGGAAAAAGGAAATAAATATATATTAAGGATATTTGATGTATCTAGCATCTACACACGAAAATGAAAGGTAGAAAACAAAGAAATGAACAAATCGAAGAATGTGGAGCGTTCATAACAATATAATTGTCGGCACATTTTACAAAGTTTATATATCTAAATAACATAGATTTTTTCTTCAGTGTAAAAAACCAGTCCCCTTTGAGTGCACAAGTTACTAATACCCCAGCACGCAATATAAAACGAAACTTACTAATGTAGTATATTCATTCCACCTAGACACTAAAAAAAGTAGGGACACCTGACCATGATACCCAATGCTACAGTGGTGAGGTGATAACCATTATGCTACAATGGCATTAGTTCATTTTGGTTGCAATATTTGTTGAATAATTTTGAAATGAAATTTAGAAAGACAATATAATACAAATTACTATTAAAAAAAGTGGAGCTACATGCTATTAAAACCCTTAAGTTCTATTAAAAAGGAGTACTTCCTTTTGCACCAGGAATACATAAGACATGTTGCATAACACAAGGGAACTTCAATCTTCAATATTATTTATTGATGTCGTTTTATTTTATTTAGCTATTAGTAACAGTTAATAATTGTATATAATACTAATACTGGTATGTCTATTTTATTTTAAATAAATAATAGTTTATATGTCATTTCCAGAACATCTTTAGTCTGGCATGTTTGATAATGTTTTTTATGTGTTGTGTTCTGATAATAGTTATTTACTGTGATTCATTTGAATTATTTTCATTTCTTAATTCATTTCTGATTTCAATATTAGATTGTAAAAGTTCTTTTAATTTCTCATTAATATCATCAGTTTTTTGTTCCAAGAAGTCCAATGCCAAATTTAATTCATCTAGTTTAGAGTCCAGCATATAATACTCTGTAAAAACAATAATTTATAGGTTAAAAGTACACATTAATGTGATGAATAAACATGTTTAAATCTGATGAACACAGTTTTTTAACATATGTGGAATAAAAAAGCATACATAACTACCTATATCATAATATTAATTCCTGAAAAAAATATATGAAAAATGGATGACAGAAAAAGAAATAGGAAGTTGATTGCAAGGTAGCCCAGACCAAGCATGGAGAAGGGAAACAATCAATATAAAAGTATGGAGTTTATTGAAAAAGGTCTATGTTTTAGAATTAACTAAAAAAAACCGATGTAATATAATGCAACAAATTATAATTAAATGCACCTATATCAGTATTAATTACTAAATATATAAATAAACAAATAATATGTATGTATATATATATATATATATATTTGATGATTTGGTAAACCCAGTATGAAGGATTATAACTTTATTAATGGGCTCAGTAATCTAGTGGTTTCGAAATTGCCTTACTTCCAATAGTAGTGGGTTTGATTCCTCACTTTACCGTTTTGTACTGTACAAACATTTGTATTCATGTCTATGGTTGTTTGTATTGGTCTAGATAATTCCTACATGTTATGTATGTATTAACAAAAACTATACTTATTAGTGAGGTTTGTAAATCTCAGTATACAAGAAAAAGAAGTTCGTTTTTTGTTACTTAGTAAATAAATTTATCAATCTTTACAAAAACCAGCTTGTTTCTCTAATATTTATATCAGTTGTCTAGTACCCGCAATACAAGCACAGCTTAGCTTGGGATTTGATGACACTGTGTTCTGGGTTATTATTTCATTATTATAAAAATTATTAATAGTTGACTGATGAAATTTCCGTGTACCAGGCAAGTAATTCAGTTAATAATTAAGAACTAGATCTATGAATGCAACATGTACAACTGACTATTTGTCATTATAAATGAGTATTTGTTACAATAAATTGTTTTTACCAAATACTAATGTATTTGGTAAAAACAATTTATCTTTAGAAATAACTTTCTTAGTTTGTGTATTACACAAAGAATCCTATAAAATAGATAAGGTGGAGAGCATTTAAGGTAAGAAAAATCTGGCACTTTTAGCGGTAATATAAGAGAAGGGTGATGTTTACTTATGTATAAAAATTTAATACAGGAACAAATCTCATGTCAATTTACCTTCATTTAAATTTTCATCTGTATTTGGTCCTTGGGCCGTTGGTTCTATTTCCATAATACTTTCAGTGTTTTCTTCTTTTGTGATATTATCATCATGACCAGCCATTATATTCTTACTTACAGTTTTGAAAGGTACTTGAAAACCTAGAAGTATAATTATATGTACCAATAATTTATGTCTCTATAGATGTAGTTGAATATAAGTAATTAATACCTTCAAGCACAAGCAGCAGCAGTTTGTGAAACTGCTAAAATGAAATAAATGTATATACAGAAAACAAATTCAAAATTGATTGATTATATAATTATTCTGCAACTTTAATAATCATGAAAAACAAAATTTAGATCGTTTAGAAACAAGACCAAAGATAATTGAGTAGTATATTCTTTGAATATATTACTCAAGAGAACAAGACATTGCAAATATCTAATACTGTCCTGTATAGTTCACGAATGAGCTACTCCGAAAAGCTAGATGAAGTTTTCAGATCTTTTGCTCTTTTGTTCTTTTAATAAAATAAATACATACAATATATTCTATGTAAAGTAAAAGTAAGTTGGTCTTAGTACCACCTATTTAGAAACAAAACAACACTTCAGAGAATATTAATCTCCCAGCGCAAGTTCTGGACAAGGAGGTGAACGAACTAATTCACAGGGCAGCTGTAAATAGGGATGCCAACCGTCTGAGAATCCTCCTCTAGTTCTGAGCTGTCATTCTATCATCCTCGTATAATTACGAGATTTCAATCACACTTGTATTTTTTTTGATCTGACAGTAGACTGACATTTAATAATGACGCTTAGATATAGAATGTTTATTCGGTTAAATTACCTACATCTGTGGTCTTTTAGTCAGATTAAAAAAAAAGTTATACTAAAAAAAAGAAAAATTGTTTTATATATCTATCTAGCCCCAATTTTGTATTCAGTATACCGTAAACAAATTAATTCTACTATATTTTCCCAAATCACAAGCTAACTTAATTATTGATATAGTCATTAATGTACAATCGTATATTTATTACGTAGTTATTATATTTTTCTGTTGTGTGGCATATTTAAATTGGTAAGTTGACTATTTTGTACCAACATGCGGATTAAATGGAGTGACTTTTATTCCTATTTTAAAATATATAAGGCATTCATATAATCATTACTTAAAAAATTGTGCATTAGTTATTTCTATATTTTATACAAAGATGACTCATGGAATCAATGTCTATTGTCGATCTCGATGTCAATGTATGGTGGATCTAATATGTCATTTTTGATGAAAACCTAGACTTAAGTAACTACACAAGAAATTTTATTGCCTTAAAAATTTGTTTAAAATGGTTATTTATTCCAACTATCTTTGTAATGAATTCATTTTAATATTCTTTACATACCTCCTTGTAATGTTTGACATTGGGTTTGTTTTCTTCCATTATTTATTTGTATACATTACAGAATAACTGATGAATTGATGTAGTTTAGAAAAAGTGAAATAGAAAAAACAAATTATAAGTGAAATAGAAATAGAAAGTGAAAATAAGTGAAATAGAAAGCCCTTAAATAACACACATTAAAATACTTATGTTTTACGTTTTACTTACTATTGAACTCTTTTGTCTAAAAGTGACTGAATGTTGCAATACTTAAAATGGTTTAGTAGAATGTTTAGTTTTTATAAATAGATAAGTTTTTAAATAGGTATTGAATTGAAATTGTAGTTTTTGGATAATAAATGTATTAAAATATATAGGGTGTACCCCTAAATATTTTAACCGATTGAACAACTATCACAATTAAGATTTAATATAATGACAGTAGCTGTGCATGCTGTTGCACCCACATGAAATTTATAGACTATAGTCGTATTTTTAATTAGACGAAGTCAACTGACGTTTACTGTGTTGTCAGTATTTGATAAAATAAAAATAGTGTTGTGACAAAGTGAATAATTGAAAAAAATCCTGAATTAATGGAATTGCCTCAATTGTCTAGTCTAGTGAATAGTTAGTGTTACGAACTGCCGATATCAGTTAGTGTTACCACAGATAACATCACCTGCGGATATCGGGTACGGGGTTCGAATTTTAGCTGTGCTTTATACATACCAACAAGTTTTCGACAACTATGTTCCTCTAGTATCTACCTATACTGAATACAGAGTATTTGAAACATGAAGAAAAAAATTGCGAGGAAACTTTTAAGACTGTCCTATTTACAATACATCATGTAGTTAAAACTATAGATGTATAAAATATCTAACATATTATAGTTAGGTAATAAAAATAAAAAACTTGGCTTATTACAAAATTTGTTTTTATTCATCATCAGATAAAAAAATCATTGTTGCTTTTGGTGACATTAATTATAAATTTGTCTGAAAAATTGACAATAATTTATCTTTGAAACAGTGTTTTGGTCCACGTTTCTCCAGAGACTGAAATTGTTCATTTTCTTTGTATTCTTTTAATACATTGTAGACTGAGGTCACACCAATTCCCAAAAAGTTAGCTGTTTTTGAAATACATTATTTTTTTTCGGGAGCCTCAATAGGTAATAGTGATGCAACGTTCTCCTCAAATACGTGTTTGTAGACGTTTTGTATCATAAATTTTTCGGTAACGCTTAAAGCAATCCGTGGTCTCTTCTTTCTTGGAGACAAGCTTTGGCTTGACATGCATGGTTGAGGATCCATTTCCATCCATCCATGAGGAGGATACATTGGTACGAAACAATATAGCAAATATACAATATACACTATTACAACTATTACAACAAACACAACAGAAGGAAAAATTTATCAAAAACAATAACAAAACAGTGTGAGCGCAAAAAAAAGCATTCGTGCTCTCAGACCAGAGGTTAGAAGCCGAATTACGACCGACGCTCGCGACGTTGATCAGTGTTGGCACTAGTGGCTACTAGTGCCACAGCGCGCTTTGTAATAAGCCGTCAAATAACTGATTGTAGTTACATAACACTAGTAACTTATATCAGAGCACTTTCATACAACTTTATTGTAAAATAGAAATAATATTATTTTGTAGTTTGAAATGATTAACTATTCACACTCATTGTTCATTCATCTGACCGAGAACTGAACGCATCACTATTACTTTAAATATGGCAACATTATTTCATAACGTGACATTAGCTACTGTCAGTTAGCTTCGTCTAATTAAAAATACGACTATAAATTTTCATTCAAATCCTTTCAGTAGCTTTTGTTTCAAAGAGACATCCAGCCATCCATGCTCACTCATAAACTTCCATGTTTATAATATTAGTAAGATTTATAGAAATTGGTCAATAATGAATACAATTTTATTTTAGCAAAATGACATCTGGACCATACAACTATTCATATATTTTCAAATATATTATCATTGGTGACATGGGAGTAGGAAAATCATGTCTTTTACATCAGTTCACAGACAAAAAATGTAAGTATTGAATTGATAAAATTTTACCTAATTCATATTAGAATGATTTTTTTTTTATAAATTATGTTTTAGTATTGACACTACAAAATTTTAACTATTAAAATTTGGCCAACTGTCATAATATATAGATAATCTAATAAATAATAATATAAATAATCTATAGATATTTTGTGTATATAATAAGATTTACAAATATTTAAATCACATCAGTTCATGCTAATTCGCACAAACACACACACACAGTCTATATAGGAAAGTAGTCAAACCATATCAGTTGTAAGTACTTGCAAAACAGGTTAACTAAGTCGCATTTTATGTAGTTTAAAAATATTATTTTAATTAATATTATATAGTTATGCCTTTATACATATATGTATATCTATTAGGTTGTTTGGAAAGTAATTTAGTTTTTTCCTAACTTAGGATTGAATTGTATTTTTTGCACTCAACTTCTCACTTAAGCCCTAAGATATATGTATATCTATTAGGTTGTTTGGAAAGTAATTTAGTTTTTTCCTAACTTAGGATTGAATTGTATTTTTTGCACTCAACTTCACACTTAAGCCCTATAATTTTTATATACTGTGAGAGCTCATGTAGCAAGGCTTGTGTGTGAAAAATTTCAATTAATTAGAAGCGTAGAAGCATAGAATTAATTGAAATTTTAAATATTGAGAGGAATAAGCAGCATTTTCGACATATATTACTCTTTTACTACAGAAAGGGCAAAAATGCTGTTCAAGCCAGAAAGAAATTGACCGATGTGTGTGGAGAAGGTGTGTTAACAGTATGCCAGTGCGAGAACTGGTTCGCTAAATTTCGATCAGACAATTTTGATGTCGAAGATGCACCACCATCGGGAAGGCCGGTTGAAGCTGATAAAGGCATTGGTTGATGCGAACCAGTGAATAACATCCCAGGCCTTTCAAGTGGTCATAAATTATTAAATTTGATAAATTTAACCTCAATCCGATCTCACGTGTTGTGTCCTAAGTTAGGAAAAAATGAAACTACTTTCCGAACAACCTAATAGATATTAATTGATACTTGGTGTATTACAAATACAATACATTATTTGGCAGTCCACCTATTGCTGGGCCCTTCCCCCCCCTATACTATAATAAAAATAGTAGTGTTATCTCTGTAACAACAGAGATAACACACAACAATAAACATGAAAACATAAATCTCTATCAATAGATAGAGATTTATTTTTTCATGTTTATTGTTGTGGAATGTATTATATTCTCAATAACTTATTCATATGTGCTCTCAATTTGTTCAAACAGAAATACTGAGAGAAAAATATGTATTCCTAATATATAATTAATTTCAGTTATGGCTGATTGTCCTCATACTATTGGAGTTGAATTTGGGACGCGGATAATAGAAGTAGCAGGTCAAAAAATTAAATTACAAATTTGGGATACTGCTGGGCAAGAAAGATTCCGAGCTGTGACACGATCTTACTATCGCGGAGCAGCTGGTGCACTTATGGTGTATGATATAACGAGAAGGTATGTTCACAATTTTCTGAATTAATGAAATTATAGTTTTAATAGTAATCTAGTAATGAAATACTCATATAGTTAGCGTCATAATATATTAGATAACAAAGTAATGAATAAACTGAAATTAAAAAAATATTCTAGTTCAATCTAATTTAACACGGCGAGCGTAAGGTTGGGTGTGGTACACCCAGACCTAGAAAAATCGATGAATATTGTAATAGCGAATTTTTATTATGCTTCGTGCGCCTAAGTAGCTGCTCGGGAAGAGTTATCGAATCGTCGACTATCACTGTTTAAGTCGACCACCGCTCAAAGAACGGTCTGGACGAGGTTGAAGCTGTCAGTGGGTGTGTGATACCCACCTTACGCTACTTGTAACGAATTTTAACAAACACATTTTATTTTCTTTCTTTTACTTAGTGCATTGTTTTAATTTATTATGATAAAATCTAGAATGTCGTACGAGGACAACTAAAATATTACGCCTTTTTGAAGGAGCTGAAGTCAGTTTTTCTGACGATTCTGGTAGTGAGCAAGATATACATAGTGATAGTTAGTGAAAGAAACTTCGAAAGTTAGATAAAGCAGGAGTTAGATGACGAAGAACAGCATGTAGAATTAGAAGAGAATGATAGCGAAGGTAATGGTAGCTGTTTGTTGGGGAAAATCGGTACGAAATGGTTAACAGGTCAGGTCCAATTGTGTACCAATTATGACGCAATATATAAAGATGACCAGGGGTAATTTTTTATTCAATTTTGAATATGTCAGGAATAAATAGCATGATAATCATTACAACCAATGTCAATTCATCAGTGAAATGTCGAGATTTCATTATAGTCCTGGGAATATAATTGATTTGAGAACATTTACGAAATATGAAAGAAAATCAAAAGTTGCCCACAGAACTTCATAAAAAATCCAAAAACATGCTGGAGAAGCCTCACTAGAACCACTACAAAAGTAGCTAGATCTATATAGAAATGTGAAATACTATAAAAAAAAGCTTAAATACGTTTTATTAGCAGTGCAGCCCTTATCTATGTATGGAACATGCCATTTACGTCTATAAAAAATGCACAAAATCTCAAGATGAATGAATATTTTTTTATTATTTTTATGACCATTATTTTGTTTTCATATATAATCTATTAAAAGAAAAAATACTATATGTGGTGTTTATTTTCATATTTTTGACAGAAAGTGATAATAATTTGCCTTAACTAATAAATGTATGTACGAATTGTTAATTTTGTATTTCATAAAGAAATAAGAATAATAATAATTTTTTTTTTATTTCACCCTTAAGTTAGTTCAATATAGAAGTAAATATTCGTTTAGTATTCAAGAAAGCAGGTATTAGTAATAATAGTATATAAAAACCACACAATTACTATCTGCGTGTACCACACCCACCTAGCGCTCTGTGTTACATTTCTAACCTTACGGTCGCCGGGTTTATTTATGTGTAGTAATTATCAGGGTGAGAAATATAATGGCTGGTATGGTATTCATTTATTTTTATTCATATAAATATACTTATGTGAATATAATATAACTAGATGAAAACCCGGCTTCGCTTGGGTAGATATTTCGGTAGTCATCGGTTCTCAAAGAATATTAAAGGTAAGCAAGGCATAGATTCGTAAAGCTTCGTTTATTGTGTTTAATAAATACTATAGTAAATAATAAGTGCAAAAGTATTTATACAAATAATTTTTATTTTAAATCAACATTCTAAATAAATTAACAAAAAATATAGCTTTTAAGGTTTATTCTCTGTTAACCTCTTTGTTATAAGCACTCTCTACTTTGCCAGATATTTAAAACCAATTGCTTCATCTAAACATCTTTCCCATTCTTGATCGTCATTTTTATTCTTTTTTTTCTTTATTTAGTCCGCGCGACTCTCCGGGATTTGCAGAGTTCCTAGTTTTGTCGCTCTTTCAGTACGACGACGTGGTCCACCACCGTCCTTTTCCCCTTCTTCCTCTTTTTCTACCCATTTCCACTTCCTTCCAACCTTCCCTCTCCCCCGCGTTAGCCATGTGCTATGCTCCCACTCAGGGGTCGAGCCCCCATAAACATGCGGGGCTCGGGGCTACAGGGACACCAAGTACCTAGCTTAGTAATTAATTTGTAAGTGCCATACTTGGTTATAGTTTGTTTTTTAATCCGGAAGACTAAATTGACAGGTTTAAATGTCAGATTTTCAAATAATGTTACCACCTCGGCTGTATGGGTGCAGTTCCCTTTGCCTTTCCGATTAAGGATAAACAGAACTAAAAAAAAAATGTTACCACGATTTATTTTATCGGAAACTTATTCTAACAAATTAGTTTTAAAGTTTAATATGACGTTTCCATAACAGAATTTTATAATTTACGTACATATACTAATGTTTCCACTACTGTCGTAGTGTTATACAGAATAAAAATATATTTTTGTCGTTTCCGTACAAATAATAATTTTTACAGTATCAATCTACAAACCAACATTTTTTTTTCTTACAATCAGTTAAATAATATATGACACTATGAAAACGTAATTTATTTTATAAAAAAGGCAGTTAGTCTTTATTTTAGTGAAAAATAACAAAATCTATTTTGATACAACAACCATATATTTATTAATACCTACCTATACTTTATTAATTTTGTGTTATTGCTTTTTAAATAAACACCCACACCTTATTTCCGTATAACTTATAAAAATGGGTAAATAACATTAATTTCCAACAATGCCACAATCTTATTTAAAAAATGCAAATACCTGGCGTTGATTGGTTGTTAGCTAGTGACATGAAAAGAGTTTGTTTGTCAGTGTCATTAGAATTTAACGAAATAAATAGAAATAATATTGTCGACTCGAAATGAATATTTTTTGTTTTGTCATTCACATAAGGTTTCGTTTGAGTCTACCGTACCCCTTGACGAAATTATTAATGTAGAAGATATTATATCATATATCATATCATATCATATCATATCATATCATATCTATGTGGCGTTTTTTTTTTTCAGTTTGGCAAAATCTGCAGATTTTTGTTGCATAGGCCTAGGTTTGCCATATGTTTGTTTAAATGGGGGTGTCCTGTGAGGGCTATAGTCATCATGCATATGTTTTGCCTCAATAGCAATAGTCTATTGGAGTATTTGTTCGAGAGCCAGATATTAGGGTTTTTTAATTGTACCAATCCTGACATTTCCTGCCAGTGAGTCCATGTTTCTCGTTTGGTTATTATATCAAGATGTCCCAATTTTAGGCAATGAGGCACGGCACAAAATAGTTCGGGACCCAGTGGGGCAGTATTTTCATTGCCTTCAATGTTTGAGTGCTCAGGGACCCATCTCAGTATAATATTGTTTTTGCTTACTTAATTGTACTTACCTACTTCATTTAGTAGCAGGATACAGTTTCTAATATTAGATCGGATTTCGTACAAGTGACATGCTAGAATTACAGTTTGATTGACTGAATAAATGTATATGTTCTGATTGATATAGTCATGTTTATAGTTTCAAATTTTGAGTTTTACACCACATGTTCCACATCCTACTTCATCTCCTATTTTGGATCCATCTGTGAACCAAACTAGGTCCTGCTCGGTCAGTAAGTCGGTGTATGGTTATTTTGTCATTCGTCTCTTCCAGATGTTTCAATTATGTAATATTGTGCAAAGTTACATTCTGGTGCCATGTTGTCTTCTGGAATTCCCAGAACAGGATCACTCGTTATTGAGTCATGTATTGTTTTTATAGCCAGGGAATGCCAAGAGATCCTCCTTTGGGAAATGATTCAGAGCATATTGGCTTTTGCCTTTTCCTGTATAAATAAAGGTAGGGGTGTCAACTCCGATAATGCGTCTAGAGCTGCTCCCGGTGTGGTGCTCATGGCTCCTGTAATAATCAGACAAGGAATTATCTGTAGGCTATTTATCAGCTGCCAAGCTGTGGATTGGAGTCTTTCTACCACCAGATTGCGCAGGCGTAGGTGGTAAGCGGTCTTACCACTGCTGTATAAAGCCATAGGGCAATAGTGGGGCCCAGATGGGGAATCAACGCCAAAATTGTTTTGGGTTGATTCCCCATCTGGGCTCTGTTACCCGTGGGCTTATTCCCATAGATATTTTTGCCTTTTGTGTCTATGTGTGTTTTCCATGTCAGTTTTTGGTCGAGGGTTACGTCCAGGTCATAACAGGACTAGAGTATCTAATACCACCGCATAGGCTATGCGGACAGACAGTTTGGGGTAGTGAGCGTTACAGGTTGATAAAAGTGTAATTAATATAATATTTTAAAATCAGTGATTATTTGTTAGTCTAGCTAAAACTAAAATTTTACTAAAATGGAAGGTCTTGTTGACGTGACGTGGTTTATTGTTAGCTATTAAGCCCCCCTCCTAAAAGTAACTAGAGATTTTTTTTTGTGTCGACAGATATAACTTCACGATCTCTTGAGTGTAAGTCATGATCTGGTTGGAAACCACTAGGTACCTCACTCACTACTTATGTAATTTTTTATCTAATTTTCCAGATCCACTTATAACCATTTAAGCAGTTGGCTCACTGATACTCGTAATTTGACCAACCCAAGCACTGTGATATTCTTAATCGGTAATAAATCTGATTTAGATGGTCAAAGAGATGTCACATATGAGGAAGCGAAACAATTTGCTGATGAAAATGGCTTAATGTTTGTTGAAGCTAGTGCCAAGACGTTAGTATCAAATATTAGTATATTAATTATTTTTATTTAAATAATTGTTGATGTGTGGTACTAGCCATGGTCACAAGTTAACTGGAATACTTACACAGAAATGATATTGTTTTGTAATCTATACATATAATTAAATTGGAGTGTCTGTTTGTAATATTTAAATAACGGTTTTTAATACATGCATTTTAATATAAATACGGTACATACGCCAAAATAACATTTTTTATTATTTTTGTCTGTCTGTCTGTTTGTTGCGGCTAATCTCTGGAATGGCTGGACCGATTTCGACGGGACTAAAATGGCAAAAATGGCAGGTCAGCTACCTACCAAAAATAGTCCCGCCGAAATCGAATGTTATAAGGAGTAACTTAGGCTACTTTTATTTTAGAAAAATAAAGTTAAATTCCACATGGACGAAGGCGCGGGAACAGCTAGTAAAAAATATAATTGTCATTATGAAAATAGCTCCAGTAATTTTATGCTGCGGGGATTTTAACCATCAGATAATTTGAAGATGCAAATGTTAACGATTAACCTATCTTCAATCTAGACCCTGTGATAATACCATGACATGTGAAGTCATGGTATTTTATAAACAAAAAAATAGAAAAAAGATAATATTTATGTATATTAAAATACTGTTAGTAATTATCTAAAAATTTGTCTATTTAAGGGGTCAAAATGTGGAAGAAGCATTTCTGGAAACTGCGAAGAAAATCTATCAAAGTATTCAAGATGGGCGCCTGGACTTAAATGCGGCGGAGTCTGGAGTACAGCACAAGCCGGCATCTCCGGGGCGTCCGCTCGCCGCGCAGGCTCCTGCGCGGGACAACTGCGCCTGCTAACCGCCGCTGGCGCCCACTCCGCACTCACACTTAAAGTTCTCTTAGTAACACTATAGAAAATTTAAAATGTAACTAATTTCTTTTGAAGTTTGTATTTATAAATAGTGTACATTCCACGGTTATCAAGGTTCAATGGGATAAGGTAAAAATAATGTATAATAATTATATATAAATAATAATGTACATGGGAGTGATGCGATCTAGACGCTATTTTCTCTATATATTTATATAGTATTGTTGAACTTGTTGTTGGTAATTTGTAATTTTAATGTATTTACTTTAATCAATCACTACGTTTGGTAGGTAATCAAAATCTATAAATTGTAATGATTGAATGAGCGCACAGGTATTCATTTTGAAATTCTATTTTCAACTCTTGAATGTTTTCAAATCAACACTTACATCACCTACAAAAGGAAGTAGTTTTTAGCCTACTGTCACTACAATGACTTGGTATATTATTTTAGTTGGAATTTTCCTAGGGTATGTGCGTTGTCCCTCTAATCTAGTCTACAACAAGAGGTCATGTTTTATAAATCCTTACTCTGTAACCGCACCGTGTAACACATCTTAATAGGGCGTAATTATGCTTAATTTCGACATTAATACTATTCACGACATATATCGCAATAAATGATTTTGACGAGCAAGGTAATAAAAGAAAACTTTATTATATAAATTGATAAAAATTGTACGCATACAACAGCATAGATTAAAATTACGTTATTACAATTAACATTATTATTTTGAAACTATTGGAACAGTAATATGTTTTAGTTTAATTTATTTTATACATACATACATATTACTGTTCCAGCAAAGTTACAGAGGTATTTTATATGAAAGGGCGGCGCATACTCATGCGATCATTATAATCTCATACCGTCCCCCATCAATCTTTTTAACCTTCTCCCCATAGTCTTACACAAATACATATATGCGTAAGAAAATAGTAAAATATTCTTCAATATGGGTGACCCCACATCAAACGTTCAGGTTTTATAGATCCAGTCCATGATCTCACTAAGCAGAAACCTGCGTAAACTTGGCGGATTATAGTTGATTGCCTATATCCATATCTAAAATCTGCTCGTGATTCACCCAAACTGAAGAATGTTTTGCCATTCTGTTACGCGTATATTGTAATCTAAATTATCTTCCATGATAATGCAAATACTTTTCTATTACAAATTCTTTTTATTGGTGTTGCATTTTAATTAGTAATGAAAAACAGTGTGTAAACCAGCAAATTAAATAAGAAAAAGAAGTAGTAAATTGTAGTAGTATAAGTATATAGGTACATTTGCTGTAGAATATATATTCTACAGCAAATGTATGTTCAGCAGTATATAATCTATAAATAATGTGGTGCCCCATATTGATTATAGAATATATACTCATATTAGAAGCATCTAGACACGCATCACTGTCGTTGTACAATATACCTATTGGTACTGTCTAAATGCATTAGTATAGATTTTTTTTTGTAGGATTTTGCATCAATATAAAAAACGACGTAATAAAACAGCATATAATGAGATATAGGGCTAAATATACATGAAACATTCACTATTTATTATTAGATGGTCCATGGACATATACTGTAATTAGTATTTTTGAAGTAATAAGATTGCAGTTATTATTTCTATTTCTGTAAGAGTTTGGGTGTATTGTGAATATAATTGACCAACTTTCCTGCTGTTTTGTGAGTACCGATATAGACTTTGTATAAAGTCTTCTGCGCGGATTTCGACCACTGTCTCGTCTATCTAGCCGCCAAAGAGCTTACTGTAAACTGTTTTGATTTAAAGGTTAACATATGCGAGTGAAGTTATAAAATACAAAAATAAGGCTAGGATGGCTTATCTTCGTATGTCGTAATTTCACTGCATTGCATCCTCAATTGTTTTATATAAAATGTAAAAAATCGTGCCCTTTTAGCCGGCAAACAAGTTCACATCCCGCGTACGTGACTTATCCTCTTACCGCCCGTACATTGTAGACACACTATAATGTTGAGGTGATAGTTGAATGACAATTAAAATAACAGTAAAATACAATTTTAACAAGATATAAATTTTATTTTAATATACATAAACTCTTTTAATGTAAAAATGCACTTATAAAATGTTTATTATTATTATTATGATTAGTTTTATATAGTCACATTACACTTGTCATGACTTTTCATTTACAGTCTCTTTAGGTACATACATGAAAAACGTAGCCAAGGAAGCTATATTTGGCTTTTATTCTTGATCTGATTATTATGGTTGGTTGTATTAACAGAATGAATCATACCTAACTAAAGTATTGATTGTAAATGTCACATTCATAAAATTAGACTATTAAGTAATATAAATTATATCGTAGCCTATGTTTGTCTAACACCTCTTATTATTAAGTAGTAAAAAATAAATATGTTCAATACTTGATTGACAATGGACGAAATCAGTATTTATTATTACTTTTTATTAATAAGAGGTACAGTGTTTACATGGTAAATAAACGTTTGTACAGAATATTAATATTATTTTTATCAGTCATAGGTAGATAATAATTTTAATTTAATAGTAAATAAAATTTCATTTTGATCCACAATTTATCACATTAAAAATACATAAGATATATTATAATCTTTAGGCATCTAATATTGACAATATTTCGTTTGTTTTCATGAATATATCAACAAACATTTGACCTCCACCTTTAGACTTTTATAAGAATACTAGCCTTATAATTTCGCTTTAGTATTCTGAAGAAGAACATCATGCATGTCTTGAAGAGACTGCTCCAAAGCAGCTCGATATTTATCACACGCTGTTTCAGAATTTGACAAGAATGAGGACGTTGCAAAATTAATGTCGTTATCACGTGGATTATAACATGTAGCATAACCATCAGGTACGAGAGGTCCATAACACATAAATCCATCGCATTTGCAAGCAACCTGTAAAATACAACAATGGTAATATTACAATAGAGAAGAACGCAGCAGAACCCTCGTCGACTCGCCATCATACCGCATTGATGACGTAATTGGTCCAGAGAAAAATATTTCTATTTTGCAAATGCTCGAAATGAGAATTCGCTATGCTATTTTTAGACACTAATAAACATACCATACCCCTTCCTACCAAGTTTCTAAAACAAAGTCTTTAATATTAGTCTCGGAGATAACAAAAACATATACTACACCTAGATACTCATCACATTAATAGGTATCGTTATTGATTACATGTATTATAGTTTATTTTATAACTATATATATACGAGTAGTATTCAATGACAAATGTAGACAAGCAATACAGACACCAGTTCCCTTTATTAAAACCTTCCGCCCCCACCCCGGCCGAATGTTTTACAAGTTCAGAACGGTAATGAATTCGAATTTTGGTCGTTTATAGTTCTTATTAGGTTAAGATTATGTAACCCTAGTGCTATGAATCTTCACTAATACTCTTGGAAATCATAATATGTCGACGCGATTGCCAAGGCGCCCGAGACTAAATTATAAAGAATTTATTAAGTGCTAATTGTGTGACATAAAGAACAATGATTGTATCCATTTTAAAAATTATATAGAGCCGCCCATAGAGTGCTAAATTTGTGAAAGGGCAATATAGCCCTTTCACTAATTTAGCACTCTATAGGCGAATTTAGAAACGTTATATAAAGTCATACATTACCTGGCTTGTAGAAATTCGCATGTGAGCACTTTTTATAAATCCTGCATCGGTATACAGATTGGGTATATCAATGCCATTTTCTTTAGCAATAAGTTTTAGTCCTAATAAATGTCTATCTACACCGAAACCTTGGAGAGCCTGAAACAAAAACATTGTTGAATACATACAATATAGGTATGTCAGTACCATATTATTATACAAGATGTAATTATAATAATTAAGTCTGCACAGGTTATTCTGTAACTATTACATAAATAAAAAATCTAGAAAATATTTTACACAATGAGTGAATTTAAATATTGAACACTGCAATATCGTTGTAGATTTCTTATATTAAGTGGTATACTGTTCATTCATTGTTATTGCCTTAATCATACCTTTGTAGTACATGGTATGGCAATGATGATTTTCAAGTAGATACACATGTAGATTTTAGTTGTAGTTTGGAAAGTTATTCTTGGGTGTCTATACTAATATATACCAATAAATAAAAATATTATATATCTCGTATACTGACCTGCACTGTGTAATCTTTGTGACCTTGTATAGCTTTTTGCAGAGCAGCTAACTTTTGCTTAGGTGAGCTTTGAGCATCTAACATAGTTTTGGCAAATTCGATAGATTCTATTGAACATGACCTTATAGTTTCAGTGCGGCCACCAATATACATTCTGGTTGCTGCAGATTCGTAGTGGGCTCCAGGAGTTTTGTGAAGCCTTTAATTTCAACAATATACAATTTACTGGTCAAAAAAACATCAGTTCAAACGAATGAATACAAATTATAGTACACAATAACTCTGCAATAGGAATAATTCTATTTAGATCCGCCAGAGATTGGGATCATCGACAATTCTCATAGCACGTCTCTGAACCGAGTCAAAAGGACCGAGCTGGTATCCAGGCGCTCCTGCCCAAAGATGAGAGCAGTACTCCATGTGCGGCCGAACCTGTGACTTATATAAGAGAAGTTTCTGGTCCGCAGTGAAGTACCGCCTGGCTCTATTGAGCACACCGAGCTTTAACGGTGAACGCGCAGGCTTGTGTCTTAGTAGGATTGAATTGAACTAAGTTCAGTCGCCCCCAATCGGAGACTGGTAAGAGTACTCTCGATTTCAGACACAAGCTGTTCGCGGTTTGCCTCCACAACGGAAAGAGGGATATTAGCACGGCCCGTGTAAATTGCGTCCCCAGTACTGTCATCCGCATAGCAATGAAGGTTAACTGTGGTTAACAGATCATTGATATGCAGCAGAAACAGTATCGGGGAGAGAACGAAGCCTTGCGGGACGTTAGCGTTAATGACCATGCTATCGGAGCAATTACCGTCTACCACGGTTTTAATGCATCTGCCAGACAAAAAACTAGCGACCCATTTGCATAATCCCTCTGGTATTCCGTATGAGGGCAATTTCGATAGAAGACCTTGATGCCAAACCCGATCGAATGCCTTCGGTATGTCAAGGCCGACTGCCAACGCCTCACATTTACTCTCTATGGCAAGAGCACAGCGGTGTGTGAGATACGCTAAAAGATCACCAGTTGAGCGATTATGGCGAAAACCATATTGACGATCGCTCAATAGATCGTGATCCTCTAGGTATCCAAGGAACTGTGTATTAATTACACGCTCCATCACCTTGGAGAGTAGAGATGCGATAGCGATAGCCCTGTAGTTCGATGGGTTTGATCTGTCGCCCTTTTTTGGCACAGGGTGCACAAGGGTGGTGATTCTTCCATGATGACGGAAATTGCCCAGAGGAGTATGAAAACGCGAAGAGGCGCGTGAGTACGAGACACAACTTAGGAGCACACTTCTTTAACACCAATGCCGGTATGCCGTCTGGCCCATTCGACTTGTTGACATCAAGAGACAGTAACTCTCGCCGGACTCTCCGTTGCGTAGAATTCTCGCAATCTATCCCAATCTGCTGACTTGTAATGCCACATGCGCCGTTGACACGGAGGTCGGGATGTGGCAGGTCTTGTGCTCGGTACCTGGGATCGGATAAGACAGTGATCTGAAGAACCAAGTGGTGCCTCCACGATCACTGAATATCGTCCGGATGTGTAGTCAGCAGAAGGTCAAGTAAAGAGCTCGTATGGGTCTCAATATCTGGTATTCTCGTTGGAGAATAATAATAGAAAATATACTATCCTACTTATTTAAATTTTGTTTTGTTAACAGTACGAAACTACATGTTTTAGTTATAGTTTCACATGTGCGATTCGTGCATTAGACATTAAATTAAAAATAAACTTACGATTTGGAGAAGTAAGAAAGTGTTCACTTTTAATTAAATACATGCACTCACCTATAAAATGCATACTGCATTGCCATTTGTAAATAACTATCAGGGCTTAATTTTTGTGATTTAATAAAGTTTTTACCATACTTTTCATAGGTAAAACAATTCAATTCCAGGTTAGACACCAATCTGCAATGATCCGAACATATAACATTATGAAATCACATATATATGAAAGTAAAATAAAAGTAATATATATTTCGAAAGAAACCTGTCTAAGCTTTCATCTGCAGTTTGAATTAATGTAGAAACCTCGTTTGTTACATTGAATTTTAGTTGAACTGGTTCCTTAGGACTCGCTGATACTGATTGTCCCTGTTTGCCTTGGTCACTTAAATTAAAAACATATGAATTGTTTTTAAAAATATTAAAACAATAAAAAATATAAACGAAATTAAATAAAAAAAATTCATACATGTAGTTAATAACGAAGTCGGTTAAAACAGCTATGGGCTGTCCCTCGGCTGGTGAGTGTTCATATGTTAGGCCAGTTATACCATCAGCGCCAACAATGAACTATAATGTATATAATTACATAATTAATATGTAGCAAATATTTATCGTTAATTATTAATTTTGTTAGGAAGAAATAAAGAAGTCTATATCTATCTAAGATATATGTCCTAATATTTAACTAAATAAAGGACTACCTCTTTTAAAAAATAAATTACCTTGGTAATGTAACATAGTAATTTTGTTTGAAATTATATATTTCATTTTCCACATCTAGTTCTAGTTCTAAGTATGTATTATCATCAGTAAGCATAAAATAATAAGGAAAAAATGTAAAGTATATATTATGTGCATAAAGATAAAGCTGTAATTATCAAATAATAGACAAGGTTATACATTCATTTTGCCATCGAAGAATGTTTATGTTAAGGTTTTATTGCATTACAACAATAACATGAATATATCGATGCCATATATATATATATATATATATATATATATATATATATATAACCACTAGGTATCATACCTGTACAGTTTTGTCGAACCAGCGGTTTCTGCCATTGGAACGAGAGCCGCCGCCGTGTATGGTTTGAGCGGCCGCTAAATTCTGTTGAGCATTTTTATCTTTGCAATCCCATAGACCAACAGCTGAATCTAAACATAAGACTACGATACTTTTTTCCACATCTTCTAATGAATTCCTGTTCACTTTATCTGAAAATTTAAAAAAGATCCCTATAATTTGGGAAAGCATGATTGAATAGACGTTTGGTCTGTGCTGGAAATAAGTACCAGAGACAAGTTAATGTTTAATATAATATGTACTATAAATATTTTTCTACAGGCTCTACAATAATATATACATAGCTGGGCTTTAAGTCGTTAATCTTTAATTAACGAAGTTAACATTTTGATTAACGGATTAACTTTTAAGTTAACTTTGAAAATTTTAACGGACACGTTAACTTCCGTTAATATGCAGAAGTTCGTTAATCGTTAATCCAATGCCTACTATTTACCGTATGGAAGTACGGCGTGGTATGAAAATCAGGTTCAATAACAAAAAAGTTCCGAGCTCCTCTTTACTCTTTAAAGAGTAAAACGAAAAATCTCAATAAAATGTGGCTAGACATAAAATCAAAAGATTCAACAAAAAGAGGAACAGATGCTCATTAAATGCAATACTGCTTTACCCTCAAGCGCTGCAGCTGAACGTCTCTTTTGCACAGGTAAAGATATTTTAAACACCATAACAAGCCTTGCTTTCAGACGAGAACTTCAACATGTTAATGTCCATAAAGGAGAATATGCACACCTTATGCCCGACGATTAAATTACTCATTGGAGTTATATCTACATGTATTTTGTTTTGTTCCTAACCTTTTAACTTCTAGGACCTAAACCAGCAGGTTTTATGCATTCACTAACGCAGCGATATAAAAATACAATTTTACACATATTAACGGATTAACGATTAACGTTAACTTGCGATAATTCTTCTGAAATGTAACGCATTAACGTTTAACGAAGCTAACTTTTTTTTGTAGCGGAGTAACGAAGTCAACTATTTGATTAACGGTGCCCAGCTATAGGCATTATACATAGTTATAAAAGAGCATGAGTGTTCTTGTAAATGTAATACTTGGCTCTGTTTTTCGCATTTAACCTGTTGTACGTATTCGGGTGAGACTTAATACAGTAACCAGACAAGTTCCTAACAGAAGCTTCCTGATGTTATCATAAGTTTCACGGAGCGACCTCACTGTTCGGAGAATTATAAAGTATAAAATTATTACCCCCCCCCCCCCCCCCCCATTCGGACTCTCAGTGCAAGAACCCCGGTGAACCACATTATTCCATATTTTTATACTTTTGGGCAGGTAAATGGATATAAAGATCGTTTGTATCCAGTATTGAAGGTAATAACAGAATAGTAAAAAAATCAAATAGAAAAGAAAACACTGGAATCAGTCCTAATAATAATAATAATAAAACCCTGGAAAAGCTGAACAGCATCAACTAGTCTCAAGCTAGACAGAGGATGTGTTATGGGTAATAAATTAAACAGTATTTCTAATCTTCTTTTTGTAGTACCTTTCGTAAGTAGTTCATATGCCTTTGCCCATGCATCCCTATTCTCTGATGTCAGCACGCCTATAGCTTGATCCGTAGGAGTTTTTGATAGTTCCACAACTCTTCTTAACTGTTGAATGATCTGGTCCTCGCTCAATACTACATTATCTTCCCCCCAAAGATCCACATGGAATATCTAAAAAAAAAACTACAGGAATTAATAGAAATTGTGGCTATGATTGTGGTAATCATGACCAATTAGGCATAAAAATCAAACCAAGACGATGATAACACGCAGTTATATTTTCATTTTATGTTTGATGTAATGTAATAGTAGACATTATGTTTGACTGATATATCGGTCATAATTCATGACATATCTCTAGAAATTTCATAATAGATTCACAAGAATAAAACTGACAATCTATTAAAGATACTATCCATGATTTGAAGTTAAATTTGAGAGATTTTTGAGAATTCGAGAAATTTATAAATTTATTTTTATGAATGCTACAGGACCTCTTTGTATAACTAATACTAACATATCCTTTACACATACGTTCTTTCACGCGCAAAGCTGTTTTCAAGCAGGAATGAATATGCATGTAAATGTAGAAAAAAAGAAAGAGAAACGCCGCGCGTGTTGCAAACTGGCTGAATATAAAAATCAAAAGACGATGATAACACGCAGTTATAATTTTAATAGAACATTATGTTTACTGATATACGGTCTTCGCGCATTCACGCGTCCATCAATTGTGCGTGCCTTTTTGTAATAATTAATTATTACTGCAATATAGCGGACATCTGACTATGGATCCAAAACATAATTATAAAGTTATTGATAATTTATAAATGTTAAACGTGTCTTTTGAAAAATAAAATCCATGGAGTATAAAATAAACTTTTAAAGAAAGTGCAATGGCATAAAACTTATGCCATATAACGCGAGAAAGTCTGAATACAAAAAATAGAAAATGCAATTCCTACAACTGCGCGCGCTGGCTTTCCCTCGCCGCGCGCGTTCCTGATTGTGTGAAATAACGTGTATGTCGTTCAAAGTCATCTTATGTTGCCACTCCTAAGTACTAAATATAAAATATACTGTTTGGTGTCATGAACACAGACGGCATTTAAAGATTGTATTTATTATCATTCTCCTCGGATACGTCTATTAAACACACACATAAAATATTAACGTACAAAAGATGATTAGAAATAGAAATAGAAATAATCTTTATTCAAATAAACTCATTACAAGCACTTTTGAATAGTCATATTTTGATTCTACCACTCATTTGGAATGCAGATTCATCACAAGAAGAATGAGCAAGAAACTTATGTGTTGCTCTTTTTAATAGATGTTTTTTTTATATAAATAATTACAGTATAACAAGTAAGAGGCATGCGATAATCAACATAGAAGTCGCTACGCACTCATTATTAATGTAATCAGATAATATTGTCAGTGCTATAGATTTAAAGTTTTTCTATAAAAACATTATTATTGGAGATATGGGGGGTAGCGGGTAAGGTAAGTGGACTGTATGGAATTGAAATAAAGGGGGCGCACAGTACGTACCTGCGACTGTAGAGCGGGTTTATTCTTGCACAGCTGCTGCACTCGATGAATACTAAGTTTAACACAGGCACGCACACAAAGTTACTTATTGTTAATGTCAATATTATATTAATTAATTTAAAGCGGAGCGGTTGGGACGAGATGTCACCATTCACGTTAGTAGACGAGGTCGTCGGGCGACCTCAGTTGACATACTGTGCGCGGGAAAGGGATTAGGATATAGGGAATAATACCATACCACTTGATATGTTTATAAATGGCGCGAACATCCTCCCCCGCCTTGAGAAACTAAAGGTTTCTCAAAGAAAATACAAAGAAGAGCAATATATGAAGCGGATGTACATTATAATATATATTCCTAACATACTTATAATTAGTTATAGAGCGTAATATAATAAGAAAAACTTAATAGAATACACCTAGCGGTAAATAATAAGTAAATGCGGTTTATAAGAAAAATAGAGTTTATTGAGAAGGTAAAGGGCTTAATTTAACGATTGGTCGCTTGAGCAAACCATTTTGAGTTTTAACAGATGCTACGCGAGCAATACCATCTGAGCCTGGATATATTTTCACAGTGATACCCATTGGCCACCGCAGTGGTGAGACGTTATCATCATGTATAAGCACTACAGTACCAACCTTAACATTGTCTGTATTCTTAAACCACCTTTGGTGAATTAAAGAACGAAGAAGAATGGCACCTGTGTGACAGTTAACGCGGTGAAAATGATCTATTAATAAGTAAGTAATATGGTCGCGCTTAGGCAATAAAACGGGATGTTTTGCCTCGAAAGGTAAGTTAGCATTTAATAATCTACCTATCTTAATTATGCCATCGTCATCAATAAAAAGATTTAATTTACGCAGAGTTCCAGAAGGTAAATTACCCTTTTCAAGATCACTAATAACATGATAAAAATGAGCGACCTGAATTGCGGTAAGTATATATTTTTCAGCGATATTTAAATGAGCGGTTTCAATATATTTAGAGCGGGGAGCAATACGCGTATAAATCGCAGTCTATAAATAGTAATTCGTAATAATTTGTTTCAGGATGAAACTTTAGATGCAAGATCACAAAGCGGTGAGACTACAGTATTAGAAGCAGCTGTAACGAACGTCTTAATATTATATTCAGGTAAGTTTTCATATTTTTCAGGTGTAAATGACTCTACCGGCCAAGAGCAGACGGGGCTACTCAGCCACGCGGGACCGTTCCACCACAACTCATGGGTAAGTAATTGTTTAGGCAGTAAACCTCTTGAAAGACAGTCGCTTCGATTATTGAATCCAGCCACGTGATAGAAATGTTTTGATTGTAAATTTTCCTGACATTTAGCCACACGATTGCTAACGAAGATATTCCACCGATGTGGTGAAGAATGAATCCATGAGAGTGCAATTTTCGAGTCAGAAAAAGCATAGACGTTCTGTACAGACGTGCGTGAAGAGTAAGCATCATAAACTAGTTTAGTTAGTTTAGACATTAAAACGGCGGCGCAAAGTTCTAGTCGCGCAAGTGAGACTACCTTAAAGGGTGCGACTTTTGATTTCGCACAGACTAATCTCACGTATATATTGCCTGTGGGATCTGTCACATGTAAGTAAATAACGCAGCCGTAAGCTTTTAAACTAGCATCCGAAAACGCAACGATATCTATTATACAGTCTTGCGTGACAGATAAATGACGCGGTATTTTTAAATTAGCAAGAAGCGGTAATTGTTGTTTAAATGTAGTAATAATAGCGGTTATATTTGTCGGAGGTACATCATCCCAACCGACTTTCTGCAGCCAAAGATCTTTAATAAGTAGTTTAGCGGTAAGTACGACAGGCGCAGCAAAACCTAATACGTACCATAATCGGGCTATTAGGGAAAGTATGGTACGTTTTGTACACAAGCGGTCATCACAATTGATTTTAAAAACGAAAATATCATCTTGCGTTCCATTCGAGCCCCTTAAGATATCTTAAGGGACTCACGTCTATCAAACTCAACTTGCTGTGCAAGTTTCAGCGGTGTAGGAATGCTCTCTAGTAGGTTCTTTGAATTACTAGACCATTTAATTAATTGAAAGCCACCTGACTTAAACATATTAATTAATTGAGCGGTAGCCTCGACAGCATCAACCTCATTTAGTATAGACGTAGCTAAATCGTCCATATACAGTTCCCTTTCAGCTATAGAAGCAGCCAGCGGGAAGTTATCGCGTTCATCATCACAAAGCTGACGAATTGTACGCATGGCAAGGTAAGGACTTGACTTAAGACCAAATGCAACTCTATTAAATTGAAAGGTACGTATGGGTTCAGACGTATTAAAGCGGTACAGTATTTTTTGATATTTACGATACTCGTCGGTAACTAAAATTTGTAGGTACATTTGTTTTATATCCGCGGTTATAGCGATTGGAAATAAACGAAAATTTAATAAAAGTAAAAATAAATCAGCTTGGAGATTAGGACCCGTATGTAAAATATCATTTAGAGAAATGCCGTTATGACATTTAGCACTTGCATCAAGGACTATTCTGACCTTGGTGGTGTCTTTATCCTGCCTAATGACAGGGTGATGCGGTATGACGTAACCGTCATCCATATTATCGGATGTATTTAAAACTTCAGATAAATATTGGTTGTCTATATAGTCTTTTATGATGGCATTATAATTAGCGCGCAAACCTGTACTTTCTAGTTTGCGTTCTAGCGATAGCAAGCGACGAAAAGCAGTGATACGGGAATTACCTAACTCGCTAGGATCCTTATAAAACGGTAAAACAGTACAATAACGACCTGACGAGTCGCGGGACACGGTAGAAGAGTACATTTGCTCGCATTCCTTTTCTGCGGGACTTAAATATTTATTTATAGGAACCTCCTCTAATTCCCAGAATTTAGAGAGAGAATCATTAAGATTATTTTCAATACATGTTAAGAAAGCAGAGGAAGATGAGTCTTGTTGAGGCGCGGTATGATCACGATCAGATGTGGTCGCATTATTACAGGGAACGTCACCAATAAAAACATAACCAAAAATAGTTTCTATGGCTGGCGGTGCGGGTGGACTTATTATTTTTCCACTTAAAAGAATATAAGGGAACAAATTTGCTCCTAATACAAGTTCGATCTCACCTGGCATATGCCAGTGAGGATCTGCAAGCGGTAAGTCGACTAAATGACTTATAACAGACGTATCTATATAAGCATCTGATTGAGCATAATTTTTTCAAACACTTTACTTAGTACTGGTAAGATAGAAATGGGCCTATAATTACCTACTTCAGTTTTATCCCCTAACTTAAAAAGTGGTGTTATTTTGCTATGTTTCATTAAATTGGGTAAAACACCGTCAAAAATACATTTATTGAAGATAGTTACTAAATATGGAGCAATAACATCTATAGCGGTGTTAATAACTTTAACAGACATGCCCCAATGGTCTTCAGTATTTTTTAAATTTAATTGTTTAAATGTTTTCGTAATTGTAGCAATGTCAATAAATGTAAATTTAATTGTAACCGGACACGAAGCAACATTGTCAATAAGGAATGATTTAGCTGTACTTGGAGAAGAGTCCAAAGAGTCAGTCAAATATCAGTTGGAATACTAGCGAAAATTTTTTCAAAAATATTGACTATTTCTTTTGTGGACGTTACTAGTTTATCATTATAATTTAACGTAAAATCATTATATGGACTTTTAACTTTGCCAGTTTCTTTATTAATAATATTCCACACTGTCCTAATCTTATCCTTGGATTCTTTAATTTTTTTATTTAGATAATTAGACTTTGCTACATCACATACCTTTTTAAAAGTTTTTGAGAATCTTTTTACATAATTTACGAATGTACTATCGAAACGGTATTTTTTTTGATCATATAAATCAAATAATATATTTCTACTTTTAAGAATTCCCTTTGTAGCCCATTCTGAAAATTTTGATTTGTTACAAATACTGATAGTTTTTTTGTTAAAAGCCTTATTATATTCGTAAGAAACAATATTGAAGAAATTTGTATAAAGTTTGTTAGGTTCATCAGATTGAGGATTCGAGGATTCGTGGTTGAATTGGCGAACTTACTTACTTAAGTTTATCTGCCTATGACTGGACGTAGCAGGTAAAACGGACGTATTTAGTCGTGCTACCTGCGTAAATTCTAGTAAAAAGCCCACTAAATTAAATTCGAATTCATTCGGCTATTTTAGCGCGATTGAATAATCAACATCAATAATCAAAAGTTATACATTACAATATATAATATATATACATTACAATATATACATTTAGCTATACATAAGATATATTGGAAATTGTACTCTTACATGATTGTTGTGAATGACAGTAACATGTTTGCTATCATTGAAAGATAATTTATCCTTCTTATCTCCAGGTATTCTACAAGTTCCAAAAATTTTCTTATACTGCAACATGTCAAGTGGATTTTTACCCATCATTTCAGTTGGAATTTTGTCACTGAAATTAAAAAATTGATTTTAATTTATAACCAAACAAAAGTACGCTAAATCGTGATGCCACCCTGAATCAGTATAACATCTATATGTAAAAGAAAAATTACCTCCAATGATTGATTCCCGGCCTTGATATTTTTATATGTAGATTGTGTACAGCCCACACAATCTACATATAAAAATATTAAGTAGACTTATCTATTGATTAAATTACTTTGGATGCTAGCTAATATAGTCCATGTTTTACTAATTAATTATGATTTTCTTAGATTGAATTGTAAGTTCAAGGTGTTTTTTATTCAAATAACTTAAAGCGCAGTAATATCATAAAAATATGCAACCAGTAATTACTTTGTAATAAATTTTATTAACGTAGACAATTTCTAGGTATTAGCTTTCCAGAAGTTTTTCTGCGGGTTTTCAGAGTGTAAAGGCCGTATGCAGTCAACAACATTAAATAGTTGAAAAAAGAAATTACAACTGTACACATAAAATATAGCTGTAGTTTTGGAATACCCACCAATTGCAGTTTAAATACATAACGACTTCACCGAGTTTTACATATCACCATCATATCATCCCCACGGCTGTCCACTGTTAGCTATGTCCAGCAGTGAGCTGCATTTTATATAATTACATAATGTGGATTCTACATAATATATTTCATACTAATTAAATGAGAACATGTACCTGTCTATTAGGGCTTTATATTCAAGTGCAGCTAGTAAGGTTTTTGCAGCATATTTCAGTTGTTCATCTTGAGTGTTGAATTTACGAAATGGAAACACTAAACCTGGACTAGAATATACAACAACAGGATCCCGATATTCCAAATAAGCCGTGAGTAACCACCACTCTTCAAGCCAGTTTGAATGTTCTTGTGCTCTTCTTTCCAGCAATCCCTGTAAATATGGATATACATACATATATCTATTTATTTATTAAGTAATTGTAAACTTGTCGTGGGACGGTCAATGGAGTACATTGACCGTATATTCGACTCTTATATGGTTGAGTGCAATGATGGCTGGCACATCCGTTCTATTCGTCCGATCCGTCATAGTCGAGAACGGGTGCTACTTGTAGGGACTTGTCTGTTCGGGTTACGAACACTGATTAGACTCTTTGTTTTTACAATAGCATATGCTGGTACTCTATTCTATTATACACGCTATTCTCCCAAATTTGAATTTATAAATGAATCAGTATTATTGTATAACAAATATCCTCACCGTTGCTTCTCAATACATCTACGAAAATATTATGTATGCTAGAAAAAATATTAACATTTTAAAAAAGTAGTTAAAGTTATTATTCTAATAAAAGCTTACGTAATGTCTACAAACTAGTTTTACCTAAGTGCCGTTTGATGAAAGTTAGTAATTCGTTTTATGGAAATTGCGGTTTTACAAAATACAGTCTGTACTCAATTTGCCAAAAAAAATTCAAATGTGTTATGAATAATTTATAAATGTTTGCAGAAAATATGTAACTTAACATTCATAGCGCTGAAAATGTTGTCTGATTGAACAGAGATTAAGTGCGTAGCGGTTTCTATGTTGATTGTCGCATGCCTAATCCTTGTTGTTAAATAAATATAAGTAAATAAATATTTATTTAAAAGAGCAACACTCAAGTTTCTAGCTTATTCTTCTTGTGATGAATCTGCATTCCGAATAAGCGGTAGCATCAAAAAACTTGACTATTCAAAAGTGCTTATATTAAGTTTATTTGAATAAAGATTATTTCTATTTCTATTTCATGTACCAACAATATTTATTTGAAAAGAATACGAGCTGAGTTTCTTCATCTCGAAATCATTCCGAACTGACGGTAGATTTGACATATCATAGTAGTATGTACATGATTAAAGATAATTTGAATTTGTAAACGTATAATTATGTATTATACGTTTATAGGAATGTATTGCAAGAAGAAGAAATAGATGAAAAGTATATAGAAATTCTGAAAACAATATATAAAAACTGTACAGCTGTAGTAAAACTAGAACGTGAAGGAAAACCATTCGAAATAAAAAGAGGAGTACCTACATCAGGAAGATCCTATTTCTCCTAAACTTTTCATTGCATTGCTAGAATATATATTTAAACAACTGAATCGGGATAATTTGGGAGTTTTGCGTTTTGCCGATGATATTGTATTAATTTCTGAATAGCATAAAGATGTCGAACACATGCTCACGACGCTAGATAAAGAAAGTCAGAAATGTGGTTTGAAAATGAACTTTCCAAAGGCGTTTGCTATGACAAATAGCGAAAAAAATCCTATAAGTATTGAGACACAAAGTATCGATTATGTCGATGAATATACATACTTAGGAATGAACATGTCTTTTGCAACACCGCTCAACACAAAAGTACAAAGCTTGGTGTAAATACTGGTCTTTGAAAGAAATTTTCAATCGTTACCTATTAGGCTAAAACGAAAGCAATGGACACAGTAATTCTCCCGACATTGTTGTACGGATGTCAAAGGCACTAACAAAGGTTATCATAAATAAGAGTGTTTCAACGAGCTGCAGAGAGAAGCATGATAGGACTGAAACGTTGAGATAGAAAAAGAAATAAAAATATACGAAAAATTACAAATATCATTGATGCTGCGGAGCTGGCCTGAAATGGAGGTGGGCAGGCCACTTGGCAAAGATAACGGATGGGAGATGGAGTGAAAAAATGTTATATTGGTACCCACGAAACACAACAACACCACGCGGAAGACCTAAAAGGCGCTGGAGCGATGACATCATTGATGTGGCGGGACCCACTTGGACGAGACTGGCTAAAGACAGAGACAAGTGGAAAAGGTTAGAAGAGGCCAATATCCTTAAAATGATACCTAAATAAAAAAATATAATATAAAAGTAATGTAATGTTTATTGTTATTGCATGCTAATAATAATATATTGAATGTAGATAAAATAATAAAATAAAAATAATAATATAATATAATTAAATAACAAATAGAATATGTAAAAGATCAATAAGATGATATGTATATAAATAATTTGTAAGTGCATGTAATATTCTTGCCATTTTAGGAAATAAAAGGCTCTATTTTATAGTTTATTTATAATTATGTATACTATCGAATATGGCATGGCAATGAAATTAACGTTTCGAGAGCGTCGAGGTCAATACCCTGTTTAACTCGCTTACTATGCAGGCATGCAATTCGAATCTGTTATTTCCATTTACTTTCATCGGATAACTTTTATGTTGTGAGGACGGGTCTGTTTAGGTTACGAACACTGATTAGATTTTCTGTTTTTGCCTTTTTTGTTTATCCTGAGGTGCCTTTGTTAAAATTTCGAGAGATATAGAGCACATACGCTGTATAAAAATAATAGAAGCAACAAAAATAGTCAAATTAATCAGGGGGGAAAGGGATTGTTAGTAATGTGGAGTCATGACCCCATTACTAGCAATGTACCATGTCAGGTTAACCTCCACGTGGTCCCCCTGGAAACTATCGTGATAAATTCCTAGTGAATTTGTCACGATGGGCTAACTAACCTGACCTCATGCTCATCTTATCATCCTCCACTGGTGCCCCGCCAGCGTAAATCGTTAGCGCAGGCGGTTGCATCATTCCATTATCATCCATAAAAGAATTACAATCAATTTATACAAACGAACGCTACGCCTATGAGCTGATGGTCCGTCAATCGTGAGTCTAGTCGAGTAATTAATTTCCTCTTTGTAATTCGACATCTGTGCCGTCACAAGTATTGGCTTAGGTATTTCTATTTAGTACTATTGTTATTGTGCGAAGGGTACTCTCATAGTACGAGTCTCGTATGTGGTTATTATGGATCTATTCAACAACCGCGGAGACTGCAGCGTTTGGATCCATAATGCGTGCTCTCCTATTACCGTTTATAAAATTATTGATAGTATTTTAAAGTTGATCGCTATAATGTTGTTTTTAATAGTTGGACTATTTTACGCAGAATAAACTACTTATTATTAAACAACATCGCAGGCTTGTCCATCGGTTAGTCCATTAAATATGACGGATAAAGACACTGTCTCTGTACTTATCCGCCGTATTAAGTCACGGATTAATATATCGCTGAGTGGGATGAAAACAGAAGACATCAAAGACATTATATTTCACCATTATAATTTAAATTATACATGATTTCTCACCCGTAATAGTACTCCAATATATATAAAATTATATGTACATCAATATTTCAATGGTGTCCTAAAATGTCGATATTGAGGTCTCAAAATTCAATTCTCTAACAATCTAAAAATAATAAGAATTGAAATATGCTTTATTCGAAAAATATTGTTCTGTTACGTAATGTATACTGTAGTGAAACTACTGATTATTTATCGCTTATCTTAAATAGATGTATTCAATAGACAACACCTGATAAGCAATCTCGAATTTGCTGAAATCTGCAAAATCTGCTTTATTTTCAATGTTTAATGATTTTCACATAAGTGAAATATATTTAATTAATAGTTTGATTGTGCAGACTGACAATTGGGTAACTTTATATTGGGAGCAAAACGGAATTAAGCTTCTGCAAACTAATTCCAATCCAGAAACATTTAATTGCGCCGTTTCGCACCTTTCTATAAATACTCTTGAATTAGCTAACTGTTAATTGGAAATAACTGACATCATTGTTATCAATTTATTCAATTTTATTTGGTTTAATCTGAGTTACGTTTTAATAACACAATTGTTGTACAATCAATGTTGATTTCAATCTAAAATCGACATTGTCAAGTACTTATTGACCGACCCGACTACCCCATAACGGCAGCAAACCTCCCAATGGGTCCACCCGTTTCATTCCTACTACACACAAATTAATGACACCGTTCTTGCCGGCGTAGAACACCTTAACCACACGGTGTGTGTAAAGGTGTGGTCCACACCATCTAGCGCAATTAAGAGGGTCCGCTTGTGTGCGTCCGGGCGCAACACATCTGCGCCCATGATCGCCTCTTTCAACCGATCCCCTTGTTCAATTGAAACGGTAATGGAAATTACAATGACCGAAGTCGAACCATTAACGGTGCCCTCAGACTAAAGTCGTCTCTGTCAGGCAGGAGTTGCCCTTCAGCTGCTCTATAAGTCCTTCCGCAAGTTTGGAGTACAATCTGTTCTCGTCCTTGTAAATGCCAGCTCCGTCCAACGGCATATTCAGTTGTATTCTTGTATATTTATTTAACACTTTGAATTATATCATATTATTCTACGGGCTTTCAGAATTTATATTCGAATATTTATTTACAAGATTACAGCAGTTTATGCCACATGTACAAAAAAAAGTTTCTTCAAATTTCCATGACTTTACATTAGCAATTACAATCAGTAGGTATAGGACTATTTTTATTTTTAAGTGGTTAAAAAGTCTTCTTATTGGAAGCGTTTTTAACTATTTGTGTTACAATAGTACAAAGTTTTTGCTTCACATATTAATATATAGATGACAAAGAGTAAGACGCGACCTAAATTATTTAGAAATAATCATGAGTTAGTTTTAAAGAATATAATTAGTATCCGATTGACTGATATATATATATTTTAATAGCATTTTTCTCTTCTTCCATTGTGGTGAATCAATATGTCTCTAATCTATATAAAGTTTAAATATAAATCATTACCTGTAATTTCTGACCAACACCTCCTTCGGCACCAAATGATTGAATAAGTTGTGAGGTGACAGCAAATTCCTCATCCTTTAGATGGGGCCTCACAGTTTTCAAATATTTGTTCAAGGTATCCGTAAGTTTAGGTACTGGTAGTCTTGGTAAATTTTGGACATTGACAGCAGGTTTAGCTGATGAATAGTGAGAAGACATTTGTAAAGAACTGACATATGGTTCCACAAGAAAGCTTCGTTGTCCACACTGAAATTAAATAATTCTATTATCTAATTACATTTCATATTGTATTGTATTTAGATCCTTTTTGTAACTATGACCAAGTAGTAAGACCCTCTGGTCTTACTAAACTCTATAAAACTTCTCTAAGTTTAATAGAGAGATTAAGAATTTCTATTGTCTACATTGGAGACAGGATATAGCGACATTGATGTGTCCATAGGTTGGGTGCTATATCCAGATAGTCATAACATATATACATATAAGGTATTATTTACATTTTTTCAATATTTTGTATATTATTATAGTGTATATTAGTGTAGTACTAACTTTATAAATATATAAACTTACTATTTTATTCATACCACGGATCATTCTGATATCCTGTAACAAAGTGTTAGTTAAATACATAAAAGTTATTGTTTAAGAATAAATTACACCCTAGGTACATAGCTGCTAATAATAAAACTACCATGAGTACCATGTATGGTAACCACTTATTCAATGGTAAATATAAGTTTTGTCAATTATAAAACAAAATGTTGGAAAAAAAATTGTAAAGGTATAATTAGATGTAAACTGAAGTCATTATTTAAAATTCAATCTAGTCACTATCCATCAAAAAGTATGAATAATTAATGAAAAAAATATTCACAAAACAGTGTTGTTTAAAAAAAGTTGATGTCCAGCACCTATTGAATATGATAGGAATCAAGGGAGGGAGGGATTTATTTATTAAAACTTTTGAGATTAAGAAATTTTATGTGGTATTATTTAGAGCATGTTCCTTCTTCTGATATTGCACTGTATTTTGTGTGTTAATAAAAGCCAGTAGATAAATAGATTCCTCTCAGTCAGTAATTGATAAGTTATTGTTTAGGATTTTTTAGATTTGTGATAATAAGGCTAAATACATACAATAGGGTTGATATGTTTAGTAATAGAAATTCTAAAATCAATATAGATGATAATAAAGAAAAAGATAATACTTATATCATTGACTACTTTGACATTTATTTACTATATACAGTATTTCTGTACCCACCTGACAAAATAAAATATATACATATAACTTATAGATATAAATACATTTTTTAAATAAATAAATTGATAACATTTTTTTACATATTTATATATGTTCAGACCAGACACCTTGAAATTAATTATTTATAAATATTTTATCCCTTACTATTAAATATAACATAACATAAAGGAATAGTTAATAAAAACATAATAAACTATAATAAAAATTGTACTTAATAAGTACTTACCTATATTATAATAGAAATCAATTTTATTTCTCAAAACGACCTTTATACTTGTAATTAATCGACTGCGGACTTGAGTTATGATAAAAATTTATTGTACTTGAATTAAAGAATTTGAACATTAGTACATAATTCGATATCGCAATTGAACTTCGGTACTTGTGCTATTGTTAGACGATAGCTTTAGAGTTATTTCTCGTTGAGGGCCTAATCATTAAAAGTTAGTACTGAGAAAAAGTGAAAGTAGTTTTGTAACGTTATATGAACAAATCAAGAGATTAATACAGTAATATTATTTCAATGCCACTTACCTTAATTATGTATTATGCAGATAGAAATTCAAATAAGAAAAGTATAATAAAAAAAATCAACAAGTAATAACAGAGCAGTTTACAAGACACAGGGGCAACACAAACGTAACACAGATTAGTTAGAATCAGAAACAAAGGAGCGAGTCAGTTATTTTAACAGTGTGACCAGATTTAAATTCTTACTAACTACTTACTATCAATATACAATTCAAACTTTATATTAAACAAATGTTATGTAAAAAAGCCTATTATAAGATAGATAAATTTATAGATGATAGCAATATATATTAAGTATAAGTTTATTTGCGGACAACGTTATAATTTATTCTTCGTACTGCTTTCTTGATATATGATAGCGTAGCGGCTTTTGTATTGATTGCCGCATGCATCCTCATGTAAAGTGCGAATACTGTAACTACCATATAGTAATTTTTGTAGCTGTGACGTGGTCGAGTGGAATGAGTAGTCATGCTCACTAAAATGTCCAGACATGTGGCGGCGTGGTGGGCCGGGTCATTGGGCTCCCTAAAATATGGTCGAGCGTAGTGATGGCTGGCTCATCCGTCATACTCGTGAACGAGTGCTGCTTGTAGGGACTGGTCTGCTCTTATCACTACGACTGATTTAATGTTATTGTGTTTTTATATTTGAGCCTAAATAAATTAGTGCTGGTTGGTAGTTTGTATTCACACGTTTCGACTTGTAAAATGTGAACTTACAAGGATTGTTTAAAAGAGCTACACACAAGTTTCTTGCTTATTCTTCTTGTGATGAGACAGCTTTCCGAATAAGCGATAGATTTAAAAAAATGTTGACTATTCAAATATGCTTAAATTAAGTTTATTTGAATAAATGATTTTCTATTCTATTCTATCACAGATTACATAATATCATCATCATCATCGCAACCCGGAAGACGTCCACTGCTGGACATAGGCCTCCCCCAAAGACCTCCACGACGATCGGTCCTGCGCTGCTCGCATCCAATGCCTGCCAGCGATCTTGACCAGATCGTCGGTCCACCTTGCTGGAGACCTTCCCACGCTGCGTCTTCCGGTCTGTGGTCGCCACTCGAGGACTTTACTGCCCCAACAGCCATCTGTCCTACGAGCTATGTGCCCTGCCCATTGCCACTTCAGAAACGCAATTCTTCAGGCTATGTCGGTCACTCTGGTTCTTCTGCGGATCTCCTCATTTCTGATTCGATCACACATAGTAACTCCGAGCATAGCCCTCTCCATTGCCCTCTGAGTGACTCTGAGCTTGTTCATGAGGCCCATAGTTAGCGACCACGTCTCTGTGGCGTAATTCATCACTGGCAACACACATTGGTCGTAAACCTTCGTCTTGAGACACTGCGGAAATTTGGACGAAAAGATATATCGGAGCTTCCCGAACGCTGCTCATCCGAGTTGGCCCCACTTCCGCGACCAAGACGCGGCGCTCCTCTGCGAATGCCGGGCACTCCTCCAGAACATGCTGCGCCGTGTCTTGGTCGCATCCGCACTGGTGACACATTGTCGTCGGCTCCCTCCGTGCGACATTACACAGGTACCGCCCGAAACACCCATGTCCGGACAGCACCTGCGTAAGTCGATAGGTCAGCGGCCATCGTCGCCTGCCCATCCATTTTTTGAGAACTGGACGGACAGCCTCGACGGTCCTCAGGCCGGCCGTAGGGTTGGCCAGCCTTTCTTCCCATTTCTCCCTGAGGACACGTCGGAGGTGGGATCTCCGTTCCCCGAGTTCCACTCCAGAGGGCTCCCTTCCTTGGCAAGACGATTCTCTCGTCCGCACGCCATTGGTACAATGACGCGCGGGATTCCGCTACGAGGTCCCAAGGTGGGGAGCCCGCTAGCAGACACGCCGCCTCTCTCGAGACGGTGCGGTACCCTCTGATGACCCTTATGGCCATTGCTCGCTGCGGACGCAGGAGCAAGGCCATATTTTCCCGGGACAGGGCCCCATGCCATATAGGGGCCCCGTATAGGGCCATCGATTGTACCACACCCATGTAGAGGCGGCGACAATTGTCCCCCGGCCCCCCGATGTTAGGCAGCAGCCAGCTTAAAGCGCCAGCCGCCGCCATAAGACGGGGAGCCAGGTTCTTGAAGTGGACCCGGAAACCCCAGCGACTATCGAGGTCAAGCCCTAAGTACCTACTATGTGGCTTGACCTCGAGCCTATGACCGCTGACCACGATATGGGCTCCTGGTGGCGGCGCTCGTCGGGGCCCATGGAAACAAAGGACCTCCGACTTCTCGAGCGCCACCTGGAGCCCTAACCTCCTGATTATGCCGACGACAAGTGCCACACTGGCGGTAGCAAGACGGGCAGCCTCCCTGTAGTCCCGCCCGCGGGACGTTACCAGCGTGTCGTCCGCATAGCAGACTACGCTGGTCCCGTCGAGCAAGGCGCCCCGCAGATTCCAGTCATACCCGATGTTCCACAGGACCGGACCCAGAACCGATCCCTGTGGAACACCGCGCTGCATCTCCCTCTCAATCACCGCGCCGTTCCGCCCGATACAAACGACTTTTCGGTCCTGAAAGTAGGCCCCGACCACCTCCCGAAGGTAGGGAGGCATTTGGTGGTACTTTAGTGCCTCCCTAACACATTCAAAGGGAAGGGTGTTGAAGGCATTTTTGATGTCAAGAGACACCGCCAACAACACCCCTCCCTGGGAGACCACTTCTTCCGAGAGGGCACGAACCTGTGCGATCGCATCGATCGTGGAACGGCCCTCCCGGAACCCGAATTGATTCGGGGATAGGTCGGGACCCACCTGAACCAGGTGCTCGACGAGGCGGCGCACTATTATTCTCTCGAATAGTTTGCCGACCTCGTCAAGCAGAACTATCGGGCGGAACGCCGAGGGAGATATGGAATCCGCAGGGCGCCCCTCCTTGCGGAGCAGGACTACTCTGCCCGTCTTCCACTTCTTGGGAAATCGCCCCGACTCCATGCACTCATTGAAGAGGCTAAGGAGCCGGTCCCCAAGGGCACCTAGGGCCAAATACAGAGCCCGGCCGGGAACACCATCAGGCCCCGGAGCAGTTTTCTTGCCCCGGAGCTTGTCCACGGCCGTGGAGAACTCTTCCGTCGTTATCGACGGAACCCCAACTTCCCCTTGGATGCCGCCGCCGTCTTCCTCTGTTTGACGGCTGCGCGGCACCATAGGAGGGGGTGTGAACTCTGACTGCTCAGGGAATAGAGCTGTCAACACCCCCTCCAATTGTTGGGGCTGGAGACTCTCTGCCGCGGGAGGCGCCCAGGGGCGAAGTTTGCCCCTTGCACTCCTATATGGGCGCCCCCATGGATCTCTTTTAAGAGTCTCCAGGAGTTCCTCCCTGGCTCTTTCTTTGGCCCTGCTGATGGCGAGCTGGAGCGCTTTCTTCTTCTCACTGTAGTGCGCCCGCAGCTCTGCTTCCACAGCGGCGTCACGGCCCCGCCTGAGTCGGCGGTGCCTGGTGTACTGGCGTCTAGCGGCCATGCTTTCTACTCGCAAGGCCGCTATCTCTTCAGACCACCAGTACACCTGACGCCTAGGAGGGGGGGGGCGGGCCCGGGGCATGGCCGCATCGCATATGCGGGTCATGGCATCCCCGAGCCAATTGGCCTCCTCCTCAACCTCCACAGGCCTGGATGGTATTTGAAACCAGGCCTGGACTATGGAAGCTTCCACCAGCACGTCTTTTTTAAGACGTCTCGATGCCCATTTGGGGAACGCCGAAGTGTCACTCTCTGAGCGGTCCGGGCGCGGAGCTCCAGACGAGGGGAGAATGTCGAACCTTATGTAGCGATGGTCCGACAGGGTCTCCACCTCGTCCATCACCTGCCAGCTCCGCACCCTGTGCGCGATGGCTGGACTGGCAAGGGAGATGTCCACTATGGACTCCCCCTGCCATCGCACACATGTGGCGACCGACCCCACATTTAGAATTGTGAGTCCGGACGCCACCGCCCAGTCCTCTAGGACCTCGCCTCGTACCGTCGTGATAGGGGAGCCCCAAGCCGTAGACTTGGCATTGAGGTCCCCCATGACGAGCACGGAACGGGCTGGGTGCACACTGATTGCAATTCCCAGCCCGTCCAGATATTCCTCGAACTCGGCGAGAGTCCTATTGGGAGAGAAGTACACTCCGACGACGGCGATTTCCCCCCAACTCACACCTACATACCCTGAGCCCCTGAAAAGGGGCATGCAGGGTGGGGAGACAGAACTCCCCCTTGCCCTGTGGACAGCTACTAGGCCGTCGTAGTCGCCGAACCAATTGTCAGAGGACGGAACTCTGTACGGTTCGGCGACTACCACTAGGTCTGCCTGCCACTCCGCCGCGGTTTGCAGTAGGAGGTCCTGCGCCGCGGCGGTGTGGTTAATGTTCGCCTGGAGGAGGTGAATGGCCATTATTATATGTCCATTTCCTCCTCCAGCTCAGCCCAACTGTTTCTAGTCGGGACGGCGGCGGTCGCAGGTGGTGCGGGTGCCGGCCCCTTCTTGGCTTTATTTTGCCTGCTTGGGGAGCAATTTTTGCTCCCCAGCCAATGGTCCGCCGGCTTGCCTGCCTCGCGGCAGATAGTGCAACACGGGGCGGCTGTGCAGCCGGCGGCTTTGTGGCCAGGTCTGCTGCACCTGAAGCAGAGGCCACTGCGATCCCCCTCGTGCGGGCACCGCATCCTGACATGGCCAGTCTGGAGGCACTTGAAGCACCTCAGCGGCCTCTGCCTCAGCAGTTCGACCGGGGCCGACACCCAACCCACCTTGATGCGGGCTGTCGTAGTGATCTTCTTGACCACTAGTATCGGCGCCCGCACCCAACATGTGCCCAGTCCCGAGGGGTTAAGGCGGATTTCCCCGGCCTTAACCTCCTCGGGCGCACACTCGCCGTCCCTTGCCACCGCCTGTGCGATGTCCTCGGGGGTGACTGAGTCATCCAGGCCCATTACTCGCATCTCTGCGGTTTTGGTGGGCCTGGAGACCTGGACTGGATTCTCCCCGAGGACCTCTCGCAGTTTTTGGGCCAACGCGTCGGCCTTCTCCCCGCTCTGGGAACCAGGTATTTCGAGGATCCTCGCCCCGGTTGCTGCGGACTTGAACCGCAGCTCTTCTATTCCTAGGGAGGCCAGGTCTATTTTAGCCTTGGCCTCCCTGAGGATCCCCGCATAGCTGGCTCCCGCCCTCTCTGCTTCTTGCGGAAGGGCCAGAATAACTGCCGCCGAGCGGGGGGCCTTAAGCTTGCTCGGGGAAGGGGCCCCTTTCCCCTTCTTTTGGGAGGACTGGGACTGGGTCTGGTTCTTAGACCCTCCCTTCCCCTTAGCCTGGGCTCCGGAGGGTCCGGCCGTAGCCTCTGGGACACTGGACATGCGCCCGTTCTTACTCACGACGGTGGCCCACGTTTCCACCGCCGCAGTAGACCGCTGAGAAGCGGTCGCTGGACCCGTCTTTTTAGGCGCGGAGGGCTGGGAGTGTCCAGCTTTCACCCCTTTTTACGTGGCCCCGACTGCGGTGCCTTACTTCCGCTGGGTTGCGGACCTGCTCCTGGCCTTATGTTGCCCTGCTGGCGGTAGGCTTCAATTTTGTCCCCATTCTGAAGAGGGGGCCTATAGACATAGTCAGGGACATGGTCTTCCGTGTCCCCGCCCGCCGGTTGCAGGGCAACCATGGTCCTTACGTGCCGCATTAGTTCGGCAGTTTGCCGCTCCATCATGCGGCCAACATCTTCTAGGATCTGGGACCTGAAGGTGTCCCAGTCGTTTCCCTTTCTTGAAGGGACCGCCGCATGATGGAAGGCCGGTGTCGGCCTAAGGATCTCCGAGGAGGATGCCGCAGCCATTTTGGCCTTCAGCTCCTCATTTTCCCTCCTCAATCTTTGAAGCTCAGACTGTATGTCCGAGTTCTTCTTGAGGAGGGGGGTCACAGCCCTCGGGATGAGGCCGGCGTCTAAGGACTGTGCGATAGCGGTCAACTCGTCGAGGGCAGCCTTGATCTGTCTTCTTGACGTCCCCTTAAGGTTGCCTGCCTTCTTAACCACGCCCAGAGCCTTAATGGCCTTCTCCACTAGGGCGTCCCGTACCCTTTTATCTGGACCTCTGCCGGGTCCAAGGGGTCCCTAGGGGTCTTGAGCCCCGTGCGAGTACTGCGGAGGTCTACGTCCTCTTCCACCCCGTCACTATCGCTCTCCAGTTCCCTAAGGAACTCCTTCCTCCTGCTTCGAGTTAGGACCACTTTCGCAGTCCCCAACCCTACATATTCAGCCCCTTTGTTGGGAGCCTTTCCCTTCTTGGGGACAGTAGTCCCCTCCATATCTACTGAGCTGACGGCAGAGTCTGTAGAGTCATACTCTCCGCCATCATCCAGTCGCCTTTTCTTACGCCCACCTACCGAGCGCTCCGTTGGACGAACAAACTCGTACGCGCAGGAATTTGTGCGCGAGCGGGTCAGCGGGCCCCTAGTTTCCTCAGCCAGAGGGTTACCCACCTCCATTTCCGTCTCTCCTCCGAGCATAAAGCCCAAGCAAATGCCTTTTTCAGGCGCAGCACTATTTACGGCTTTCCCAGCCACACCATCAGTAATTCCTCCCGAATTTTCGGGGGGATCCTCCAAGGGAGGGGAAGGTGCGGGGGCCATTACAGCCACCCGCAGACCACTTTGGGAGAGACCAGCCAACTAACAGTTGTGAACACAACTTATGTTGTAATTTACAACTGCCAGCTATGACCAATTTCCCCAAAAGTGGAGCGACCTAGCAGAATTTGTGGGAGCAAGTGTCCTTCGGACTCCCAACCCGAACGCCAATCCCACACAGCAGATATCTTCCAGCGATAGGGCCAGCAAAAATCCACTATCTTCTACCGCCCTATAAAGACATCAACGCGACACGTCGTCAAGAAGACTGACGTCAAACAAGATTTTCGTGTCGCGCGGATTTTCTATTTATAGGGAAGGAGAAGGCGGTTTGTTTACCGGAACCTACTAACCTATTGAACCACTAAAAGATACCCACCGGAGCAATTCAGCACCAAAAAACCACCAAAAATCAAAGTCCACATGTATCGAAAGAAATTCCATGTACCATGTCCATACCACCTAAGTCTACATTCTTTAAGCTTTTCAGTAATAGGTACCACTCCGAAGCTACCCATGCTCGTTTCGGACTTTATCTGTAAGCGTAACTCCACCTGCCCAACGAAGCATACGCATTTCAGTGTGTAGCTTTTGCTCATGTACTTGCTTAGTAGCCCACGTTTCACTACCGTATAGTAGGACTGGTCTAACTGCTGCTTTATAAACCTTGCCTTTTGTTTTTATTGGCAGTTTTGGGTCGCACAACACCCCCGTGAGTTCGGGCCATTTACTCCACCCAGACGTGGTTCTATGAGTAATGTCGGCTGTAATCGTGCCATCCTCAGTATTAACAGAACCCAGGTATTTGAACTTGCTTACACTTGGTAGGATTTCTCCGTCCAGCTTCAGTTCAGTGTTTATTGTACCAGATTTGTCGGGGCCGAAGTTCAACACCATATACTCCTGTGAGGTAGGTCATTACCATATTAAATAGTAAGGGGCTAAGAGCACTACCCTGATGCACCCCCACTTCAACATTAAAACTCTTAGATACACCCGCTGGACTTCTGACACTGGTTTGTGCGTTACAATACATATCTGTAATGAGCTTTATATACTGTTCAGGAATGTTCTGAGGCCTTAAGGCCTGCCATATTAAAGTTCGCAGATAGATTACATTTTAATAGATAAAAAAGATCTAAAATAAATCAAAGACTGCAAGGTTATCCCTGGAGAACCACTTACCTCTCAACATAGACTCCTATTAACGGCCCTGAAACTGAAAACACCCATTAAGACAAAAATACCCAAAGTAGAAAAGATCAAATGGCATGCACTAAAGGGTGAAAAGGGTAATGCCGTTAGAAATCAAGTGACGGACAACCTGTGCAAAAATCCTCCAACGAATGAGAGCCCCTCGGTAATATGGAACCACTTTGAATCCTTTTGCTTAGCTATAGTTAAGCGTGAATTAGGAATAAGCAAGAGAGCTCTGCATAATGCAAAAGATACCAAATGGTGGAACACCTACACTAAAGAGAGGGTTGCTGATAAGAAAAGATTGTTTAAAATCTGGCAGAAAACTGTCTCCGATGAAGACAAAGAAAATTACAAGCGAGCCAAAAAAAGTTGCAAGAAGAACAGTGGCAATTGAGAGAGAGAAAGCCGACTCCCACTTTTATCAGCAGCTAGAATTATCTTCTGGCAACGATGTTTATAGAATAGCTAAACGTAGATATAATGATAGCAGAGACTTCATAACCACAAAATTTATTAAAAAATAAAGAAGGCACTTTACTAACGAACGACAAGGATATTTGTGAAAGATGGTATGAGTACTATAAAAACTTATTAAACGAGGAATTTCCTAGGGAACACGTGCTGGAACTTCCGGCAACCAAAGGACCGATTAATGAAATTACTCCGGCATAAGTAAAAAGAGCAATCTCTAAAATGAAAAACCACAAAGCCACGGGTCCAGATGATATACCCGTCGAGCTTTGGAAATCTCTAAAGGCCTATGGAGAAGATTGGCCTTCGAAGCTTTTTAACAGGATTTTGGTCACTGAGGAGATGCCTGATGCTTGGAGAAGTATGTTGGTCCCGTTCTATAAAAACAAGGGAGATGTTAGAGAGTGCGGGAACTTCCGTGGTATTAAACTCACATCACACACCCTCAAGATCTGGGAGCGAGTTATAAGCGAGTGCCTTCGAAGTTCAGTAAATTTATCTGAAAACCAATTTGGGTTTACTGCTGGGAAGGGAACTACTGAACCAATACACGCTATTAATTGAAAAAGCTCGTGAAAACAAACAAGCCATGTGGATGACTTTCATAGATCTCGAAAAAGCTTTTGACCGCGTACCGAGAACTTTAATATCAGCATTAGAGTAGTCCGAAAAAAAAAAACCAATTCGTGGTAAATGTCGATAAAAAACATATAAGGCCATTAATAAAAACAGACTTGAATACAATATATATTATTTATGAAAGAATTGATATGATTTTACTACTAATTGCTATACTATTAATACCTACATTATTCTAGGCCACAAAATTGGCCAATAATACTATAAAAATTAGGTATTTTCTAAAAAATTTTTAGGTTTTTTGCTATGTCCCTTGTATATTTGTTGAGATTCACTGTCAGAGGTACATATGCAGTGAATACTTGAAAATAACAAAGTTCAACGTTATAAAAAGGGGTGAATATTTAAATCAATAATAATTTCTGGAAAATATATTGGTATTGATCGTTCATAAGTAGGTTAGTAGTAACAGAAACAAAGATAAATGTTTAGTGTTATTTATTGTGCATGACTGCTTATTCCAATTCTAGACAGAGTATATAAAACAATAATATTTAAGTACTACGAGTAAATATAAAACTTCTGTTCGGTTTAGAATGTTAGGGAATATCGATTATTTGCTACATCACAGTGTTGCCAGTAAGGACTAGAAAAATGGTTGCTACACTGTAAGTAGCAATTTAAAACTGTACCGTTCATATAACACTACAAATAAAGAATCCAGAACTTGATTAAACAATAAAGAATTGGATTCTTTCAATTATGAATAACGTAAACTCGTTATTTCATAATAGAAAGCGAATAAAATTTCAAATTTCAAATAAAAGCGATGATGTATGTATGAATTAAAAGTAATTAGTTGCAGTTGGGAATTAAAGGACTTATCTAATACTTTAGGTACATATAATTTCAATATATTTTATATAAGAAGAAATTGCCACTGTATTACATAATTAGCTCACAGATAAATCTTACAGGCAAGCTTCTTAGTATCTCTAATTTATATTTCAAGCAATTTCTATGTCTAGAAAATGCGTTCTACAAAATCAATACAAAATAAAATATTTACTTCTAATAATTTCAATATAATTATTTAAATATTTGCCATCATGAAGCATATTTTATGATTAACTTGAGTGCAATAAAATATATGTACATTAATAGCTTAATCATAGAATATCATCATAATACAAGTATAGATAGACATTAAAATAAATGGAATGATGTATATTGTAATAACTATAAAGAAATTTGTAATAAATTAAATAACATTTGATTAATATTATTCAATACATATTTAATCCTGACTAGTTGTAATCCATATCTACTATGTTATATATCAGAGAACCTATTTTCGGCCTCACTGTAAAATATATCTTTTCGTCAAATTTCATTAACATCACAGTTAAACGTTTTGTGATAGGCAATAGACAGACAGATTTTTGCATTTATAATATTAATACAGAATCTAAATTATTTTAGATTCACTAACTAATGCGTTACATAAGAAGTGTAAATTATAATAAATTTTGCATTAGATAAATAAGTGAATGAAAATTTATGAAAAATTACGCATATATATTGACATCATTTTTAAATAATGGATCATTATCGGCTGCTTTAGCGATCAAGGACTCTGTGCCAAATATTTCATCAATTGGTTCACCAGAAGCGTTCCTGAAACATGAATAAAACACTTGCAAAACATATACAGTTGTTCTTTGTGTTATTATATAATATATACATATTATTATAACATAATATTTCAATTAAACCCAACGATTAATTAATATAATATTACATAATTAAAATGAATATTAGATTTCTTTCTTTCTTTTTTGATGTTATGCCATGACAGGGGTGAGTGTTATACTATGTGATTAGTATAATATTTTAAGTCAGGTGGTCAGCCTCCTCGGGACAACCAGTGCAGTACTAAATCAGATTACTCAATATATAAATAAAGTTAATATGCAAGTGTCGCCACTTAAATAGGATTTTTCGTTTGTAAGATAAAAAACACTTCACATATTTTAAAATTCTTTCACCTAGATACATTTCCAGCGAGTAAAATAGGCAGTGTACGAGCTAGCATCGTACTTTATTTCGCTACGTTAACATTCACGTTTTACCAAAAATCAGTTAGCATTTAGTAATCAAGAACATAGCGCGTACTAATTTATCACGGATATTTCGCAATTAATAAATATTATTATTTATACTTCGTAAAATATCGTTGTTAGTAAAAAATAAGTGATCATAGTATTCATTCTCTATATAACGCATTTGTTATGACATATAATCAAATTGGTAGAATAAAACATTCAACAGATTTATCAAAATATTCAATATAAATATTGATATTTGATTGATAAAATCAAAATCTGTTCATCATTTATGGTTGCGTTAGTGGTCTTTTTGTTTTCTAACACTATCTACAGGATGAGTATACTGGTATATAGTACTAGTATAGCGTTCACAAAAGGTCCATTTATCCACGAGGCTATATGTCTAACTATTATAAAATCACCATTAATATAAAATATTTATTCAAATAATAGATTTACTAATCAAAGTGACGGTGACAGGACTATGTACTAGGATCCCTGGTCGTATGGTCGGACGGCGAAGTAAAAATGCTCGGTTGTTTGCACTTAGTAGGAAGGCACCTATTGGGTCGCTGGCTCGCCAGTGAATGCGGACCGCTGTTTTTTCGGACTACTCTAATGCTGTTGGCCGTAGCTGGCCTTTACAGCTTCACCGGACGTTATGGGGCGAGTGCAGATGGCACTCCAAACCCGCGGAAGGACTTATGGAGCGGCTGAAGGCCAACTCCTGCCCGACGGATACGACTTTAGTCTGAGGGCACCACTAGGGGTTCGAACCTCGGCTCAGGCCGTCGTAATTTCGATCCCCGTTTGAATTGGACGGGGGATCGATCGGAGGGGCGCCCGAGGGCGCCGGTGTGGAGCGCCCGGGCCCGGTTGAATGCGCGATATTGTGTGTTTGAGGTCGTCGTCTTCGCCGGCGAGGACGGTGTCGTGTGTGTGTGTAAAAGTGTGGTCGGGGTGGAACGGGTGGGCCCGTGGGGAGGTTACCTGCCGTTATGGGGTCGTCGGGGTCAATGAGAACGTGCCTCGGGCGACGTTGTCGCGTGTGTCGGATATTACTCCTCGGTGCGTAGTCGACCGCACTGACTATAAGCGGATTAGGGTGGGATTGGGCAGAGTCGAAGTAGCGTCGAGACGCTTCTTTCATAAACTGCTTGATGGAGGGCAGATTAAGATCGCGGTGGAGATCTACGCTGCGAACGAACCACGGCGCACCGGTGGCTCGGCGCAGAAACCTATTCTGAATGACCTGTAGTCTGTTGATTAAACAGTAGGGTATGTGGGCGAATACGGGACTAGCGTAGGTCATGATGGGACGGATGCAAGCCTTGTATAATGTCAGCTTGTTGCGAAGCGACATTTTACTGTGCTTGTTAATAAAAGGATAGAGTCGCCCTAGTATAAAGGCGGCTCGGTCGCGGACACGCTTGATGTGAGGACGAAACGTTAGTTTCCTATCTAGGGTGACGCCGAGATATTTCGTTTTCGAAACCCACGGGATGTTTTGGCCGAATAGTTCGATCGGGTGATTCATAGAGTCGAATTCCCTGCTAAAGTACACTGCTGCACTTTTTTCGGGATTGACTTCTATGCGCCACCGACGGAACCATTCGCCCAGTATCGTTACGGCTTTCTGAAGCCGTCTGGCTATTGTCGCACGGGACTTGGCGGATGTAAAGAGAGCCGTGTCATCGGCAAACAGCGATATTTCGACTTTTAAGTCGGAGAATTTAGGGATGTCGTTGGTGTACAACGAGTAGAGCATCGGAGAGAGGACGGCGCCCTGAGGGACGCCGGCTCGTATGGGGTGCGGGTCGGATAACGCTCCGTTTATACGGTAGCAATAAGAGCGATTCGACAGGAAATCTCGTACAATGAGCACTAGCCTGTCGGGGACACCTAACTGATGAAGCTTGTAAATCAAGCCGTTGTGCCAGACTTTATCGAAAGCCTTAGCCACATCGAAAAATAGGACGCCTGTACCGCCTTTGGGGGACTTGGTGGCGAAGTACAGAGTGTTTTTGTGAATGTGCTCCGTGATGCGGTGCACTTGATGGACGCATGAGTGTTTGGCTCGGAAGCCAAACTGCTCATTGATGAGCAGGCCTTTGGAGTATATAAACTCCTTTAGGCGGGCGAGGAGGATTCGCTCGTACAGCTTGCCTATAGCCTCTAGGAGGCTGATAGGACGATAACTGGACGGGTCGGATTTATTTTTACCGGGCTTGGGGATGCCAATGACCACGGCTTCTTTCCAGCTGTCTGGAAATATAGCGTTGGACAGCGCCGCGTTAAAAATAGCGACGAGTAATAACAAAAGTTGGGATGGCAGACTTTTGACTAATCTATTCGATATGCCGTCTGAGCCGGGTGATTTTTTGATAGGTAGTTGTTTAACTAGCGTTTTGACCTCATCAAGCGTGACTGGTGAGAGGGATTCGGTGGGCGGGGTGGACGCGATGCGTTCGACTTCGGTGTCTATCTTCTCGAGATGACCTGCCTCGACTGGGAGCGTGCTGGGGGAGCATTGGGCTTCTAAGTTGGACGCTAGACACTCAGCCTTGTCTTCGTCGAAGAAGGCTATAGTGTTGTCGGGTCGGACTAGCGGGGGCATGTCGTTTGTCTGTTGGTCGGTTTTGAGAGATTTCGCTATGCGCCAGTACGCGGTGTGGCATGGCGTTATCTCTTCTAGGAGCTTGCCCCACCGGCCGTCCCGGATCTGCGCGATGCGCTCCTTAACGCTACGCTGTAAGGCTCGCAGGCGCACCCGGTTCGGTTCGGAGGGGTAGCGATCGTACGCTCTAGTGGCTGCGTTCTTATCGCTTATTAACCTCCTTACGTCATCGGGGAGCTGCCAGCGACGGTCATCTGTCGCCGGTACCTCCCTGGAGCAGTCCTTGACTGCCGACTGCAGGTGGTTAGTAAGCGAGTCGATCGCAATGAGAGTGTCCTCGGTGGACTCTATGACGTCGGGAATACGGTTGAGTATCGGTGTGTCGGTCGATTCGAGAGATTTCTCGAGTCGTTGCCAGTCTGTTATTGTTTTGGTTGGTAGTGGCGTGTCGGGCGGATGGCCCAGAAGGAGGGTTACCGGTCGATGGTCCGAGTTAAGCTCGGCATGGACTTCTGGGGAGCTCACCCGTAGGGTTACGTTCCTCAGCAGTGCCATGTCCAGTATGTCGGGTCGGTGGTTCACGTTATGGGGATAATGAGTAGGGCGGAGCGGGGCGATTATCTCGAATTCGAGCGAGTCGGCTAGTCTGTCTAGTTTGTGGCCGTTTGTCGTGGACACGTGGCAGTTCCAGCGGGTGTGTTTACAATTCAAATCGCCAGCCAGAATGGTGGCGCTGTTGATATCTAGGAGGGCGCGTAGGTCGCTTTCCAGCAGTAGTTTGCCGGGAGGCTGATATACGGATGCCACGGCGAGCGGTCGGTGGCCGGTCATGCCGAGAAGACAGACGGAGGCCTCCATATGAGTGAGAGGCGGTGTTTGTAGCGGTATACAATGTAGGGACCGTTTATAGTATATGAGCGTACCGCCGCCTCTACAGGCGGTGCGGTCGTTCCTAACTATGTTGTAGTTGGCGATTCTAGGATCGCGGACTGAACGTTTCAGTAGGGTCTCCTGCACGAGGAGAATATCGACTTGGTGGTCAGTGAGAAAGGAGGCGATTTCCTCCTGTTTTTTTAATCCGAACGCGTTGAAAAATGCTATTCGAACGGACCGAGGCTTTTCTCTCTGAGCTCGAGTACCCATAATTACAGGTTAAAATTGAGGATGGCGGTAAGTACGCCGATGTGCTCGCAGACGGCTGCGAGCCTATTTTGGGGCGACTCCTTATACAGGCGGAGCTTGGAGGCCAGAAGGGCAATCTCGTTAGGGTCGATGGTGCTGGCTAAGCGAGCGACCAATGCGAAGTCCTGCGCGAGGGAGCTGCCGTTGGCCTTGGGGGCCGCGGGCACTGTTTTGGGGACGGGTTTGTGTATGGGCATGGGCGGGGCCGATTGGGCGGGCGGGGCCGACTGGGCGGGCGGGGCTTTCTGGGCGGGCGGGTTGGGTGCTACCTTGCTTACAATTGCCGGGGGTTTAATCCAGGCATTGTTAGCAGGCAGAGGGGCGGGTACGAGTGGCTCGGGTTGTGTTTGAGCCTTGGCGGGGGCACGTGCCGGAGTACGGTTGCCCTGGGTGTGGGTGGCCTTCTTTTTGGCGGGACGTGGGGCGCGTGAACAACCGCGGTAATTCGCGGTGTGACCCTCTGTGAGGCAGAGGGTGCAACTGGGGGGCGTGGGGGTATTGGGCCTACGGCCGCAATCTGCGGTGGCGTGATCGCCTAGACACTTAACGCACCGTGGGCGAGCGAAGCAATTACGGGCAGAGTGCCCGTAGTTCTGACAACGGTGGCATTGTCCGGGGTAGGTACGCTTGCGAGGCGCCTCTACGGAGAGTGAGGATAGTTGGCAAACGCTCTTTATATCAAAAATCGAATTGCCTTCTGGGGATAAGTCCAATATGACTAGAACAAGGTCGATAGCGGCCTTGTTGCGTGAGCGCGACTGGTACATACGATGTACCTCGTGCGCTGGGTAATTTTGGGACTGAAGGTCCTCAAGGATGGAGTCTGTAGAGAGCTCCTTGGGAAGGCCGCGTATTACAACGCGGAGCTTTTTCTCTTCCTCGAGAGCATAGGTGTGATAACCTATGTTTTTCTCCCGCAGGAAGGTGGTGAGACGACGATGGTCGTCAGATGATGGGACTGATACTTTGATCCCTAGTGAGGTAGCCTTAGCACGGCTGAAATTGATATGCTTATTTTTAAGCATATTTGATACTGTGTTCCAGGCACTTTTGTCCTGGATGATGACAGGGGGCGGGGCTTTGGTCTCGGGGTGCGACTTGCGTGCACTCGGACCGGGGGCGGTTTTAGCGGTACCGTCAAGGGCACGCTTTGTTTTGGCTGGCTGGGAGCCCTGGGTCTTCTTGGCACGCTTGTTGCCAACAACGATAAAATCGTCCTCGTCTGAGGAGACCGGGGGGATGGGAGAAGGGACGTCGCCGTCGCGGATGGCGTCGAGCTCCATACTAGGAGCGTCAAGCTCCGCGACGGAGTCGTCCTGCTCCATGGACGGAGAGGCGGGTTCGGCCTGGTCGGCTTGGGTCGGGGGAAGCGGCGGGAGCCGTTGGGAGTCGTCCTCGAATTCGTCGGTGTCAGTGTGAGTCATCATTGGGGACGCGGGGTCGAGCTGTACACTAAGTGTACGGGCTTGGCGGCTTTGAATGATATAAAGGCATTTAAGATGCCGGGACACTTTTTTTCCAAGAACTGGAAGAACAGAGGCATATCGGCCTCTGATAAGGACATTTTTTGAACAGAAAATAATAGAATAAAACAATACAATAACAATACAACAATACAATACAATAAAACAATAGGGTAAGTCAGTGCTTAAGATAAGGGCGGACCGCTGCGCGGCCGCGCTCTTTATATAGACGCCCGACGGGTGGCCTTCCCTACTGCAACTGTACGTTGCGCGTGATTTATTATTATTAACAAAAATGATCTTACAAATTTTGCTTATACTAATTATTTATATCTAATGGAATAAAAGACACTATATTATATATTTTATTGATGATGACTTATTATACTAATTACTTTCTAATTGATTCCGTCGTGTACACAAAGGATGATTCGGTATACGGGAATTCCACTAAATTATCTAAAGGGAGGTCCTTTAGATAATTTAGTGGAATTCCCGTATACCGAATCATCCTCTCTCATAAAAATAAAAGAATAAACATTAGCTAAAAAGTCACAAGTAAAAAAACCATGAAGTATTAATTAATATTAAAAGCACTTTCCATTTATAGCTTTTTAGAATTTGTATATTGCTGTATATAAGGCAGCTACTAAATATATGTAAATGTAAAATACTCGGTCATTTTCTGAACGGTAAATCTAAATATATATAACTCAAAGGTGACTGACTGACATAATGATCTATCAAGGCACAGCCCAAACCACTGGACGGATCGGGGTGAAATTTGGCATGCAGGTGGATGTTATGACGTAGGCATCCGCTAAGAAAGGATTTTGATTAATTCTACCCCCAAGGGGATATAATAGTGGTTGAAAGTTTGTATGAAACTTTGTCAATTTTAAACCGATCGGGCTGAGACTTTGCATGCATAATGCTACTATGACGTAGGCATCCCCTAAGAAAGCATTTTGATAAATTCCACCCCTAAGAGGATAAATTAACGCGAGCGAAGCGGGCAAAAGCTAGTAGTTTATAAATTCGATTACTAGATTCTCTAGGTTCATAAGTAATAATTAAGAACGGTCCGAAAACAAAAAATGGATGTAAAACTTGAATAATTACCTGTTGGCGCCGTTAATATCCATTTCTCCAGAATAACTATCAGAGTCGTCATTCAATGATATTTGTGAATCTGGAATGATAATATATAATAAAATACAGAAATAGGTACACAATAATTTGATATTACAAATGAATTACTAAGTATTTTAAGAAAAATAACGCAATAGCAACGAGGTTTAGGCTATGGTTATCGTTTACCATTATAATCAATATTTTGTAATGCACGAGTTAGGCTGTGCGGTGTTTTATTTTTTTGGTTCGATAATTCCCATCTCAAGAAAAGGCGAAAGGACTTAACCTATACAGTCACTGTCTTCGGTAGTCAATTCGATCACTCAAATTAAAATAATAACAAGAGAATGGTTTTGGCTTCAGTTTTTTATGACCAGCCGCCTGCCTGAAGTCAACCCTCCTTGGGCTTCTTTTGCTTTCTTTTCCATTATCATCGGCAGTATTTTCACATTATACATTATTCATTTTGTTCGAGTTAATCTCTGACAATTGTGGTCACTAGTGAGGTAGGTTACCCGAGGTAGCGAGTCGGTGCGTGGTCAGGTACTCAGCGGAGAGATAGGGCGGCAAATCGTCAGCCGCGTCCCCAGCACCGCCGCTACCACCACCGCCGCCCTCTGCGCCCAGCGTCTCCACCACTGACAGCCACTGCCCGTTGTGGCATCTGAATCTTTCCACCTATACATGCAAATCATCATGATACCGACCGACACAATGTTATAAACACCCAGAACGAAATAGACAATTATACTCATGAATACAAATGTTAGCACCAAGCGATGAATCTAACCCACGACCATAAAAAGTAAAGCGGTGTATAGAACCGATAGTTCACCGAGGCCATCTAATAAGTATTTTGTTCAATTTGCTAACCGACCGCTAAAAGTACGGTACGGTGTTGAATTCTCCACTAGCAGAATGTGAGTCAATGTGTTACATATATTTGTACAAACCTTTATTCTCGCAGCCCATTCATTCTGCATTTGAGAAATTATGTCAAGGCAGGAATCGCACATTTTTCTGATTTCTACATTTTTATCTTGCATTAGATCTATTAGATAGGCTGGAGCTTCTGTAAAGTGATAAAATAAATCAGAACTGCAAACAATGTAGAAAATGCAAATAGCGGTTTTTCATTATATATATATATATATATATATATATATATATATATATATATATATATATATATAAATATCCCCTTGGGCACTTTGTGGCTCAGACGTGCCGTATAGGTAGTTTTTTGTTGATCCTTTTTCACTTGTTGATCCGGAGGCCTTTTGTTGATCTAATGCCAGCTGACCATATATAAATGTTGATCCGTTTTGAGCCACAACTGTCACGACGAGTAATAATAATAATTAAGCGATTTATACACGATTTTATACAAATCCACCTTTTTGGCATACGACCACTTCTTGATCCAATTCAAACGGGCCAATCAGGGTGCAGCATTTGCCAAGGGCTTCCTCATTGGCACGTTTGGGCTACTACATTATGGCTACAGTAACTTAATAATGTCTAGCTAGTATTTCAAGAATAATAGTCTATCTAATCTAAATATTTATAGAAATCAGTCTGGAGTAACGTGACTCCAGATCAAACCTCAATACTTATTATTTTTTGGACGGGAATCTTTTCTTTTGTAACAAAGTTACTCAGCGAATAAAGAGAAGACGCAACGGCGGATCCAGGGGGGAGCGTCATGGAGGTCATGGGAGTCATGGGGGCGTCATGACTCTCCCCTCCCTTAGCCCAGGACTTAGGTAGACCACTAATTGAACTAAAAAATAATGAAACAGCAAATTTTTTTGCACGATCGGAGTGTTGGTGCAGTAGTATTAATTATAATTAAACATTGTTACTTAAAACATAACAGTTAAAGTACTATAACACTAAAAGCAAAATAGGTATTTTCAAAATACTTTTTCAAAATAAATTACCCTTTGAGTTTTTGTCCAAACCTCAGATATTTTATTTATTTTAGGTATATCAATCATTACATAGTATAGTATAAAACAAAGTCGCTGTCGCATCTAACAAGTACATAAATAAAAAAACAAGACTTTTTGGCTCTGAATATATTTCAAAAATCAATTACTTGTGTTAATCAATTTATATACTCGTTCTTATTTCATAGTACTTGTTTTGATCCGAATATATACAGATACCGTAACGGTCTATTAATTATGAATTTATTATACCTAACCTAGATATTTTATTTTGACGAAACTCCGTGTAGTAGTAGTATCCGATAAGGGTATGCGAACCCTAAGTATTATTTCAAAATGACCAGTAATTTCGAAGAAATAAGCCTTTGAATTTCAAATCAACTTACCAAACGGACGCTCAAGGTTCGATTCCCGCCACCGATTTTTTTTTGTTATTTTTTTTTTGGTCTTTATTCTAATTTTAAATTAACTATTTTAATAATTAAATGAATTTAATCGAACAAAACGTTGTTAAGTATTCAATTAATTTTAATTTACATTACCTATTGTACTTTCTAAATTGTAAAGCAGCTAACAATTATAGTAAGATCTTATAAATAACTAACACAACAAGTAAAACATTTTAAATGTATTTTCTTTATTATTACAAATATTTTTTATGCATAATATAATAGTTAATATCTAATAAATACATAATGATCTGATAATCAAATTATAAGTACAGTCTCAAATTGAAAGTAAGAAAAACAGAAAATATAGAGAGAACTATAGGGATATAACAGAAAGATGTGAAAAATGGAGAAGGACAGTAAAAAAGTTACAAATTTAAATAATGTTGCCGCAATTTCTGTTTAAATGAATTTATTACATTATTATATATATTAGGCATACGACTAGCCTTATGACTGTTACTTTTTTTTTAATCTATACATCTATACATGTAAATAAAATTGGAGTGTCTGTTTGTAATATTGAAATAACCGTTTTTACTACTTGCATATGAATATAAATCCGGTACATACACCAAAATAACATATTTTACAAGTTTTGTCTGTCTGTCTGTCTGTTTGTTCCGGCTAATCTCTGAAATAGCTGGACCGATTTTGACGGGACTTTTTTTGGCAAGTAGCTGATGTAATAAGGAGTAACTTACGCTACTGTTATGTTAGAAAAATAAAATAAAATTTCACGCGGACGAAGTCGCTGGGGCCAGCTAGTCTATAGATATACCGAGATTTAATATTTAAGTTGCTATTATGTTGTTGACAAAATTTTACTGTAATGTTACTATTACGTTATCCTACACAATTTGTATTATATTGGATGAATAAATAAATAAATAAATAAATAAATAATAATCTATACATCTATACATACAAATAAAATTGGAGTGTCTGTTTGTAATATTGAAATAACCGTTTTTTACTACATGCATATGAATATATATAAGGTACATATACCAAAATAACAATTTTTATAATTTTAGTCTGTCTGTCTGTCGGTCTGTTTGTTCCGGCTAATCTCTGAAATGGCTGGACCGATTTTGACGGTACTTCTTTTTGGCAGGTAGCTGATTTATAAGGAGTAACTTAGGTTACTTTTATTTTAGAAAAATAAAGTTTAATTCCACGCGGACGAAGTCGCGGGAACAGCTTGTTTTTAATAAAAACATCTTTTTTGTGGTACTTGAGAATGTTGAAGCCTGTTGTTTGTAATATTGAAATAACCGTTTTTTACTACTTGCATATGAATATAAATACGGTACATACACCAAAATAACATATTTTACAATTTTTGTCCGTCTGTCTGTTTGTTCCGGCTAATCTCTGAAATGGCTGGACCGATTTTGACGGGACTTTTTTTGGCAGGTAGCTGATGTAATAAGGCTACTACCTAGTAACTTAGGCTACTTTTATTTTAGAAAAATAAAGTTAAAAACCACGTGGACTAAGTCGCGGGAACAGCTACTGTATAATATATTAGAGATACCTACGTGTTTTTTTATTGATGACTAGCTGTACACGGGATTTCGTCCGTGTGGAATTTAACTTTATTTTTCTAAAATATAAGAAGTTAAATTCCACGCGGTACAGCTAGTTGTCGGTAGTCTAGCGATTTAGCTAGCACACTGCTTTGATTCCTGCTTGGTGGTCGAGGGTTCGATTCCTCGCACGCTGCAAACATTTGTATTCATGAGTATGATTGTTTGTAACGGTCTGGGTGTTTTCTATGTATAGATAATATATATGTATTTACGAAAAAAATCTTTGTATTTATATCAGTTGTCTAGTACCCATAACATAATCTTCAGCTAGCTTAACTTGGGTCTAGATGAAGCTGTGTGAATTGTCCTGAGATTACTATTATTACTATAATAAATCTTTTCAAATCAGCCGATGTTTATTTTTGCCATAATACGTGCTGTTACCATGTGATAATATTACGTACGTACTTATTAAACTATTAACTTTTTATTAAATTATTAACTATTTATACTGTTTTAAATGTGATGCGTTCATTATTTATATTTCCTTTGAATTAAAGACAAATGTATATATATATATACATTTATATAAACTTGCACACTTAGTTGATCCAGCCACGATCCGTAGATATTGCTGATTCCACTGTCTCTCTCTTTCTATCACTATCTTTGTATTCTAATATGCGATGTTGCCGTTCCGGCATGGTCTCGGCCGGAACGGCAACATCGCATATGTTGCGCGTTGTTGCCAAATGTATTCGTCGATAGTAGTAGATACCTATACGCGATATATATTTTTTCAACAATTTCCTGCAATAGTGAATCCGTATCGGCAATTTTTTTTAAATGCACAAAGATTTTTTGGCTCTGAATATATTTAAAAATCATTTACTTGTGTGTTGATGAATTTATATACTAGTACATGAAGTACCTAATACTTGTTTTGATTTGAATAGGTAGCGATATTATGAATTTATTATACGTAATCTAAAGATTTTGACGAAATAAAAGTAATTAGTTATCTGTTAACCTTGACTTCATGCTGGCACCAGTATTATCAGATGATGAACATACTCTTCGAAAACTTACAGCAGAAATATCGTGTTTGGACTCATTAGATAGGTCTCGATGAATAGAGTTTAAAAAACTTAAAATAAATGGTACATTAGAAATAATGTATAAAAACCCCTTACGTAAAATTCAACCACTTTAAACTTAATAATAATAATAATTAGGAAAAGAGAAAAGCTATACATGCACTGAAAGTAATTGATGCCTTCCACACAATATTTTCAGTATTAAACAACTCTGTTTGTTCAGTAAAAGTGTAAATACACTGGTAACCTTTAATCATATTTTATATGCAAACATTACATATACAAACACTCAAGTTTTATTTCAGAATAGCCAGTAGTTTTCAAGAAATAAGTCTTTGAAATTGTACGTGTAACTTATATATATACCTACTAGTTTTTTCACCATAACAAACAACACCAATATGGCCTAGTTAGTAGTTTACCTGTGTACCAATTAATAATAATAGTAATCTCAGGACAATTCATACAGCTTCATCTAGACCCAAGTTAAGCTAGCTGAAGATTATGTTATGGGTACTGATATAAATACAAAGATTTTTTTCGTAAATACATATATATTATCTATACATAGAAAACACCCAGACCGTTACAAACAATTCAATAATAAGTTAATAGTTTAATAAGTACGTACGTAATATTATCACATGGTAACAGCACGTATTATGGCAAAAATAAACATCGGCTGATTTGAAAAGATTTATTATAGTAATAATAGTAATCTCAGGACAATTCACACAGCTTCATCTAGACCCAAGTTAAGCTAGCTGAAGATTATGTTATGTGTACTGATATAAATACAAAGATTTTTTTTTGTAAATACATATATATTATCTATACATAGAAAACACCCAGACCGTTACAAACAATCATACTCATGAATACAAATGTTTGCAGCGTGCGAGGAATCGAACCCTCGACCACCAAGCAGGAATCAAAGCAGTGTGCTAGCTAAATCGCTAGACTACCGACAACTAGCTGTACACGCGACTTCGTCCGCGTGGAATTTAACTTCTTATATTTTAGAAAAATAAAGTTAAATTCAACACGGACGAAATCCCGTGTACAGCTAGTCATCAATAAAAAAACACGTAGGTATCTCTAATATATTATACACTAGCTGTTCCCGCGACTTCTTCCACGTGGTTTTTAACTTTATTTTTCTAAAATAAAAGTAGCCTAAGTTACTAGGTAGTAGCCTTATTACATCAGCTACCTGCCAAAAAAAGTCCCGTCAAAATCGGTCCAGCCATTTCAGAGATTAGCCGGAACAAACAGACAGACAGACAAAAATTGTAAAATATTTTATTTTGGTGTATGTACCGTATTTATATTCATATGCAAGTAGTAAAAAACGGTTATTTCAATATTACAAACAACAGGCTTCAACATTCTCAAGTACCACAAAAAAGATGTTTTTTTATCAAATAAACAGTTTTTATTAAAAACAAGCTGTCCCCGCGACTTCGTCCGCGTGGAATTAACTTTATTTTTCTAAAATAAAAGTAGCCTAAGTTACTCCTTATAAATCAGCTACCTGCCAAAAAAAGTACCGTCAAAATCGGTCCAGCCATTTCAGAGATTAGCCGGAACAAACAGACCGACAGACAGACAGACAAAAATTATAAAAATTGTTATTTTGGTATATGTACCTTATATATATTCATATGCATGTAGTAAAAAACGGTTTTTTCTATATTACAAACAGACACTCCAATTTTTATTAAATGTATAGATGTATAGATTATTATTTATTTATTTATTTATTCATCCAAAATAATACAAATTGTGTAGGATAACGTAATAGTAACATTACAGTAAAATTTTGTCAACAACATAATAGCAACTTAAACATTAAATCTCGGTATATCTATAGACTAGCTGGCCCCAGCGACTTCGTCCGCGTGAAATTTTATTTTATTTTTCTAAAATAACAGTAGCGTAAGTTACTCCTTATTACATCAGCTACTTGCCAAAAAAAGTCCCGTCAAAATCGGTCCAGCTATTTCAGAGATTAGCCGGAACAAACAGACAGACAGACAGACAAAACTTGTAAAATATGTTATTTTGGTGTATGTACCGTATTTATATTCATATGCAAGTAGTAAAAAACGGTTATTTCAATATTACAAACAGACACTCCAATTTTATTTACATGTATAGATGTATAGATTAAAAAAAAAGTAACAGTCATAAGGCTAGTCGTATGCCTAATATATATAATAATGTAATAAATTCATTTAAACAGAAATTGCGGGAACATTATTTAAATTTGTAACTTTTTTACTGTCCTTCTCCTTTTTTCACATCTTTCTGTTATATCCATATAGTTCTCTCTATATTTTCTGATTTTCTTACTTTCAATTTGAGACTGTACTTATAATTATATATAATATTTATACATTTATGGGTTATATTTAGATATATATTTATGTATGTATATTGTTATTTTTTTATAGAAATGTATATTTTGCTTATCTTTATTATCTTTATAAATCTTTTTTTGACATTTCTTATTTATATTAGTGCACCGCCAATAATCTTTCGCTGCACCACTCATGGTTGCCTGGTAAATAACGCGGCAAAATATTAAGTCCGCCACATGTACAAATTTTTTTGTGCATTAAAGTTAAAGAAATAAAAAAATACAATACTGTTTAATGAAAATGCGTGTTGTCTAGTGCTTTGAGATGTATCAAAATAAGGTCAACAAAAAAGTCCGTGATGGTATATGTCTATCTCTTAAGGATAACCAACAATAACCATTTTTTATCTTTTACATTTTACGGGATTTTTTTTAGTATGTTTCCCTTAAAATCATGTAAACTATGTTATTATGTCATAATCTAAAGAAATAATAATATTTTATAGTGACATATCCACTATAAAATACCAAAAAGTAGCAATGTAATTCGTTACGCGCGAATCAGGTGTTATAAGGTCAAAGGTCGGTGCACCCCGCGTATTTGATAAATAGTGCTTCTCTGGATGTCTTTAAGAGAAAATGGCAGTATGTACGTGTATATGTACAAGTCCTTAAGTGTTAAGTTTTTCAAATGTACATACAGTAAAGAATAAATATTTTTAAGTACAGTACTTACGTACATTAATATAATACCTACTTTTTACTTGTATCTATTGTTATCAAAATTAAATTATAAGTTCTTAACTTGACCACGACTATGTGACCCTCTCTTGGCGCCAAAACGAGTGAAAAAATGAACAGCATACGACGACGACGCAGTACCTATAGAGTGGAGCAACTGCTTATTCAGTTTTATTCAACTATTTAGTCCCTCCACCGTTACAATGAATGGAGGCGGATATTACAATGTACGTAGCATTGCGAATATAAAATATCTAGATTAGGTATAATAAATTCATAATTCATAGGCCGTTACGGTATCAGAGCCAAAGTCTTCTTTCTTTGTTTATGTACTGTTAGATGCGACAGCGACTTTGTTTTTATATTACTATGTAATGATTGATATACCTAAAATAAATAAAATATCTGAGGTTTGGACAAAAATTCAAAAGGTACTTAATTTTTAAAAAGTATTTTGAAAATACCTATTTTGCATTTAGTATTTGAAATACAAAACACAAAACTATTTTTGTTTTTAGAGTGACATTTCTATGAATTCACTGTCGATAGCGAGCGGTGCGATGGAAAAAGATAACCGTTTATAAAAATATAATAAATAACCCTGGACAATTAACACAGACTGATACTGAACTGATATAAATAGATATTTTTATTTTGTAAATACATATATAATATACATATAAAACACCCAGACCGATGAAAACAATCGATGACCGATGAGTACAAATGTTTGCATCGTGCGAGAAATCGAACCCGCGACCATCGGATGTAAAGCGGTGTGACCACCGAGGCAGTCGAAATATATAAATAATCTTATGAATTTAATTTATTCTAATTTGTTTATGTGCGCGGGGTGCGGTGTACGGTGCTCCCCCTCCCTCCAGCCTTGCTGGAGCTTGCATGTATGGAGCATTGCGAATATAAAATATCTAGATTAGTAAATTCATAATTGATAGACCGTTACGGTATCTATATATATTCGGATTAAAATAAGTATCGCAGTAAGGACCAGTATATAAAGTGATCAACACAATTAACTGATTTTTGAAATATATATACAGAGCCAAAAAGTCTTTGTGTATTCAAAAAATATCTAATTTGTTTGTGTGCGCGGGGTGCGGTGTACGGTGCAGGGGGGACCCTGCCTCCACCGTTGCTGGAGCTTGCATGTATGGAGCATTGCGAATATAAAATATCTACATTAGTAAATTAATAAAGTCATAATTGATAAACCGTTACGGTATCTATATATATTCGGATGAAAGTAAGTATCGCAGTAAGGACGAGTATATAAAGTGATCAACATAATTAATTGATTTTTGGAATATATTCAGAGCCAAAAAGTCTTTGTGTATACCAAAAATTTAGCCGTTCGGAGCCATTCAGTCACGAATTATTAGTAAAAAAAGTGTCGAGTATATCGTACTATCGACGAATATATATGGCCGCATCGCAAAATAGAATGCGACGTTGCCATACCGCCTGAGATATACGAGATAGAGGTCAAGTTATTCAGTGCAAAAGGTGGAATCAGCAAGTGTTTAGGTTGTGGCGTGATCAACAAAGTGCCCAAAGAGGTGTTTATATATATATATATATATATACAATTATACATATATAATAAAAAATAACTGCATATAATAATACATAAAATATAAATAAATGCATTCCGCGGCTACCCTTAATTAAGTCAACACTGTGATATAACACTTGTAACTTCATAGAGTCAAGTTCAAGTTGACTTTTTGGTCACTCAAATAAAATAAAATAACATTTTGGATTCGATATTATTGAAAAATAAGAGTATGGTGCAATACACGTATGGCGAGTGCGATCATTCACTGTGTGTGGGCGTTACCGGTGCGCGTGAGGAGGTAGTCAGCGGCGCGCGGGTGCGACAGCATCTGCCGGAAGGCGTAGACGGTGTGCAACACGTGGTCGTCGTCGGCCTGCCGCTGTCGCAGCAGCGCTACGAGCGCGCGGCCCGCGCCGGCTCGCAGCAGCCCCGCCGCGCACCGCTCCTCGGCGGCCAGCGCGCCGCTCGCCGCCACGCCCTCCAGCACCAGCTCCGCCGTGCTGCCGCTCTCTACGCACACGCACGCGCCACGCTCATTACATGTGGCCTCGATGATCTAGCACCACACCGCTTTATTCCCGATGGTCGCGGGTTCGATTTTTCGCACGCTATAAATACCTATCTATATACTTGTATCAGTTATCTAGTATCCATAACACAACCTCTGCTTACCATGGGACTAGATGACGCTGTGCTAATTATCCAGGGTTATTTATTTATTTTATACATCACCCCACTTACCCTTCACGGGGGGTAATGCCAATGTAGAATGTTGCGTGTGACTGTGACCCTTACGCGGTCCCCCCGGAAACCGTCGTGGTTAATTCCTGGTGAATTGTATGACTCGACCTTATGCTCATCCTTCAGTAGTGCCCCATCTATATATACTATTAGTTTGATAAATGTGCGATGCCGAGTTCAACTACGAGTCTGACGAGGCTTCATAACGTCATTGTCACCTGGTTCTACGCTATATTCACAACATAACAAAATACATATATCCGACATACCTGGATCTAGTATCTTCATAATACACGGTATTAAATTGTATCTTTCTACGACAGCATATACATCTATGTCATTGTTCGCATGTAACATATTACTGAGTGTTCCAATACATTCGATAATGAATTCCTCGGGGACATCACCATTCGTTACGGCTCCAGCGATATCTCCGACGAATTCCTATAAATTCAAGTTATAACATTAATTTATTTATATAAGTATGAATAGTGCGCCTGCCAGAATTTGTGATTATAGAAGCGGCACCTTTGTTTGACTTTGAAAATAGAACCTTAATAATGTTCAAACTTACAATTTAAATTAATTATGGTCGAAGTTGGGGCACTGAGCAACCAGTAGTTTGGTCTTGAAACTTGAAATCGATATCTATTGTAGATAAAATATTATATTTCAACTAATATATTATACAACAATTTCACATATTGATAATACAGTATTTCAGAAAGGGACAATGCCATTCAAGTTGCTCCAAGCTACAACTTAAACTAAGCAAGATAAGCTGATTTTGTATTTTAAATCAAACATTAGATCATATTTAGAAAATGTAGATTTAAAAAATTCATTTATAAATCTTTTAACCCAACACAATAGACAAGTACCTACAACGATGTAACATTATTAAAAATTATACTGTTTTTATAATTTATAAAATAATACTTACGACAAACAATGGCTTATTTTGAGCGTGATTCGACAAGTTCCGTACTAGTTTCATGAGCATGGTGTTCTTGTATCGAAAAGCGCGCTCAAGAAGTTCTCGTAGACGGCCTTCGGATGCCATCTGGTGGGCGGCGCGGTCGCACCAAGCAAGGTTCACGCACAACGCGAGGAGTACATCTGTGGTGCTCGTCGCGCTACTCCCAAATGCGTCACTGTTAACGTTCAGTAACAGCATATCGGTCAGCTAAAACAAGACAGTAAAGCTCCATTAAAAAATTAAACCATGTATCTTACCTGGAAACAAGGATATACATAATAAGCATGTGTATGGATATATAATATTAAATACTTAATAGTAATTTTCTTATATTTGCTTGCTCTAACATTATCTAAATCTAACTACTACAACCATTTATCTAAATGTACCAAATGTAAACACCTGTAGCTGTAAATATTATGAAATGCAATAAATATATTGAAGAGTCAACTTTCATAAACCATCTCGCGCATATCGCTACGGTGATCCCCGTAAACTCTTGTCTCCTCTGTCAGATAGTTCTAGATCTAATTCAATACTTAAGATAGTTTTAATGACTGTTCATACAGTAATGTACAATATTATGAACAAATTAAATCAACACAACTAAAAATTTACTTAATTTAGTAGGTAGTACATATCTGTTTGCACACAATCGATCTGGCTAAAAAAAATCTAAATAATGAGTAAAACGGTTAAATTGTGAGAAGTGGGAGGGGAGTGATATCTTAACTTTATTTGCCACAAGTCATAAAACTTACCAGTTTTACACAATCAGACTGGGTGAACATTAATTTAACTTTATCATCCATGCTCAAGTGGTACAAAATTTTCATTGCCAAATTAATATGTTTATCATCACCTGAAATCGTTTATTAAGCAATTATTTCAATACTATTATAGTTACACATTAATTGTTGGAACTTGTGCGGCGTATCGAGCCGGTCGCTATATTGTGCGCTTGTGCATTATCATTCATCATACTCGTGAACAGGTGCTGCTTGTTGATTTATCTCTATTTAATTAACATTCATATATGTAATAGCATACATGATGTCTAGCTATCTATCACTCTATTAATCCTAAATCAAAGAGTAAATAATTATATTTTTTATAATGAAGTACAATGGAATTTGAAGAGGGCTCAAATAACTTGCTTGAAATATTTCCTGATAGAATGGAGTTCAGCTTAATTTCTTAGGACACAACATTCTCAAAAATTACTTTCTACTTAAAATATTGGTTTGTAGTTAAAATCAAAATCATGGAAATGAAATTCACTGATTCTGATTCAGCGAATCACTACTATTCCACTTGTTACACTAAGAAGTTGAATAAAAAAGTAGGTAGAATATATTAATGTAATAATGAAAATACCCTTACTTGTAAATTGAATAAATTTTGGCAGCAGACCAATTTTTATCATTTTATTGCGTAATTTAGTGTCAAACGTAAGATTAAATAGTAACTTTAATGTAACATTTATTAGATCTGCATTTTGTGAGTCTAATAAAGGTGCTATTTTCTCAACTACTCCTCTCGAAGCCATACTGTTTTTATTTTCAACAAATATTGACAATTTTTGTAAAAATGAAACGATAAGAATTAATAAATCCATGTTAGAGTGTCTCTCCATAGCGCCAATAAGTAATCCAACTATATCTTTTTTATGCATTTTTTCTTCAACTTTTACATTGTCTGCTATGTTGAGTAACATATAAAAAGCTACTCTCAATAACTGTTCCTGCCTTTTCGACAATGTCTTAAGTTTTCTTTTCAACTGTTCCTCATCATTTTTAGACAAACAGTCATCAGCTGCATTGCATAAGTCTTCATGGTAACTGGATACTAATGATCTAGATTTCTGTAAATTCACATCGGCAACAGCCCATGTACCAGATTTCGGACGTCGTTTAGGTTCAGGAATTCGACTTTTTGGCAATTCAGTCTAAAAATATACATATTAATTGGACTTTTTAATATCAACACTTAAATGATCTTTCACTGATAGTAACAGTAATTACTAGCATCCGCCCGCGAATTCACAAAGAGGACGCTGTCATATGTTTATTATTAACAATGTATTCATCCAAATTACAGAAACCAATAAAAGTACTTATTTTATAAGTTTAAAGCAATTATATAAGTTTTCATTTAACTAATCCAAAATTAATATTGTGAAATTTTACATATTTAAAAAATTATATTATTTTTAAATATCCTGTTTATAGTTTTTTATATTTATATTATTTACCTTATCAGGAGTAATCAACTGTTTCTTGCCTTCAACTTTTTCTTTCCATTGGTCATATCTTTTGAGTTCATAATCTATTACATCCATACATAAAGACCCTATCTTATATTGAATTATAACTGGATGAAATTCATTATAAGTAGAGAAACAGAAAAAAGTATAAACTATATTTGTGCTTAATTCAATGCTTCTCTTCCATTCTTCTCTGAGAACCCTAGAGAGCGCACTCAAAAGAGCTTCTGTAATAAATAATGAAGAATGTTAATAGGTATGCCAAATCGGTTGAAAGTTTTGTATAATAAAGCTTGTATGTATACAAATATATTAGTTTTTGTTTTAGTCAAAAATACCTATTAGTTTTGATTTTATAGGCATTTAAACTTACGATAAATTTCGAGTCCCGCTAACAGTCACGTGAAATGTGATGTCATTTTACAACGGTCCGCTCCGCTTAGTAGCGAGTCGCCGAGTTTGAGCAGTATTTTATTTCATTTTCATAATGAAATGGATGTAGGAATCGAAAAAGGGCAATCGGATGATCTGCCTAAAATAGATACACTAATGGTTGCCCATTATTTATCAACAAATACCTAATGATTTTGTTGCCGCCGAAATGCGAGGAATAAAAAAGTAATTTTCTTTTCTTGCTATTTAGAAAATTATTTATCTGTTTTAAAGTGTTTTGTTAAAAAAAATACCCAACTGATATCGTATTGCAAGTATTGCAACTCAAATAGGCAGAAGTACTAAACTTTTTAAATTTTACGTTCTAGAGAACAAATGTGTGTTAGAGTTTTATGTCTATAGATACGTATGTACATATGTGAATATAGGTACCTCTTTTAGTAAATTTAACTAAACACATATATTGATTTATTGCAAATGTAGTAGGTTGAACAGATGTACTAAACCTTTTTTAATTTTCATTTGTCTTATTAATAGGCCGTTTTATTTATTTTTATTTGTAACTTATTCCAAGTCGGCAAGAGACGGCTTTGGTGATGATGCTATCGGTTACATACAAGTAAAAAGAGCAGTACATTTAAAACCACGAAGTTTTAAATGTAATTTGCGAAGATTGTGCTGCCAACAGAGGCTGTAAACGTACTATAGCATTTTTAATGTGGCTACATCGTCGAAGAGAGGACGCAACGACTGTTATCAAATTTGTTGGATTTTTTTGTGGTTATAATAAAAATAACTATTACTTTGGTGGTTGTATTTGTATGTTTCGGTACAACACATGATTTCCTAGTATTTGGTTTGGTTATTTTTGAAGGTATTTATAATGTCTAAGGAAACGTAAGACGACTACGTGCTGAGAGCGCGAGCGGACAGAGGTAGTGTTGTACTATGACGTCACACCGTCACATGAGTCCGCATCGCACGTTTACTTCTATAAATCAGAAACTAATTGACGTATTGAAGTAATTCTTTCACTTATATTTTTTATTTTTGATAGAGAATATGGAGAGCTAATATTCAAAATTAGTTAACATTCTTCATTGTTAGATTACTGAATACAGTTTAATCTAATACTTGAGATACAAGCAAAAAATAATATGTATGTTATGTTTGAGATAATTTTTAATTAGATGTTAAGTGTCAAGTGCACATCTGTATTGCAATGAAAATGTAAATATTTTATGATTGTATATTCTCTTTAATATAGAATAAAGAAATCCTTAAAAAAAGTATAGCTTCTTGAACATTTGGCTAAGATGAAGAATAGTAGAAAAGCAAAAGTTAACAAGTTAAACACTCTTTTCACATGCAAAGTGAAAAATATATTACCCATTCTCTTTCATTTCTACTATGGAGCATTTGTTCAAGACCAAACATTTAAGATCTTTACTGATACTAATAATAAACATTTAAATATTTACCATTACGGGCCAATTCTATTAAATTATCAGGATTTCTGGCCAGCTGTAAGATTAATGCAGATCCTTTTATTTTTTCTGGGATATCATCATATAATAGTTCCACATAATCATCTACACAATTTAATACAGCTACAGGCACACTTTCCACAGGGCTCATAGTTTTATAAAGTGAATTTTATTCCTTTGTATCTGAAACAAAAATAGTCTAACAACAAAAAAACAAAAAAAATTAAGCACTGCAAAATGTGTTTGCTTATTACTTTAATATTATAAGGATTGTTGTGAGTGGTAAATGAAGAATATTATTATTATAGTACGATCTGGATTATTAGTGTTATCTTAAATCACATCATAATCAAACTAGATCAACAACAACCAAAGGAACAAACAGGTTTTAGATCTAGATTATCTACATTACACAATATGAATGTGCACAAACAAATTATACTTTTCTTCACATAATTTCTATAAGACTTTTCACTCTTTGGAACACTATTTTATATGGCTTGCAGTTCACAACCAAAGAATTACATTACACATTTTTGTGATTCTTATTGAAATTTATAAGAATTACAAAAAATATGTAATGTAATAGGTCACCCCAGGTTAAAGTAGAGTCTGACATGAACCTAAAGACCTACAACACATAAATCAAGAACATGGAAATGAAGGTAGAAGAGTGGTACCCAATATCAATAAATCAAAAACAAAAGTGATGATAAAACAATGTCCAAAGATGCACTGAACAGGTGACTCATGTCACAGTCAAAATATGTAAAATATGCAAAAAAATGTAATGTGTTTCTCTGTTTAGAAAAAAAGGGTTTTAAAATAAAAACAAAATGCACTGGAGATAGTCAGGATTAGGAAAAAGTACCTAGATTGTTTTAATGCCATACAGTCTTATAAATCTCTAGTTTAGTATCCACAACAGTAGTTTAGTATCCAAAATGATGATTTGACAATCTACTTCAAATACTGGTATCTGGATTGAATAAGATGCCTTTATTCAATCCAGATACCAGTATTCGAAGTAGATTGTCAAATCATCATTTTTGGTTTTGATAAATTACCGTCAAGTTAAATAGTGACCAAGGTGTGGATTCCTTATTTGGTAATCTACAATTATTGAATTACTCTGTAGGACAAGGTGAACTGTATGAATAAGTAACTCCTACAGTTCTAATTAAGATTACAATTTTTCAAGGCCAGAAGATTTCCATTGTAAATGTATGTTATTTTATTATACAATATTGAATTTATAATAACGATTATATAAAGAAATTAAATACTAATATTTATACTGTGATATTCTTTCAGTTGGGGTTGGTAAGTAAGTAGTATGAAATTGGAAAAGATAGTATCAGAAAGACCTGTTCATATTATGATTTATGAAATCATTTTTACGTCCCTTAAGAAAGATATAAACATATGATAAATTCTGGTACTACTATTGATCAGTGGCGCTATAGTAATATCCTTACATATTATATATATATTGTGTCGTTGCGTTGCTGTGGTATTGTAACTTGCGAATTTTAATAAACAGATGGAATTATGAAAAGGAAGGAATCATACCTTAATTTTCTTCAAAATTATATTAATAGTAAATATTGAAATTTGTGGCTTTCACCTTAGAATAATAACAAACGCGGAACGCGTATATAAAGTTAGATTAGAAAATAAAGAGATGGCATATAGGAATGTCAATTTTCAATTACTCAATATGTCACAAAGAATATACTTGATATGTCATTTCTAATTTGAAAATGACACACAATGTCAGTAGCTAAGAACGAGAATTTTTTTTTTTTTTTTTTTCTCTCTATCTGCGATCAGCCCTTCCGGCTATAATCAGATTTTTTGAAGTTATTGGCTTTTTGAGATGAGGCCCCTCCAGTAAGGTGCCATCTCATTTACTTTCTTTCTTTAGATGTTGGCAAGGCGAGCTCTTTTTAATCTAGATGGACAGTTATTTATATCCAGTAGTTTTGAAGCTAACTGGTTCTTATGGCCGGCTAATCTGTGTTTATATCTTCTACAGGCTTTTTGTATCTCTTCTTTTACAGTTGGAATTTCTAGATGTGTATGTACTTCAATGTTTTTTATGAACCAAGGAGCTCTGGCTATGGTTTTTAATGCCTTGTTTTGGAAGCGCTGAAGAATTTCTATGTTAGAGTGTGAAGCTGATCCCCATAGTTCCATTGCATATGTCCACACTGGTTTTATGATGCTCTTATAGATGAGGAGTTTGTTTTCCAGACTTAATTTAGACTGTCTACCTATCAGCCAGTACATGTCTTTAAGTTTTCTATCAGCTTGGTTTTTTTTTGCTTTTATGTGGTCTCTCCAAGTAAGTCTTCTGTCCAGATGCATTCCGAGATATTTTACCACCGTTTGTTGTGGCAAAATAGTTCCATCTAAGGATACTGGTGTGCAATTTCCTCTTTTCAATGAGAATGTGATATGGACCGACTTTGTGGTGCTCACTTGAATTCTCCACTTATTCAACCATTCTTTAATTCCATTCAGATGTTTCTGAAGCTCTGTAGATGCAATATGTGGGTCTCTATTACATGACAGCACTGCTGTGTCGTCTGCATATGTTGCTGTAACTATACCATTAGTAGTGGGAAGGTCAGCAGTATATATTGTGTACAATACTGGGCCAAGGACAGAACCCTGTGGCACTCCGGCTTTTATTTCAAAATAATCTGATAGGTGATCTTCATACTTAACATGAAATATCCTATGTTGTATATAGGACTTTAAGAGCATATAAATGGTGTTCGGTAATGAGGTTTTTAATTTATAGAACAAGCCTTTGTGCCACACGCGGTCGAATGCCTGTTGCACATCCAAAAATACTCCTGAGCAGTATTCTTTTTTCTCTAGTGCTTGTCTAATTGTATGTGCGACTCGGTGTATCTGTTCCGTAGTTCCATGATGTGCCCGGAAGCCAAATTGGTGTTCTGGTACTATATTTTTCTCCTCAAGCACTGGCAATAATCTTTTCAATAGTATTTTTTCAAATAATTTGGATATTGCTGGTAGTAGGCTTATTGGTCTATATGACGATACTTCAGTGGATGGTTTTCCCGGTTTAAGAATCATATTTATTATAGATACTTTCCACAATTGTGGAAAATATTGCAGTCTCAGTACTGCATTAAAGAGAATTGTTAGTAAAACTATTCCTGTTTTGGGCAACTGTTTTAGTACTTCAGCTGTTATTAAATCGAAGCCCGGTGCCTTATTATATTTTAGCTGATTTATAGTCTTTCTTACTTCCGCTGGCGTAACTGATTTTAGAGGTAAGGACATTTGTTGGTCACTGTCAAGTATTTTATCAATTTCTGCTTCTGTATGCATATCATCTGATTCATTTGGTATAAATACTTCTTTGAGATACTTTGCAAATAAATCAGCTTTATCTCTAGGTTTTCCAGCCCAGCTTCCATTTGTTTTTTTAAGTGGGGGTATATGTTCTTTCGGTCTCTTTATAAATTTAGTTATTTTCCAAAGACTATAGTCATCTGCTTTATGTGGGGATAATGTCATCAATTTATCTTGGATTGTGTTGTTTTCGTTTTCTCTTAACATTATTTTTAATAGTTTTTGAGCTTTATTAAGTGCTCTTTTATCTTGAGGGTTTCTGCTTGTATGCCACTGTCTCCTCAGTTTTCTTTTTTCTGATATCATATTTCTTATTTCTAGTGTCGTATCTTGGCTCTTTATTTTAGACTCGGTATAAGGTGTTGATGACCATGCTGCTTTTTGGATCAGGTTTGTGACATACCAGGCTGTTTCTTCTACATCTTCTTCTGTTTTTAGCGGTATATGCAGGTTTGTATTTTCATGGATATAGTCTTTAAAGGATTCCCAATCGGTTTTATAATTATACAACGTTTCTTTCGGTTCCTTCCTGATTAAATTTGTGCTTATTGTACATATGATAGGTGTATGATCTGAAGAACCATCAAGGCTAGATTCTATTTTTGTGTACATACCCGCTATGCCTTTTGTTATGAATAGATCAATTAAGTCAGGTATTTTATTTGGATCCGTAGGCCAATAGGTTGGTTCTCCTGTGGATATAATATTAAGGGAGTTAGTGTCAATTGCCTTTTTTAATTCTCTGCCTCTTGTAGTTGTGAGCCTAGAGCCCCAATAAATATGTTTGGCGTTCCAGTCTCCTCCAGCAATGTATCGTTTACCAAGTGTTTTGAAAAACTGATCGAACATTTGATCATCAATTCGATGACGAGGCGGGGAGTAGATAGCGGCGATATTCAGCGATCCTTCCCAGTCATCAATTGACACAACTGCTGCCTGCAGGTAGGGATAGCTGTATTTAGGCATACTGTGTTGTTTAATATTTTCTTTAATAATTATTGCAGCTCCAGCGTGTGATGTACCGTCAGGATGGTTTGAGTAATATATATTATAACCGTTTATCTTTGTAACTTTTTGATCAGTCATATGCGATTCAGATACCAAGAGAACATCTATTTTTTTGTCACTAAGAAATAGCTCTATTTCATGCTTATTCGGGGATAAGCCATTCACATTCCACGCGGCAATTCGCAGGAATTTTATTTTTTTTCTGGGCTATTAGTGTCGTGAGGAGCCCCATTAGGGTCCCCATTTGCTGTATGAGCACATCAATTTTTTGTGATTGTTTAATTATGATTTGTTCTAACAAATTTGTTGACTGAGGTATTGCACTCTCTGTTTGATTTACCCATTCTCCAGTATTTCTGGTTTTAGGTTTGGGGTTAGTGTTACTTCTTGGCATGTTTGGTGCCTCATAGTTATTTGCGGTTTTTCTTGCATAACTTTGTGCGCATAGTGGTGGAAAATCCTCCATTTGAAATACTGGTTGTATTCGATTTGAAGGGTTAGATACCGGCTTGTTCCTAGGTAATAACTTCCTATTATTGACTTGGTTGTATTTTCGTGCACGAATCTCCTTGTATACTTGGCAACCCTTATAGTTTGCAGGATGATCACCAAGACAGAGTGTGCATGTGGCCGGGGTGTTTCTGTCCCTTTTCGGGCAGTCGATTGTTCTGTGTCCTGCGGCACATTTCACACATCTAAAGGGGCGCATACAATTATTTTTTGTATGACCATATTGTTGGCATCGGGCACATTGAGGGATTTCATTAGATTTTCTTGGATCTTCAATTTTAACTTTTGTGTGGTAAATTGTAGTAATGCTTCTTGCAGCTGGATTGTTTGGGCTCGGCTCGATGTTTACAAAGAACATATTTAAGGGCTTTTTGTTTCTTCGAGAGAGTGGACATATGATTTCACCTCTAACTTTGTTGCCTGTTTTTTCTATTTCCTCCATGATGGCTTCTTTAGGTGTTGTGTGATGCAAGTTTTTTATTACTAGCCTGTAACACTTCCTTTCTTTTTGTGTAAACGTATGGCCAATGAGGCCCTTATTTCTTATTAGTGTGATTAGGTTTTTGTAGACTTCAGTCGATGTAGTTGTAACCCGAATCTGATCTCTATTGATGATTTTGTAGGAGAAGCTATCAATGGGTACATTATCATTTAGGAGTTGGGTCAATTTTGACAGATCTTCTATTCCATATAGTATTATTGGAGGTGGTTTGCTGATTTTCTTGGCATTTTGTTCTTCTTCGCAGTCTTCAGTTAAGTCCACTGGTAGAATACTGAATCTATTGGAGTCTGTAGTTTCCTTGTTGGTAGAGCACTCCGGCATTTGTGTATCATGTGGTGGGCTGGATAATTTTTTTCTCTTTGGGTTCCGTTGTTCTGGTACTCTTTGCCAGGAGGGATGGCAGTTGTTGCTTGCACTATCTTCATTGTCCTTCGGTGTCGGTAGCTTCTTTGAGATATTTACCATTTCCGAGTTACTTCCTAGTGAATAGGATCTAGGTCTTATGTTAAAAAGGCTTGGATGGAATGCCTGTTGAACAAGCTTTTTATTATTGCTTCCAGTAGCAATTACTGACGCGGGCGCCTGGTCGCCTACACCCGCGGAGTCTTCGGTAACCAATTTCACACTCGCAGGCCCGGATACCTGCGAGCGCCGGGGGTTAGCCGGATCGCATGACAAATTGCATTCTTGATCACTCATATTTTCATTTTAATAGTGGGAACAAGCTTACGACACTTCCCCAAGGTGCCGCAGTCACATTTTCAGAAGGTATTTAATACTTCATGGCCTGTGAATGCCTTGTGGTCAGGATACTTAACCGCCGCCTGTTGTTCGGCGTTGACGTTCTTTACGGCTGCTATGTTCCTCGGTGTTAATAGGTACCTTCAACGTCATTCGCAAGCCAACCCTCCTCTTTTCTCACCCGGGCTTGGGACCGGCCATGGCAGAGTTCGAACGAAAGAGAGTTCGAAGAACGAGAATTAACATAGAATTGTTCAAAAGAGTAACGGAGAGGATACATTACATTTTGCACTTAAAAAGTTAATAATTGATATAACATAGTAGTTTGAGTAGCTACTAGATAGCTACTCAAACTACTATGTTACTTTAGACTGCATATATAAATTTAATTAGTAAATTCATGAATCGTACGAGGTTGAGGCATTATACAAATTTATTTCATAAAATCTTTTTAAGTTGGCAATCCCACTGAACACAACATATAAAAAAATCTATAGTCTTTGGTTTTACTTTATTTACTGCACTTTACAATCAGTCATAAAAATACCTACTTGTATTTTATTGAATATGTTCATTATAAACGTGTAAAATGGATTTCTTTGATTAACTATTGTGTCGTGTGTGTTAATAAACATAATACTTAACGTAGTGACAATGATACAATACCATACATTTTAATCATTTTGACGACTCAACAATATTTCTTGTCTATTTTCTTTTTTTCAGTGTGTTATCGCAAACGATAATGGACTACCTATTTGTTGTTTTTGTGGAAAGCATATTGCAAATGATAAGTTGTTAAAGTATGTATTTACTCATTAATTTTATAATTAATTATATATATATAATTTATAATTATATTACCACTGTTCGTTTTCTAGAACTACACACAGGCTACATATTTTTTTCCCCGTGTGTGCTTATCAGACACTGAGCTCATGTAATGACTATTGAACGATCGTCTGAAAATTAGTGTTAAATAAATACAATATATATTTAATTTACCTGTAACTTTCGTTAGCTATATATTTTATACAGATGTACATATCGAAAATCATTGAGACACTGAATTGTGTTGTAATTTAAGGTAAAGTATGTAAACAATATTCTTTACCTTAAATTACAACACCTTAAAATTCATTTTATAAAATAGTGTTTAAGCAATTAACCATGGGTTATATACATAGCTAATATTTTATTTTAATGCATGTTTATATATGCAGAAGGATTGTTGTAATTCTTATAAAATAGCATGGTTATAGTGTTATCTATATAACTTGCTGTAAATCACTATAATCATATCTGTCATTCTTGATTGTAGAAATTAATGAATTTGCCGTTGTAAAGTAATACATAGTAATTTGATGTATTCAATAAGACTATTTAATACCTATTTTGCAAAGGGATTGTACTTTTTGACCCCTGCCAAAATTATGTATGTTAAACAAAGAATTTGAATATAAAAAGATAAAATTCTGATAATAAATGTGTCTTAAAGATATAATTTATTGACATTGATAATATTATCAATGTGCATGAATATATTAGTAGTATTTACTATTCCATTTGTAAAAACTTGGTGACACTCTTGGGTAGACAGAGACATAGAGTTAAACAGTCTGAAACATAGTTCTAGTGTTCATGAAATTGAACAATTTTCTCATCTGACATAATTAAAACTTAGTGTACATTTTCATGGGTATAAAAAAGGACTCTAGACTGTCATACCTTTTCTAACTATATGTCACCTGCTGTTTAGGAAGATTCTATTTTGTATTATTCTATGACTTATATAAAGCAGTTAAAGACTGAAAGTTATAAAAATATGATAGACATTTTAATTCATAAATTCAGCAGTTGTAATAAATATAATAATTTAGTTTCATAGTATATCTTGAAATGACTTTTGAAGCATAGTTTTATATTTGTTTTCATAGGCATTTAGTGAAAAATTTGAATTTACAAACACTTAATTTTGTTTATATGTATAAATTATACACCTGATAATTAATTTTTAGAAATATATATTGTGTATGTTATACTGATATTAATAATAATGTATTTTTATCCATTTTAGGGGTAATTTTGTAATATGGTCTAATTTATTATATTCAACATGACTGACGTTGCATCTACACTTACTGCCCCTATTTCTTTATCAACATATCATCAACTCAGCTTAACAGGTAATAGATTCACATAAGTATAAATAGAGTCTAATGCTATCATATATATTTGATTATATAATTTCATTTTAAAGTATTACATTCACCATGATGTTGACATAATTGACCTTCGATTAATCTCATCTAGGATAACAGTTTTAATGGTTTAGTGATGTATAATTAATTGCCTAAATTTATAATAACATGTATGCCTATATGTAGGCTTTGATTATTGAGCCTACTGTCTGTAGTATAATACAAATATTTAATAAATAATCTAAGGAAGGTTTCTAACAATTTCTTATATCTATGTTTGATAAAAAGAATAATCAATTTTCATTAATTAAATTAATCTATAATAAATCATTAATATACTATGTGTACCACTAGTTATTATTGATTATGAATTTCTAATATTTATTATGATGTTATTATTTTAGTTGAATCTGCAAATATAAAAAATTCTGGATTATTCAAGCCAAATCCATACTTACAAGTAATAATAGATGACAAGAATCCGAAAAAAACGGAGGTTATAAAAAATACATCTCATCCTAAATGGAAAGAAGATTTCACTTTACTTGTGACACCATTGTCACAAATTTTGTTTCGACTAGCAGACCACCACAGTTTTAGAAAAGATAATATAATTGGGGAAAAAAAGATAAGCCTAACAAAAATACTACTAAACTTCAATGGGAAGTGTGAAAATGTGGAACTTACAATTGGTATGTAATTTACAATTGAAAATATGCATTAAGGCCATACATCCAAAAATTGTGTCACACTTTAAAGGGGGGATAGGGTTAACATAGTATGACATTGTATAACAAAGAGAGAGGAGTCACAAATTTACATGTAAAAAAAAAAGATGATATCACCGCCAAAAGGGTCAGTGACTATGAGGGTGGGAAGGGAGAGGAGATTATTGAAATTGGTGTGACCTAATTTATGGATGGCCCCTTATTTTTCCTGCTTACATGAGCACCATTGCACACATAATATATAGCTACCTAGTAATCAATTCTCCTTTTTTTTTAGATTTAATGAAAAATGTATCTCAAGAAAATACATCAAATACAAATAGTGAAACAAAAGCAGCTGATTTAGTTGTACTTCTTGACGGATTGAGAATAGATCCAGCTATTTTGAATCAGTCACAGGAAGCTATTAGTGAAACATCTAGTTATCGCAATTTAATTAGTGATGGAGTGCGTGCTAAGATACGATCTCGCAGTAATCAAGATGCAGCAAGATCTGTGATGCGCATGCAGTCTCTCAGAGTAAGTTGATGTATCATCACTGAATACATAGGGGTATAATATATTAATATAACCTCAATCCTAGTATAATATATATATATAATATATATATATAATCCTAGTATAATATAAATATATATATATATATATATTATACTAGGGTTGAGGTTACTCTGAGATAATTAATCTTATAATAATAATACTGCACAAAAGACACAGTACTATCTTGTCCTAAGACAAGCAGAGCTTATTATAGGTACTAAACAAGTCATAAAAATACTAAAATACTCTCCTAGTTTTTGAGTTATCCTTAGTAATGCATTAATAATTTTTCTGTTTTTCCTTTCCTATCTGTAATCAGTCTCGGAACTATGAGCAGATTATTTGGGTGTGGGAACTAATAATGGAGTGGCTGCCTTAGTGGGAGGATCTGCTCCTTAAGAATACAGTGGACCCGCGGTAATCCGGCCCCCCTTGTAATGCGACATGGTCTATTATTGGATATTTTTTTATGACAATCTTCGCTAATGCATGACTGAACAAGTTTTAACTTGTACTCATCACCTCTGTTGTACTCCATGCTAGGGTATTGTTTTGATTATGAATGCTTAGTTTAAATTTGACTACTTTCATGTGATGAAGATAGCAGTGCAGTATAGCATGTGTTCATTGTTTACTGTTTATTTGTGTATCAGCTCAGAAAGCTGATACACAAATACACAATAAATAAAAGCACAAAACACTGACAAATGATAAAAAAAATGTGATGTTTTAGACCGCCTAAATTGTAACGAAACTTTTGGTTTGTGACATACATAATGGAGTATGATTTGTACTTTAGAGTGCATATATATACATACATATATAACATAGAATCTTATTACTGGATCTGTAATTTGTCGGATTACAAGGTACTCTTTTGTAAAAAATTCCAGACAAATTCGATGGTCCGACACTGCCCTGCAAAACGTTTGTCGGATAACCGGGGGTACACTGTACTGCAAACATTACATAATGTCGCTTCTTTTTAGTAAAGTTTTTGTAATAATTGAGCAGCCCGTTGATTTGGGTAGTTACAAAGCGCTTTTTATATTTTACTTTGCAATTGAGGATCTCCTCTTTTACTGTTAGCACTCCAAGTTTCTTGTGCGTTTCGTTGTTGCTGATGTACCAAGGGACACCCGATACTGTTCTCAGTATAGAATAGAATAGAATAGAATAGAAAATCATTTATTCAAATAAACTTAATTTAAGCACTTTTGAATCGTCATAAGAATTTGTTTTTTATCTACCACTCTTTCGGAAAGCTGTCTCATCACAAGAAGAACAAGCAAGAAACTTGTGATATAATGTTTTGGGGCCTTTGGATGATGTTAATATTTGACTTTGATGCACTTCCCCAAAATTATAATCCATCTGTCAATACAGGTTTTAGAATGGACTTATAAATCAGTAGTTTATTGTCAATAGACAGATTTATATTTCGACCCATAATCCAGTAAAGGTTTTTGAATTTGTGTATCATTAAACATTCTCTCTTGGTTTTAATATGTTCTCTCCAAGTCCTAGTAAAGCAATTGACTTAGTTATTTTTCATGTCATCAACATGTTTACCATTAAGTGAAAAAAATATATGTAAAATTTATTTTTTTCGGAATAGGATCAGTTATATTTCTTGGGCATTGTTTTCAGATATTTATATATCAAATAAATAATTTATTTATTAAAGTATTGAATGAAGTTTATTTTCATAGCCGCCACCAGGTCCACCGCCTTTGAGCAATGGCGCAGTGCACGGTGGCGAAGTTCAGATCTCAGACGCCATGGCAGCTTTGACGCCAATAGAAAGCGGCCCCGGTTCCTCTCACCAGGAACAACCGCAAGCGACGCCTGAACCAGGACTGCACCTCCCACCTGCCTCTAGCAGTGCAGCAGAGGAACCTTTACCACATGGGTGGGAGATGCGATATGATGTCTATGGACGAAGGTAAAACTGTAGTTATAATTTAATTTTTTTTAACTTATTTGAGATTGTAAAATAAATTTCCAAATTAAGCTATAATTTTATCACAAAAAGTACACAAATTAAACAATATTGGAAAATTTTTTATTTTTTATTTATTTATTTTATTTAAAGATAACAATGACTTACAAAGTTATGACTGTGTACTAAAAAGCATGAATGCTTTGTGCGCACACAGGGCCGTATATAATACAATAATTACTTATCTGCTAGTTTTATGACAGGTATACAAATCTTATTACAACTTAATTTACTATTTTTAAACCAGCCAACAAATGCTTTTATGATTAGTAAACAAGCAATACAATATAGAATAATAATTGAACAATTATTAGTAATTGAGTGGGTATGTGGTGAGTTCAGTTGAGGTAAAATAATTGAGGGTAGGTATCAGTACCGGTCGTGTACGTCTGGATTTACTCACTTCGTATATACATAGGATGTTTCAAATACTTATGTATATCACAATTCATAAAAAGATGTATAGTGTATATTATTAGTTATTCATATTATAATTTAATAAGTAGGTGTATAATATTGTTTTAATTTCCATTTTATGTTTTTTATATTTAATTCTGTTTTAAGATTAGTTGGCATACTATTTATTAGTTTAGCTGTTACGTAATGCGAAGTTCTTTTTCCGTAGAAATTATTGAACCTTGGGAGTACTAGTTTTTTATTAGTAACACCGCGGGTTATGTTCGTTCGTCTGGATATCTGTTGATTCTCTGTCTTAAAGTATTGTTCGCACAGTATAGTATATTTTATTTTGTTATGTATGGATATCAGTTTACAGTATGTAAACAGATCGTGATAGTTATATTTATATTGTTTTTTAATGGTAATAGGAACTATTGTTTTGAGTAATCTTATCTGCAGTTCATATATTTTGTCCAAGTGCGATTTAAAAGTGCGTCCATATATAAGACCATATGATATGATGATTCTCCTAGGGCTTTATATAGTAGTAGACGTATAAAGTATGGAGTTTTATTGTTTATATAAGTGTAAATTTTGCGAGCAGGGATCGTAGTTTGCCGCATACGTAATTAATATGTTTCCAATTCAGTCTACTATCAATAATTAGTCCTAGATAAGTTTGTTTTTCTACCACATCAATTTTGGGACAATGACAGGTAGAGGTACTTGAGCTATTATGAAGACATACATGGTCATGTGCAATTAAGTTAAATGGAATTTGACTTCTATTGTGACTGGAACTTATATACATGAGTTTCGTTATTGCTAGCGTTAAGAACTAAATACATCGTGGGACCATTTGCAGAGCATTATAAATTCTGTTTGGAGTCGATAGAGAGCATTTGAGAGATCATGGTAGCTGCCACGAGACATGTCGTATTATATTGGTATAATTCACAAGACTTTATAACATTGACCAGACTGTTTACATATGTGAGGTAATGAAGAGGCCCGAGGACGGAACCTTGAGCTGTACCTTCAGTTACCTTTATCGTGTCACTGATAGCGTCACATACTTTTACGCAGTAGGATCTATTGTTCATATAGTCTCGACACCATTCGAGGAGTGGTCCTCGTATGCCGTGATCCTGTAAACTTTCAATAAGCACGTCGTGACGTAGGGTGTCAAATGCGCTACTATAATCAATGAAAACAACAAGAACATGTTTGCGTTGATTTAGGCTTTTATTCACACTGTCTGTAAACTGTGATAGCAATTGTGTTGTGTTCTTATGTGGTTGAAACCCGAACTGTTTCTCTGTTAATAAGTTATTCGAACTATAAAAATCGTATATGCGTTGACTGATATACTTTTCAATAATTTTATCTATTGCTGTTAAAATAGTAATACGTCGGTAATTATCATAGTTGTCCTTTAGACCTTTTTTGTGGATAGGACGGACTCCCTTTTTTGAGTTCATCAGGATAATATCCAGATGCTACACTATTGTTAATTAGTTGTGATATCGCCGGAGATATCTTATCATTAAGTAACAATATGTCACTAAATCTTATGGAATCAACGCCAGGTGCTTTATTAGGATTAATTGATTTAATAATCTTATTAACATCACATGCTGTTGCTTTTTTAAGGCGCATAGATAAGTTGATGGGGTTTTTATATATTTTGGGATCAAGAAGCTTTGTTGTACAAGATGGTATGATATACTTTACACTATTGTTAAAGGTGTTTGCAAAGTTATTCGCAATATCACTAGCTTTCATGAAATTTTTCTCAAATGCTTGTAGTATAATTTCATCAACTGATTTTCTAATTCTACCGGTTATTCTGTTTAATATATCCCATAAATTTTTAGAGTTATTCTTGTTAGTGTCGATAGATTTAATAATTTCACTATTTTTAGCCTTTTGTACTAATTTATGAGCATAATTTCTAGCTTTATTATATTTTAGCTTTAATATCATATTATTACTATCCTTTTTCCATAACGTATATAATGTATCTTTATAGTTACAGTCATTTATAATTTTTTTAACATATATTATTTTTTCTATTAGAATTTATATTTATTTTTTTATATATTTTCGAATTTTTATAACATTCATGAATACTATTTTTAATGATATTATATATTGTAATTGGACATGGGTTCTGAGCGATCGTGTCCCAATTTAGTTCACAAAGCATATTTTTAAGTTTTTCATTATCGTATAAAACTTTATATTTTGGAACACTCTGTACACGTGGTTGGCCTATGCTCGCCATTATTACGGCGCGGTGATCCGCCAGTACGACACTGAGAGCAGCGGAGTAAATATCTTGAGTTCGATTTTACAAAGATGTGATCTATGCAAGATCTGCTTGTTTTGTCATTACAAGTTTCGATTCGTGTATGATCTGAAATCCCGGGCTCAAGGCCGCAGCTTGACATCATGTTAATGTATTTATGTTTTATAGGGTTATTGAGTGCGGTGTCTATATTGATGTCCCCTAATATATACATATCGTTAGTGTTATTTAGTGATGTTATGAGTTTATGAAGTTCGTGTATGAACAAATGTTTACTATAATTAGGTGGACGGTATATTGAGCACAGACCTGCGACGTAGTTTGATGGTGTTTTTATATAACCTATTATAGATTCGCACTGGAATGTTTTTATTTTAACCCTTGTAAACAGTATGTTTTTTATGAGTATAGATTATTATAATATTTACGTGTGTTTCGCAGTTCTGTGTGCATATTATAGCCATCTAAACCATAAAGAGAACAAACAGAATTTGATATATTTGCCTCTGTTAATATATATATATATATATATATATATATATATGTACTGTTCTAACATTGCAAAATTTTTTATTATAGATCGTATATTTATATGTATACATATAAAATTGTTAATCTTAGTCGGAATGCAATTCAAGAAGTGATCAATACTATGGCAGTTAAATAGTTCTGTAATATCCATTTTGGATGTTTTTAATATATATATATCTATATTGTAGGGTATCTATATAAGTATCTAATATTATGGTACGTTACAAAGTTTCTTGATGTCTAAATCCTCGAATATGTATAACAGGTTTAGAGTTGTCATCTTTCCGTATAAATATTTTTCCCTTTTTGCTCCATATATATTTGTAGGTTCCGTTTAGTGATTGTTTAGTACTCCATAGTAGTTTTTTGTTGTATGCTGTTAAAAATGGACGTACGAATATCCGATTTTGAGCAGCCGCTGGAGACGTATATTAAATTGGAGGTATATATTTTACAGTTTTTAGAAGCAGATACCCAGCTTTCTTGCATTTCTTCTTCTTTAAGTTCTACCTGTACGACGCCAGGAGAATCCCTCTTCCGTGACAATCTGCGAGCGGCCTTGATATCACTTATCGGTTGCTTTAGTAATATTGCTACCTTGTCCACGATGTTTTTTATATTTTCTTGTTCGGTATAAGGAATATTTGAGATTTCAATGTGTCTAGCTACTTGGTGTTGTTCAATTTCTTCTATTCTTTGCTCCATTGCATTAATTCTGGTTTCAAGATGCTTGTTTCTATTTATTAAATCTATATTTTTACGTTGGATGTCCTGAACTGCTTGTTTGCATGCTTCTGCGACTTCCATTACTTCATCCATCTTTTCACTGTGGTATTGAAGAGAGACACGTAGTTCATTGATTTCTCTTCTAACAGCCTTTTCCACTTCCTTTGAAATGTTTTGTAGGAGTTTCTTCATATTTATTTGGTTTGTTTCTGTGTTAAGTAATTGGTTCCGTCTTCATCAGTGTCATCGTCAGGAACTACGATAGAACTGCGTTTAGATGTTGACCTTTGGCATTCTTGACATGTCCATTCTAGGTTCTCTGACGCGCGTATTGCCGTCAACTGTTTGTTGGAAATGAACACAAGGTGTTGAGATGAACCAGTTTTTCACATCTACTGCACTCCAAACCAGGGATTCTTTTTGTTATTGATTTATTACATTTATCACACTTTTCCATAATGAAGGTAGGTAATTAATTTCTATGACAACTTGTATACGTGCGCTCAGAATGAAAGGAAGAATACGACTGAACTATAACTGAAATATAACATTGATTCATTTATTCTTATCTGATTATAGTACAATTGTATAATAACATACATTATAAAGTAATGACGCGTGAACTGGTAATACGTGAAAATTATGCACCCACCTGCGCTAACGGTTTATTTACGTTATGCTAGTGGAGCAAGATAAGGAAACTGCGTGGAGGTCATCCTAACATGGCAATGGGTTTCTTAGTCTACATTACTAACAAACCCCCTCCCCCGTTTGCAGATACTACGTGGACCACAACACGAGGTCGACGTCGTGGGAGCGACCGCAGCCGTTGCCGCCGGGCTGGGAGGTGCGGCGCGACGGGCGCGGGCGCGTGTACTACGTGGACCACAACACGCGCACCACCACGTGGCAGCGGCCTGACACTGAGCGCCTGGCTCGCTTCCAGCACTGGCGCGGCGAGCGGCGCCACGTGGTCGCGCAGGGCAACCAGCGGTTCCTCTATCCGCCGCCGCACCAGCGCTACCAGCCGGAGGCCGAACATGACATTCCAGGTATATTATTAACTAAATACATTATCTGATCTTGATAGTGAGCATTTTTAAGATCGGACAACATCTGTACTGTTTAGCTGCATTTTTGTATGCGAGATTGTTCTGAGTTGAGGGTTTCTATAGTCTGTTTTTTAATCCTGTTGACTAAATTGACAGCTGTAAATGTCAATTTTCAAATAATGTTACTCTATAACCGGGTAGTGAGTGATAGTACCTACGATACCGATTGTTAGAACACAGATTAAAAAAAAATTACGTACATATATAGTACATACTAGTGTTTCTATTACTGTCGTTGTATTATTATAAAAATCTTTTTATGTTGTTTAGTATATAAATAGTAATTTTTACAGTATTATGCTACAAACTAACATCTTTTTTCTTTCAAACCGCAAAATATTTTTTATATGTGTACGTGTTATGATATATGACACTATAAGAAGTTCATTTGTTTTATATACTAGGCAGTTAGGTTTTTTATTTTAGTGAAAAATAAAAAAAACCTATATTGATACAACAACCAAATATTTATTCATTCCTATATCTACATTATTAATTTTGTATGAATGAGTTTTAAATACACATTATTTCTGAATAATCCATATAAATGAATAATTAATATTATATCCGATAGTACACAACTCTATTTAAAAAATGCAAAAACCTGGCAACATCGTTAATGTTAAATTTGTTTCTAGGATTAAAAACAGACTAAAATTAAGTAAGATCGCATAGTGTAAGTAATATTATTGTAGGCGGGAGTACGTCAGCGGGCACGACAGGCTCGGGGGCCGCGGGCGGCGCGGGGGGCGCGGGCGGCGCGGGCGGTGCGGGCGCGCCGCCGGCGGCGGGCGGCGCGGGGCCGGGGGCGGCGCCGGGGCCGGGGGCGGCGGCCGCCTTCGCGGAGGACACGCTGGGCGCGCTGCCAGCCGGCTGGGAGCGGCGCGTACACGACGGACGTGTCTATTTTCTCAATCACAAGAATCGCACCACGCAGTGGGAGGATCCTAGGACGCAGGTAATATTTTTGTTGTACTATTGTATGTTTGACGACCTCGGTGGTCTAGCGGTCAAGTACACCGCTTTACGACCGACGGTCGCGGGTTCGATTCCTCGCACGGCACAAACATTTATATTCATGAGTATGATTGTTTGTATCGGTCTGGATGTTTTCTATGTATAATATGTATGTATTTACAAAAAAAAATATCTATGTATTTGTATCAGTTATCTAGTACCCATAACACAAGCTCTAGCTAGCTTAACTTGAGTCTAGATAGCTCTGTGTGAATTGTCCTGAGATTATTATTATTATTATTACTATAGTTACTATATAGTATCGTCCTCACTAATGCACTCGTGTGCGTCGAGAAATCGAAACCTCAAAAATCCAAAGCTTAATTTACGTATTGTATTGACGCGCGTAAAATGCACGTTAATACAACATCGCAATGCGAATCGGTAGTTATATTTTCATTAGTCCCAGATATTATTAGAATTGTTTCGTGGTCAGGGCCAGGAGGTGGGCGCGCCGGAGGAGTCGCTGCCGCTGCCGGCCGGCTGGGAAGTGCGGTTCACCGAGGAAGGCACGCGCTACTTCGTGGACCACAACACGCGCACCACCACCTTCCAGGACCCGCGGCCGGGTGCACCCAAAGGACAGCACGGCGCTTACGGAGTACCGCGCGCGTACGAGCGATCCTTCCGATGGAAGCTCAGCCAATTCCGGTACCTCTGTCAAAGTAACGCGCTGCCCAATCACATTAAGATTACTCTATCACGCCAGACACTGTTCGATGACTCTTATCAACAAGTAAGTGATTTTTTTATTTCGAACAAGCTAAATATGATTATTTTTATCCTTATTACAATTCTATGTATACTGTTGCAGATAATGAAGTTACCTCCATATGAATTGCGTAAAAGGTTATACATAATATTCAGAGGAGAGGATGGTCTAGACTATGGTGGCGTCAGCCGAGAATGGTTCTTCTTATTATCGCATGAAGTGTTAAACCCAATGTACTGTCTCTTCGAGTATGCTAACAAGAACAACTATAGTTTACAAATTAATCCAGCAAGCTATGTCAATCCCGATCACTTGTTGTATTTCAAATTTATTGGCCGATTTATAGCGATGGCGCTCTATCATGGAAGATTCATTTACTCGGGTTTCACGATGCCATTCTATAAGAGAATGTTAAACAAAAAGCTTACTATGAAGGATATTGAGTCGATTGACCCCGAATTTTATAATTCACTTGTATGGATAAAAGAAAATAATATAGATGAATGTGGACTTGAAATGTGGTACAGTGTGGATTTCGAAGTGTTAGGCCAAGTTATTCATCATGAATTAAAACCGGGTGGTGACAAGGAACGCGTTACAGAGGTATGTTATATTTATATTACTATTGACACTTAACTGCTTATATATCTCTCTTTATCACCTTTTCGTGTACTGCCACTGCCCGCTGATTATTTCTAATGTGTGTTTATGGGAGCGTGTCAAAGCCAAGTTCAAGTAAAAGAACTGGCGACCAGCACCGTGTGTAGTTTTACACGAACCATTTGGAGCCACTTTTTATCCCCTCATAACTCAAAAATTCTTTCACATAAACCTGTCAAAATTTGGTAAATGTATTGAGACTTGCGAGATAAATATGTGTTCCAAATTTCATAAACATATCTCAAACTGTTATTTAGATATTAACATCCAAAAATCGTCATTTTTATCATTGGCTCAAATATAGATCAAAATTATAATCCAGTTTCCGATGACGTAGGAAGTTCAAATTTGGCATGCAGATAGATAATTAAGTAAATACAAAGGAAAAAATGGTAAAGAAAGAAAGTGGTAAATTGTTATCATTTTATTATATTTTGTCACTTTAATTCTTACTATTTCAACTTATATTGGACGAATACTAAAATTCTATGAAATCATCGATAGCCACCAATTTACGTTAACCCCCTCACATCATTAGCGATAACTAGCAAACTTTAACAAATATTGCATTCAGCGGTAAACACTAGTTACTATAATTAGAATGTTTAAAATATACTCGTACTTATAACTAAAGTATAGTCGAATTTCGTATTTATTACGTTATTAACTGAGATTTAGTATTAATTATTGTTTAAATATTTAGCGCATATCCATAGTGTAAGATCATTATTTATGAATAATTATTAAATAATAGGCATTTCGGTATGGGGCGCGCGGTGCGACGCGGCGCCGCGCGCCGGGTGGGAGCGGAGCGATAAAACGTTGACGCGAACCTATCGGATAGAGTGGCAGCCGCGCTCATAAGCGCGGGCGCCCTCTTAATGTTCTGTTGTCTCCCGATATCTAACCTATAAAGTTGCGATTTACGCTACGAAATTCGTAGTTTTCTGAAATTATACTTATATATTTGTGGTTATATTATTATTACATTCTTTTAGTAAATACGTATGGTATAGGAAATAGTTTAAATAAAAAAAATAATAACAATTTTAGTATACTTATAAGTAGGTATGTATGGTTAACTCGAGAATGAGTACATCTTAACAATTTAGATCCAAGTCACGCACGTTATACCGCCCCGATTTGGCCAAAAATTGCTGATACTGAATGGGCAATGCACTCGAATGTTTCAAAAGTACAAGAAAATATCGAAAATAAAAGAAAAAGGACAATTATACCCCATAAATGTATGAAAATGCAGTAGTTTATCAAAAATCGTTTGGTATTAATTATGTTATAAATAAGTACCTACTAATAATTTATGTACAAAAAGTAATGATATCCCATCAAAAACATAAATGTGAAATGATAGCCAAGTTCAATTTTATGATATATGCATTTATTGTTGACTTCAACGACAAAAGTGAGATCTAAATGGGTGCCAAGTTCAATGGTCTGTCCTGATATGTATTTATAACAATATAAAATATCATTTCTTCTTATAACTTAGGATAATATATTGTAGCCTAAGGTCTGACTTGGCTAGTTTTCATATACGATTTTTTTATAAAATAAATGATTATTATATGGTTGGACCATTTAACTAAATAAATTTTGTATTAAACAGTGTAAAATTACATTTTTGTATTTTCCATATATGTATATATATATGTATATATATATATTTTTACGGTATTAATCTACAAACTATTTTTTTCTTTGAAACAGCTAAATATTTTAATTAGGTTTATTATATGAAATATAACAACTATTATATAGTAGTATATATAACGTATAATAGTTATTAAATTATTAATATATAACAAATATTAATAATTTAATAACTATTATACGTTAATAAATGAAAAATTTCGACTTACGAATGTAATTTGTTTTATTAAAAAGGTAGTTATGTCTTTGTTTTAGTGAAATATATGACAATAAAAAAAACAAATTTGTCACTGAAATAAAAAAACAGACTAAACTTACTTTTTTTTTTAATATTACAGGCCAATAAAGAACAATATTTACAATTAGTAACGCAGTGGCGCATGACCAGAGGAATAGAAGAACAAACAGCTGCATTTTTAGAAGGATTTAACGAGGTAATTAGTATCTGAAAATACAAACTCGCAAAACTTTTTATAATATTAGTATAGATGAGACTTCTACTACATGGCTGGGTAACATTTTTGCAATTATGAAAAAAATTGAGTATAGAAAGTGTAAGTACTATACATGTGTAGCTAACATTATAATCAATACTAAGCTGTTTTGATTATGAAAATACAATACAAGGTCCACTCTACTCACAATATTTTTGTTTCTCTTTCAATATTTGGTAGCATTTGTTTTAGTGTTTCTGTCGCAATTATTGTTTAAAAACTTTAAGCTATATATGAAATTGTATTCACAATTGATTGTATGGCAAATCTCTATAATATAATAAAAATATTTATTGAATCATCATTCAATATACAAGTTAGATGCAGCCCAGACTCCCAAACTAGTATAAACTGTATGTATCATATCTGTTAAATGTGACTTATATTATTGGCCTAATTTTAAGATGTGATCTTGTTTGACAGGTAATAACACTGGAGTGGCTCAAATACTTCGATGAGCGCGAATTAGAGTTGATGCTATGTGGTATGCAAGAGGTAGATGTAGATGACTGGCAGCGGAACACTATATACCGGCACTACACACGTACCAGCAAGCAAGTTGTCTGGTTCTGGCAGGTATGTTATTCGCAAGTTAATTTAGCAACTTGACATGCAATACACTTAAGATAGAACTAGACATGATAATGATTTAATAAAAAAATTTTAATATGCTAAATTATTGTAAATAATGTATATCTACTGTAATCTTTTATAGCAATACAGGAAATGAAAAAAAATGTAACAGTAATTCTGTGTTCTATTACTTTGATAAAGTGCCCCAATAAGTTTGACGTACATGTATATCTTTCATGTACAGACAGCACTCAGTAGTGCTATTCTGTAAGCATCACTTACGAATTCGAAAGCGGAATCCGTGGTGAGATTTTACCTTGTTATTCTGTAAAACTCGATAGCGACTGCAGTGCCACTCGCTCGAGAGCGTGATGGAGGTAAAACAGGTACTAGTGATTTTAGAAATATAACCAAACTCGGTAGCTAATTAGAAACTTTATATTTACAAATGGATAGGAGTGCCTTGGGTGAAAACCTTACAGAAAACGAATGTAGTTAGTGTTTATAAATTTGGGATATCTAGTATATTATTATAGCGATCTATTGTATATTATTTGCAGTTTGTTCGTCAAGTAGACAATGAAAAAAGAGCGAGATTGCTTCAGTTTGTGACAGGGACATGCCGAGTGCCAGTAGGAGGCTTTGCAGAGCTCATGGGCTCAAATGGACCACAGCGTTTTTGTATTGAAAAGGTTTGTATTATAAACAGCTGTAACTCTAGTGTGGTTCAAGTTCACATATGTGTTCAAAATTTTTGTATTTTAAAAACTTAATCCTTTTTCTTTTATAAATATTTCTTAAAAAACGAAAAACAAAACTATAGTCTAATTAGGCATTAATTATAACCACTATTAGTCCGCAAGTAGAAAAAGTAAAAGACAGAACAGTACCGAAGGTAGGTTGAGGAGTAGCACTTAAATATGTAAAAAATAAAAACAATATTCAGTCATTTCCTTCTGGTTGAAATTGCTACTGACTTTCCCTAAGTTTCATAAGAGAACTGTCTTAACCATCTTAGAAGTTTTGTACCGAGAGAACATTGGTCACTTTGACCTGTTCATAGACCACGGGCCATTGATATTTTGATAATATTTAATTCGTATTAGCATTGTTAATTTAAAAATCCACAATTATATTAATTAAAAAAAAACTATGAATACACAAATAGTTTGAGTTTGAACTAAATAAAATCTGCATATTAGACATGAAATGTAAATAATATTACTGTCACCTTTTACTAACCACGATATAAATATTTTAAACTGTTATTGTTACATGGGTATTTGTTTCAGGTTGGCAAAGATACCTGGCTGCCTCGATCACACACCTGTTTCAACAGGCTCGATTTACCGCCTTATAAAAGTTATGAACAGTTATGCGAAAAATTAAATTATGCTATTGAAGAAACTGAAGGATTTGGACAAGAGTGAATATAATACTTTTTTAGAATTAGACAAATAATGTAAATTATTAGCACATTAATATAATTGCACCACCTCAAGGAGAGGCATTATTTACCAATGGGATTGGTGCTGTCATTAAAGACCAACCAAATATTTGTACCAATATTTTATCACATGCTGCAGTACTCGCTCAGCGAGAACATACCAAATACAACTGAGCTCATCACTCAATTTGTTTTTTCACTATTGCACTATGATGTATTGTTTCACTAGTAAAACATATGGAATGACTAGTCTATATAAGTACAGAGAAAATGTTTCCATACTTTTCTTAATTCCATTTAGTTTACTAGTAGACAAAATAATGAATTTAGTGTATTCATTCAGTATGTGGTATTGCAACTTTCATATTAGCCACATACTGTTATTAGAGAGTAGCAGTAAATTGGCACGGGCTTTTGTTTAAATCGCGCCTACAGAAGAAGTGTTATACAATAATTATAATTATGTAGATATATTTAGAATACTATTCAATTATATAAGAAATATTTTTTTTAAATAAGGTGGATACTCCAGGTACTAGCAATGAATAAATTTATTTACCATGGGTTTGTTACCAATGATGGACTATATATTTGGAAAGGACTTTTATATATGTGATACATGAAATTGATTATGATGTCATCTATCGGAATCTATTTATACCAAGGAATAATTATGGCATGTTAATGCCTATTTTTCTACAATGATACTATTGAAACTTATCTAGAACAAATAGTGACAAGGTTCTACTGCGAATAAAAATTAGCTCCCTTTAACACTGATTTTAAAAGTTGACCCAATATAAAAGAAATGTGTATATGTATATGACTTACATGGGCACTTATTTGACTGTTTTAATCTAAATATGAGACATTGTTTTCTTGCAATTTCTGTGAAAATTAATTATAATAAAATTATTTACTTTTATTATATACGTTGTTGGTAAGTGATACTGTATCGTATGTATAAATCGCCACATATGTACCTGTTCATTTGAGTTATTTAACTTCATGTGTGTATATATATATACGGCAATGCAAGTCTATATAACTTGCTTTTCCATAAGTAGAGGTTTTTGGTGTAATCAGTTTTTAACATACAAATGTAAATGACTAGATAAATTATGTGACTGAAATTCAACTTTGGGCCTTGAGGTTATTATTAATATTAAGTATTTAATTATTTTATGAAGTAGCTAATAACTGGAGGTTTCACATTGTATTTAACAAAGTTCATTTACAAAGTCATAAATAAAAGTTATATGTTGTAATATTTCGTTTTTTTTTAATACTGTCGCCATAGGTAGAGAACAAGCAGACGTAACATTAGATCAATATTATATTCACTTCTAGACAATTCAGGTAAGTACATATATATATATATATATATATATATATAATTAGTAAAAATTACGGGATCTTACCACGTTTTATATATATTTATCGAGTTCCCGATATTTCAACTGCCATGATCACGGGTAAACAGTTTACCCGTAAATAAATATAAAACATGGTAAGATATAGGATCTAAATCATAACCGCGTCAAATTTAAAACAGTATATATATATATATATATATATACTGTCATGACTGTTATCCCAGACAGGGTATCGTCGTGTAGTTTCCAGCAATAGATATCGTCAACTGGCCATTGCCAGTTGACTAAATATTACGTTTACTCAGAAAAATTATCGATAATAATAGATCTGCCATTCGATCAACTGGGATTAGAGTTTTCAATAGGGATACGCATTTACATTTAGGATATAGCTAGCTTATACCCTAATAAGTAAATAAACACTGGAGTGTACACTCGGATTTCAAATGTGTAGGAAGGGGTTTAATTATGGCAGTCTGAGGAGGCTATATTCAGTAATTAACAATTATTATCCGACACAGATATGAATACTGTCTATGCTAACAACGATTACTATCTAAACAGTAATGTTGACGCATCAACATTTACTTTCTTTTGTGTCCTTGAATATATTTTTCGATTGTATCGCGGCTATGGCATATTAATATGCCCAAATTTTGCTAGCTGTATTTGAATTCAACGTGCCAGCGGGCGAGCCCACACCTATCTTTTTTTTTTTTGTTATGATTACGGTGTACTGTTCACCGAAGAGTGAGTCTGGGGCACTCTGGGGCCACATGTTTCTATTACAAACATTTCTCTATCATTCAGTTCAAGATATTACAATTGTTGCGAGAAATTGATTAAGAAAATATAGAGTTAAAGACTTTTAAAATATATAAAGTAATATATTTAATGTAATAATATAACGTAAACATAAGAATGAGATAAAAACAACTGGTATTCATAAATTTATAGCAATAAATATATTGAAGCAAAAAATATTTATGACAATTTTAGATTTGCGAATTTTTTTGCTGCATTAATAGCGTCGTTTAAAGAATTAGGATTATTTCCAGAGGCTTGAGCGGATTCAGACTTTCCACCGCCTTTTCCACCAATAATAGTTACAACAGATTGAATCCATTCAGATGCCAGTAATCCTTTTTCAATGGCATTTTTCGGTACTGCAGCAAGGCAAAATATTTTATTAGTATCATTTTCAACAGAAAAGAACATAGCAGCAGTGGTTGGACACAATTGTTTCACTTGTTTTAATGCACCGTCTAGTGCTTTAGTATTGCCAAAAGCTTTCAATTCAGCAACAATAACTTCTAAACCTTTATTCTGAAGACAAATTTCTTTTGCTTTTTCTGTTACCTGATTAATAATAATTGTTTTGGAAGCTCTTTCTTTGTCATCAAGTTGTTTTTTTATATTCTTTAACATTGTTCTTAATTCCTCTTTTTTCCAATAGGATATCTGTGCTTGTGAGATATCATTTGTAAGCTCAACAATTTTTTTAAGAATTGTCTGTTGTAAATTGTCCCCATGAATTTTTATTATTTTAGCAAGATTGTTAACTTCATTTTCCAAAATGGTCAATTTATTAAAAGCTTTAGTAGCATCAGGTCCAGTAAGTGCTACAATTCTTCGAATACCTTTAGCAATTCCCTCTTCACTTACGATAACATATTCACCGATGTGTCCCGTTTGGTGTAAATGTGAACCCCCACAAAATTCAACAGAAGTCTCATAACCTGCAAGATCATCTGGGTTATTTTCTAATTCTTCTACCGAAATTCCTACCGAAACAACACGAACAGGATCTGGATAATGTTCATCAAACATAGCTCTTAAGCCCTTAATTTTTTTAGCTTCACTTAAACTGGTATGTTTGGCATATACTTTTTTATTATCGTTTATTATTTCCTTAATCTGATCTTCAGCTTCTTTGATTTGCTTGGTAGTCATTGGACCTTTATTAGTAAAGTCAAATCTAAGCCGATCTGGCATGACAAGTGAGCCACGTTGGTCTGAGTCATTACCAAGAACTTTTCGCAGTACATTATTTAATATATGAGTACCTGTGTGATTATTCATAATAAGTCTTCTTCTTTCTGTGTCAATATGCAGTGATAAATTATCGCCCACTTTTAATGTGCCTTCTATTTTACCAGTATGTAACACATAGCCACCTTTCACTTGCACATTTTTTACTGTAAACTCTGCACTATCATCTTCAATTTTTACCATATATCCTTCATCATATATTTGACCACCTTGTTCTGCATAAAAACTTGTACGATCCAATATGATGCCACAATTTTGTCCAGAAATAACTTCATTCACAAATTGTTTATTTATTCGAAGAGCAACAATGGTGGCAGTGCATGGAGTAAACTTATAAACTGCATCTTTTTCTACAGTGGAAGGCACATAAGCATATTTTGGTGAATCATCTGTAATTGGAACTTTAGTATCTTGCAAATGACTAATGGCATGTATATCCAGTGCCAGTAAGTCTTCATTACCAGCAGATTTGGCTTGAGATGCTAACTGAGATTCCTTTTTTGCCTTTTCATACACTTCCATATCAACAGAGAGACCTTTTTCCTCACACATCAATTGAGTAAGATCAATAGGGAAGCCATATGTATCATACAAGCGCCAAGCAATATCTCCAGGTACAATTTTTGAATCATTTAACTTTTCAACTGTTCTGTTTAGTAAATTTCTACCACGGGATAATGTTTTTAAAAATTGTATTTCTTCTTCATTAATCAGGTGAACAATAGACTTAGGATCTTTTTTAATTTCTGGAAAGACATCACCTAATAATTCTACAACAGTGTTTACAAGGGAGCCAAAAAAACCTGGTTTGGCATTTAGTTTTTCAGATGCATAACGTACAGCTCTTCTTAAAATTCTACGCAATACATATCCTCTGCCTGTATTATCTGGGTACCCTCCATCAGATAAAGCAATAGTTAAAGTTCGTGCATGATCAGCCAAAACACGATATGCCATGTCAATTCCATCTACATCGTCAATACCAACCTTTCCCATATAGGGTCTAGCTCCTGTCCCATTTTCTATTGCTTTGAATAAGGGCATAAATAAATCCGTATCATAATTTGCTCTCTTATTTTGAATTACAGATACTAATCTCTCAAGACCTAATCCACAGTCAATGTGCTTTTTAGGCAAATGCTTTAAAGTTCCATCTGATTCTCTGTTAAATTGTATAAAAACTAAATTCCAAATTTCCAACACATCTGGATCATCCATATTCACTAAATGAGCAGCTTCCCGACCTCCAATCCTATCATAATGTAATTCAGAGCATGGACCACAAGGTCCTGTATCTCCCATTTCCCAAAAATTGTCTTTCATACTACCTGGGATTATATGGGATTCTGGAAGTCCCAAAGACAACCAGATATTTTTACACTCTATATCAGGCTCAAGACCTGCTCCTGCATTGCCACCAAAATAAGTAACATACAGTCTTTCTGCTGGTAATTTGAAAACTTCAGTTAACAACTCCCAAGACCATGTACATATCTCTTTTTTAAAATAATCACCAAAGGACCAGTTCCCCATCATTTCAAAAAAAGTATGATGATAAACATCTTTACCTACATCATCTAAATCATTATGCTTACCACCAGCTCTGATACATTTTTGGGTATTAACAACTCTTACATATTGAGCCATATCTGAATTTGGGTCCACTGAACCTAGAAAGATGGGTTTAAATTGATTCATTCCTGCATTTGCAAATAATAATGTTGGATCATCCAGTGGAATTGTTGAGGAAGAGTGAACATATTTATGTCCTTTATTAATGAAAAAATCAATGAAAGTTTTTCGAATTTCACTTCCAGACATAGATGTATCCATTGTAGCCAGGATTTAGCTGTAACAAGAATTTTTTTATAGTAGGTATTATGTTATCATTAGCAAATGTAATACAGTGGACCCGCAGTAATCCGACTTGGTCTATTATTTATTATTGAATGTTTTTTTGACAATCTTCGCTAATACATGATTGAACAAGTTTGAACTTGTACGCATCACCACTGTTGTACTTGATGGATCCGGTATTGTTTTGATTATGATTGCTTAGTTTGAATTTGACTACTTACATGTGATGAAGATAGCAGTGCAGTATAGCATGTGTTCGTTGTTTATTGTTTATTCACACATATACATATCAGCTCAGAAGTGAAAGCACAAAACACAATTAAAGTAAAATGTGATTTTTAGTCAGCCTAAATCGTAACTAATCTTTTAGTAATTGACATACATAATGAAGCAAGATTTGTACTTCAGAGGACATATACATACATATATAACATAGAATCATATCACTGAATCTGTAATTTGTCAGATTACAAGGTACTCTTTTAAAAAAAAATCCGAACTACAGGGTTCTCTTAGGCCTCCTCTATAATCAGCCAAATTCGATAGTCCGACACTGCCCTGCAAAACGTTTGTCGGATAATCCGGGGTCCACTGTATTAGAAAAAAATGCTGCAAAATTAAAAAAGTGTAGGTACACTTTTTTAATTTAAATTTAAACATGAAAGTTTGTGAAGTTAGCTAGATGAATCAATGGATGTTTGTTAGTCTTTTACATTAAAACTATCCAAATGAAATCTGAACACAAATACAGCATATCCTAGATTAAGACATAGAATAAATATTTTTAACCTGAAACAGAAAGCAGATTGAAATACAGCTAATCATTGGTCATAAAGAGTTAAACTCTGATAGACTTATCTACCCACAGCATAAAAGTTCAACAAAAAGTTCTTTAAAACCATTATAAATATATATATATATAAAGTCCCCAAATGTAATGAAACACATAAATTATTTATGCAGGTGCATAATTTTTAATATTATAATACTTTCAAATACTGTCCAAAATTTTAAAAAACTTAAAGATTTTCTAAACTTTTTTTGACAATTTAAATATCAAATAAAACACTTCCTCTGCAAAAAAGCTTACTATAAAATAGAAGAATTTGTTAACGATAATAATGTTTTTGTAGAAAAATTTTAAATACATAGCACTGACAATATTATCTGATTACACTAATAATGAGTGTGTAGCGATTTCTATGTTGATTATCGCATACTTCTTACTTGTTACACTGTAATTATTTATATAAAAAAAAAACATCTATTAAAAAGAGCAACACACAAGTTTCTTGCTCATTCTTCTTGTGATGAATCTGCATTTCGAATGAGTGGTAGAATCAAAATATGACTATTCAAAAGTGCTTGTAATGAGTTTATTTGAATAAAGATTATTTCTATTTGTTTACCATAATAAAATAAGAGATGAGTTTCAGAAAATTTCTAACCTTTTTAGTACTATAATTTAAAATTATTTAATAATATAAATTTTGGGATTTTAAATAAAAACTAAATATATAGTGTTCTGAAAGTTCTGATATGATTCCCATATGATTGAAGATAAATGTTTAATCTTCTCTGAATCTGGTATAAATAGACACTTACATACCTTTTTAATATTATAATAATATTACTTGACTACATTGCAATAGAAGTTAAAAATTTTAAAAAAGTCACTAAAGGGATTTCAAATGATTTTCATTTCTATGCAACTTTCAATATATGGAGTTTTTTATTTGTTGGCCATTTTTTATAATTTACATTTAATATCTTTCTAATACAATTTTGAAATAATACAAATAAATACTGTATTAAAAACTACTAATCTTAATAATATTATAAACACAAAAGTTTGTGAGTATGGATGTTTGTTACTCTTTCACACAAAAACTACTAAACACTTCTAATTAAACTTTACAGTAATATAGCTTATGCATCAGAACAACACAAAGGCTATATTTTTTAAAAGTTAGATAAATGTGTTACTATGTCCATTTAGTAAGTACTTATATATTACTGATGATAAAATGTTTGTTTACAATTTCTGTAAATTCTATTGAAAAGGAGTATACTTGACCGAGTGAACTTCATATCAGTTAGAATATATTAAAATACAACTTTGTAACTTGTGATGTGGTAGCTTCACCAAGAATGTCATCTAAAAGTAACATAAGTAACTCATACAAACATTACCCATAGAAAATATTATTTTTAAAATTATTCGAATATTTAGCCAAACTTTAACAATTAGCTTATTTTTTTAGTAATTGCATCATTCATCTTCAATAAAAAATAAATATAACCACACATTATTATACTGACAATTTATTGAAAATAATTGCATAAAAAAGAAAGAATGAAAGAATGATTTAATAAAATTTTCTAAGTATATGATTATTAAATAAAATAGGAACATAGTTTTTATTATAACATATGGTAATAAGCATATAGGATTCTTACAATGACTGTAATAAAAGTAGGTATATATATATATATATATATATATATGATAATAAAAATATTACTACAACAAACAAATAAAATTTTAATATAATATCTAATATTTACCTTTTTCAATTAATATTATTAACAAAATGTAATGTGGTGTGGTATGTTAACCGTGTACTTTAAATACATTAAGCAGTAGAGATTAAAACAGTTTCTGTTTTACAATCTCTCGAATACTTAACGTACAACGAAAAGCATGCTTAAAAAGACATAGAGACAAATAGATAACTTTTCTAGATAATACGCTTCGTTTTAGCTTTAATAGTCGAATCTAGTGTTTATAAGGGCAAAAACGTAGTATATTATGCTACTTGGTACTACTAAAGTATAAACAATAAGTATGGCTAATTTACTAATATCGTGCGGCAACATCGTTACTTGATTATAAAAAATAGTACCATTGTCTATTAGGACTTGAAAATTTCATTCACACATATTGCATTATTATTTCTACATTATTAGTACTATTAAAGTACAAATATCGCTATAATGTAAACCCCTTGTCGTGAAGCCATTAAATATAAGAAGATTTTAGTTACATTTTATCTGTCAAATAGTCGTGTACAATTTTTAGTTTAGTAAAGCTTAATAATGAAACCTAATAATGGGTAAATCTAGTTTTAATTAATTCAATACTATATTCATATCACCCCTGCACTGTTAAGTTTATATTATACGCGTAAGGTTGAAGGGAGATATATGGTATTATTATTACATAGTGTAAAACAAAGTCGATGTCGCTGTCTGTGTCCATATGTATACTTAAATCTTTAAAACTACGCAACACAATACATTTTGAAGTGGTTTTTTTAAATAGATACGAGTGATTCCAGATGAAGGTTTATATACAGTACCTACATGTTGGAAACTATTTTATATACCTTTTTTATTGTCTACATTTTTTATAATATTATATTGTTTTTATATGACATAAGTAATTATTACACAAATATTCTTCAACTATAACGGTGCCGTTTGCTTTTGCTCGTCGTCTTGGTCTCCATCCTTCACATTTTGGTCCTTCGAGCCGACCTTCACAGTTTGATCCTCTATTGCCGAAGTATTTACGAGGACAATCATGCAAACGAGATTGAAGACACAAAAATATATGCAAAGCAAGGGATAGTAGCGAGGTATGTTCGGAGTCTGATATGCTCGTCGCGGGTGGGTTCGGTCGGTCACCAGAAATTGACCACTTTTTAGCCGAACCCGCGTTGATGCCCGCGGCAGGCCACCCTGAACTTATTACACCTATTCAGAGTCTCACGTTAAGCACCGAACACAAGAAATTGGGCTCCAATTCTAAATTGCGTTTGTCGGGGTCGCTACAGTCATCATCCACAGTTAGGGCACGTAGGTTGTCTGCAGAGGCACAGTTAGCTCGACAATGCATGGAACGGGAACGTCAGCAGTTCGAGCGTGAGCAAAATTTCGCCATGCAACTCGCTCACCGAAGATTTGAGTACCAACGTAAGCTCATTCATCAAGCAAGACAGGTAGAAGAGCACGAGTTGAAAGCAAGCCTAGCGACACTGAAACCAGAACGGCGCTTTAGTCGCTTGGTTAGTCTACCCCAATAACGGACTGCGTCCTGTATAAATGACGCACTAAATAAATGTAATTTTCCGACTGTTGACAATAGTGAGTCTTTAACACCAAACCTCAAACAAAAATATAGTGGTCATGATTTACCAACAGATTCAATTGCGAAACCAGTCTATGTAGAATCCAACTACGAAGCTAACCCACGTATATGTCATCGCACAACGGAACACATTGACCGTGATTTTCACGATGTAAAATTGCCTGAAGCATCGTATCATAGCCATATGACATTTATGTTATATGCTAAAAATCATGAAAATACACAATACTTTGACAACGAACCATTTTTAACATGTCTAATTCCATTACAACCGATTAATAGCAGCTTACTTCGTTCAACGTCAAACAATGTTCGATTGTCTAGGCAACCTGCATTGAATGAAGAGAAAGAGTTGTCATACGTGTTGTCTAAAAATTCGAAATTTAAAATTAACATTTCAAAGACAGTGTCACACAGAAAGTCACATATTGGTTTATCCACGTGCATGAAGACCCACACAGCTTCTCTGTACATCGTAAATTCTTCAGCTGATTTGACAGTTAACAGTTTACGACGCTTTGTAGTCTGCAGAAAAGCACACCAAAATTGAGACAGTTTGTCAGTGGATACCGCAAGTTAGCCGTGTTCCACTACCAGTTCGTGCGAGACTTTGCTGATGATATGTACTACGACTGGAAATTTATACCACCCGATTTATCGCTAGGAATCGAGTAGCTGATGTGGCCTCCAAAGGAGGCACGCTGAGGAAACCCATGCTGGACAAAAAGGCCCTACTCCATGAGGACATAATTGTGTAGCAAAATGCTACACGGATGCGACTATGTTGGAAACTATTTTATATACCTTTTTTATTATCTACATTTTTTATAATATTATATTGTTTTTATATGACATAAGTCATTATTACACAAATATTCTACAACTATAACGGTGCCGTTTGCTTTTGCTCGTCGTCTTGGTCTCCATCCTTCACAGTACATGTACACCCGTGGGAAGCCGGGGCGAGTAGCTAACAATAAATAAAATTTTATCTGTATTTGTTGGCTAATATTAAAACATACAATTATAAATATAAGACACTGTTATAAAAGTTAGGTTTGTTATTAATTAAATAGCATGCTTGCATGATTAAGCGCAACAAGCTTTTGTTTATGCTTGCACTCATCTCTATTTTTGTAAAAAAAACTCCTTCGAGGCTCCACGCGACTTTCATATATACCATAGTTTTTTTTATCCTTATAGGAAAGGCAAAGAGTATAACTCCATACAGCCGTCGTATTCTAAAAATTACTCTCTAGCGTTTCCGAACGCTTGTAAACTTTGTTTATACTGAAATTATGCGTGGTTGTTTGTTAAAACGTATATAAAATAATTAGATATAGATACAAATGAATACAGTGCTGTAACATCACAATAAATTGTTTTTAATTGTATTATAAGTATATGTAAGGAAACCACAATTTTTGTGATGTTTAATTTAAATATATTATTGTTAAAACTCTTGTATATCCTGGTAACATTATTCCTACAAGTCGACTAAAGGACTTGTATCCATGGTCACGAATAAGGCATTATTAAAAAAATATATATAACAAACTTGGTTATTGACATTATCCATATTTTTTTAACTATAAATTAATGAAAAAAAAACGAAATTTCTGTCACAAACTCATAACGAAACCAAATATCTATGTCTATGTGAAATACCGCATTGCTACAGTTTTTCCATTGCCTTGCATAAGTCATAATTGTTATTATTTAGTAATTAAAGTTTTAATTACTATAAATTATTGACATTAACCAATTCATTATAACTATTTTATATAATAATAATGTTGGAGGTATCGATATTTTCATGTCTTTTAAGTATTTTTTGGCTTCTATTACACACTACTTTAAAATTGCCTTTTTTGATTTGCAGTTGTAACCTGTACTCATCTATATTGCATTATATATTATATATTCAATCACAATGGTGCCAAGAAGCGTATTTAGTCGTACTATTTTAAATAACATTACTTGGCTTAATGGAAAGAAGTACTTGAGCAGTATACCCTGCTGTGCTAATGCGGTTTCTGATACTTATATAAAGACAGATAGTTCTGAAATAAATGTAATAAAAAGCACAAATGAAGACTTATCAGATGTTAATCCACATCTACCAAAAACATTTAATTTAGCAGCCTATGTCAATAAGTCTAGAATATTACAAAATTTACTTTTTCTCAATGTCAATTTAAGTAAAATTGAAAAGAAACCACATATTGCAGAAAAACTTATGAAACTAGATTTTGATGATATAAAAGATCACATATTGTTCCTTAAAGACTATGTTGATGCTGATAATATTGGAATTTTTTTTACTATTAATCCTATGATCTTATATCAATCATTAGACGATTTGAAAGTAAGAATACATTACTTACAATCAAAATGTTTTACACATGATCAAATACAGCAAATTATATCAAAAAATCCTTTTTGGCTTATGTTTAGGTGAGGTATATATAATTTTTTATTATTATAAATGGATTGAAATTATTTTATTTGTAATTAAGGGCCACACTCTTGTTGGTGGAGCTCTTACCAGATTTATATAAAATGAAAATTGTTTTCCTGTTTTATTACAGTACAATCCGTATAGACAGACGATTGGGATTTTATCAAAATAAATTTAATTTAGTAGGTGATGAAATACGATTATTGGCTACAAAACGACCAAAGATTATTACTTATAATCTTCATCATATAAACACCAACACATTTGTAATAAAGGAAGAGATGGGATTTGAGGATCATGAAATGAAGCAGTTAATTTTGCAGAAACCCAAGTTGTGGATGTTGAGTATGTATTCCAAATACATAATATCATTATCAATAGTAATGCCCCTTTACATCTTAGTCTTATGGAACGGCAACACATGAGTGGTATCACTTGTAATTAATTAAACACTCACCTTTATGTGAACAACACTAGGTCATCACATTATCATGTGATGTCCTAGAGCACACCATACTATCAATTGGGTAATTGGCTTATTAGCTGGGGGTGCAGTACTAGTCTAGTAATAAAGGGAACTAGTGGCCTCATGCAGTTCTCTCTGGAAAGGATTTTGGTTTATTCCTGACTTCATGATGCACCAATGCCTTGCCAGGGCCTGCTGTTGTACAGGTATATTCATCTAAACAAAAAACTATTTTGGTTTTTAATTAATATATTTTATAACTCACAGTATTTTTGTTTTTTGTAGATCAGAAAGTGTTATTGGAAAGATTTCACTATATTCATAATATTATGAACATACCTCATGAAACAATTTTAAAGAGTCCAGGTGTTATTCTGTGTAGAAATTTCAAGTTAAAACAGCGACATTTGTTTCTGGAGAAATTAGGAAGAGCTCAATATAATCCAAATAAAGAAAACTATGTTCCAATAATAGCTTTAGCTGAAGGTACAGATTTGGAATTCTGTAATAAATATGCTAAGACTAATATCAGTGACTTTAATATATTTCTCAAAACACTTTGATTTAACCGGTTTTTCCTAGTAAAATTTTGTTCTGAAGAGCATTAAGAGAATGATATAGAAGAGTGTCAAGAATACCAGCTACTGTGAACACTCCTCCCACTATTGCACATATATTTGTAGCTAAATGTCCAATAGACCTGTAACATAAATGTGAATGTGAATAAATAATGGATACCTCACTAAATGTTTTATTTCTTTACCGCTATGTCATTAACAATAACTATTATTTTAGATAATCACTTGAGTCTTTCGGGTCGTCCTCCTACATGATGGTTGTGGTCCTACATGATGTTTACGAGTGTGGGCTCACAACTCGGAAAGCTCTACAGTACTTTTAGTGTTGTGGCCAGATATCACTTGTACTTTCCAATATCATCATAAATATAGGAAAGGAAGGAAAGAATTTTATTTTCCATTCGAATAGCCCATAACAATTTCTTATATGAATCTCCTAAGAAGCGACTAACAATAAAATAATTATGCAGACCATTAGTTCAATTTAAATTCGATCAGTTCATTCATCAATAACCATGACTAACATAAATATATTAATAACAAGAATAATTATAGTATAATAAAAGTTGAAATAATATATAATAAGGGAAAAATGAAAAGATAAAAAAGGTGTATAAGAGTTGCAAAAAAAACAATATTCTAACTGCACAAACATACACTCGCGAGCAACCAAACCAAATGAACATGTTGGTACTTGTTTTATTTTATGGTGTTGATGTTTTTTTAAAGTTTAGGTTTCAAGCTTTCATATAACATATTATTTTTATTTAAATGTTGTATCATTTCATTTAGAACAATGTTTGAATGTAGAGATAGTGCATGAGTCTATTTGGTTGCTCGCGAGTGTAGTAGAAAGACTGTAAGTGACATCGAATTAGAAAAAAAGTAACTACGCAAATTATGTAAAATTCAACCAATGTTTTTAAGTACCTTTCCTTCTCAGTGTATTTAACCATTAATGGCGATAGTTCGTAACTGAAAAAAGCTCCGGGCATTCCAGATTCAGCATGGTTACCAGAAACGGACTTTTGATGTCTTGTTACTGAAAACTGATTTGTATAAAGAACTGTCTTATCCAGTTTAATATACATTGTAGGCACTATTTTTAAGTAGTACTGGAACATAACAGCACCTGGAAATAAAAGTATGGAATGTTCTTTCTTTTCCTACCTACCTTTTACCTCTACTGTTGACCTGGATTTACAGTGGTCGATTATTAAAATAATGATTTCTAGTCTCACTCTTTAAAGCAAAAATCATTTATTCATGTAGGACATTTTAGAGCTTTGTGCCAGTTTGCGGGAATTTCTCGTTAGCTAGTCAATATAGCTTCATACGAATATCTGGGGATTAATTAATTAACGACTAGCTTATATGTTATTAACTACTAGCTGTTACCCGCGATTTCATTCATGTAGAATTAAATTTTTTGAAATAAAAGTAGCTTAAGTTACTCTTTATAACATTAGCTATCTCCGAGTGAACCTTGTTTAAATCGGATCAACCGTTTCAAAGGTAACAAGCAGTGGTTAGACTACGTGTCGACGTCGGCGAAATTAGGGTTCGCGAGACCTCCTTTTTCTCAGTCAAGAAAACGTTAAATTACATTGGTTAAATTACGTGGAATTATAGTTAAACTAATGTATGAGTAAACGAGATTTATTGCTAATCCAATGATAACAAAAATTAGACAAATAGAAATTAAAGTAGATGAACTTGTCAGCCTTTATCCTTACTGAACTTTTTTAGGATTATGTCATAGCTAACACTAGCTGCTATTTCAGCTTCAATTGATAGAACTGATAACGCAGATAGTCTCTCTTGACTCATCGTGCTTATCAAGTAGGTCTTAATCAATTTTGATGTTGAGATTTTCTCAACTGAAGCTGTACTGACGGGAACTGTTTGTCATGATTCTATCTATCGATCGATCTACGTTATATAAACATTCGGATATATTTAAATCCCGCAAAGTACTAAACACTTTCTTTACTCGCGCAACTGTATGAAAATAAATAAAAACGGTCGACGTCGCCGGCACTTAACGCCGCCACTGTTACCAAGAACAAACATAAAGACAAATTGTTATATAATGATTTATTGATTTTGTATATACTTTCATATGCATTTAGTAAAAAGCTGTTAATTTAAAATTACAGACACTTAAATTTTATTTAGTCGTATAGGTTTTCAATTTTAACGGGTAAATACCAGGTTTGTAATTTACTATTATTTGAGAAAGCCAAAATCAATAAATTGTATCTATGATTTGTAATTCCAACTGGTAAATAGCCCCCGCTTTACTTTGTTCCCTTATAAAATTAATTATTTAATGGCATTCCTTACGTGACACTTTTAATTTAATCAATACTATAAAACACTTGGGAAATGTTTTTGGTTTAAAGTAGCTTTAATAGTTTATAGTAGTAATTGGTAATGAGTAAGGAGTAACCACGCTTTTAAAAGTGGTCCGAGGTCCCAGTTTAAAATTCGGACTTTCTGGCGTTTTTTCCATATTTATTCTGGCAACTCTGTTGATAATTTGCTCGTTTCACACAAATAACAACAGATGTAACCACTGCTTTAAGATAAATGCCGCCATAAACAATTGCAAAGGAACATGCACAAAGCATTCCACGTCGCATTCAAGATTTATTATCTAACTTTGCATATTTCATTTCAATATATTGTACCTATTGTGAAAAAAAATGCAATATTACTAAAAATAAAATTGTAATGTGTAAGCTTATAAGTTTGTTTAAATTTTCATGTTCTTTGTACAAAAATGTGTTCGACTGAAGGACTATGTATCCAAAGTCCTGAGTAAAGATTTTTTTTTATATTGACGTTTTATGTAATTGACGTTGACATTTTAAGTTACGGTATTCTGGTTATGTATGATTTTAATTGACTTTATGCACTATTTTTTATTATTCTCTGTAACGAAAATAGTAATAAAATAATAAGAGAAACTATAGGGATTTTCTGTCTATAATTACTATTACGGCCAACAGTTAGGTAAGACTAAAAATGCCGGTACCTGGAGGAATGTACCAAAATCAAGGTCCATCCTGTTTTGATAAAATGAAAATGGGTTTTATGATAGGATTCTGTGTTGGGATGGCCAGTGGCGGTCTATTCGGCGGTTTTACAGCTTTGAGGTTAGAAATGAAATTATGTTTTCAATTGTCTTATCACGTTTGTACCACTTATTGTACTTGTACCACTTATTGTACTTATGTGTATTTTATTTCTAGATACGGAGCTAGGGGACGTGAGCTAGTCCATTCTGTTGGAAAAGTAATGCTTCAAGGCGGAGGAACCTTCGGTACCTTCATGGCAATTGGGACTGGAATACGTTGTTAATATTATAGTAGTGAGCTCATATGTTAATTTTGTATATACTTAATACTAAAAATAGTTTATCAATTTGCATAATTACCTATTACAAACATAATTAAGTTAATAGTTGTTTATTTTATTTAGACACAGGTTCACCTCTAATATTTAATGGAAAAGGCATTCTATGCTATGTACGAAAGTAAAAGATTTTTCTTCCACATTAAACCTAACAAAAAAAACTTAGCTATTTCATCTAAATTATTTTTTATATTTTAATCTGTTTGAATGGGATGAATTAATAGATCCTTTGCGAGTGCAAAGAACTTTGGTGCCATTAGACACCCAGTTGATTGTGCTAGATGGTGTGTAGTTTTTATAGATGGATGGTATTGGTAAGACAGTGAGGGAAGAATGGAATTTGTTGTGATTGAATTGAAAAGTGATGACCAAAATAACAGTAATATGCAAAATACTACTGTATGTTAATTCTACTAAAAAAAGTAGCAGGTATAATATAGCAACCTTAACTTATACTGACTAAAGCATCTAGTTGCCAAGAAATTAACAAACTCACTTCACAATTGTTAGGATCATAAATATAGATGTATTAATTTCTTACCTTCTTTTGCCAGCCCAGTGACACCATCTAGAGGAGCAGTATTAGCACTTTTAATATTTGTTCCAAATGACAAATGTCTTATCACATGGGTAGTATTAAATACTGAAGACGAGTATGGTTGTACATCATGTACATGGACATGATTAATTGTAAAACTCTTGCCTGGAGCAATATGGAAACTACCACCCACCTAAAAGTTAAATATATTTTAAGTAACATTTATTAATTAGTTAGCAGTTGTTAATTTTCTGTACAATAATAGATTTACATACTCTATTTACTTCCATGTAGCCATAAATTTGACAACCTTCTTTAAGAGCTGAATTTGTTTTTTCAATGGAATCATCATCCTTGCATTGCTCAATAGTTGTTAAATCTGGTAAAGCCCATCTCCGTAACCTATATGCTTCTTTTACATCTTCACAAGTATTGCAACATCTGTAATTAATCAATGAATGGTCAAGTACAAGTCAGGCTTGTACTTGACCATTCATTGATTAAAATGTGGATTGCTAAAAATTCCTTCTGTAATGGTAGCCACAAGATTAATAAGAATGAAGATACATGTATGTATACATATAGAAATATACATAAAAGTAATATGACAAAGTTTGTATATTCCTTTTAATAATTAAAATATTAAAAGGCAATTTACAAAGTTAAAAAAATGTTATTATTATTTCCCTGTATTTTTTATATGCCTTTACCAATTATGTACCACCATGTATGTATGGTGTGGTAACACCATAAGTTCTTTATTTATCAATCCCCTATACCAATTTGGTTTGGGACCCTAAAAACCAATATAAGTATTTATTTATAATTGTATACTTACTGTGATTCATTGAAGGCAGCACCATAACAGCTTCCACAAGTAATCTTTGCAATTTCTGAATTATTTTGTTGTACCTATAAAATCATGTTAAATCTGTACAATTAATTTGCTAATGATAGTGCAATTTTTGTATTATTTTAAATATTTCAGTTTTACACATATTACAAGAAGTTTTACATTTTTTAGTAAGTACTATAGTTTTATTAATAACCACATTTTAGAAACTGTGATTGTAAACTAAGAAACTTAATCACTATAATCAGTTATTTTTATTGTTTTAATTTATATATTATCATTATATATATGTATATAACATAAACTTATCAATATGTAAGTTACAGAAAAAAAATACATAGTTACAGTGGTAGAACTGAGAGCAATTTCTTCTTTTTTGGGTTCCTCTATTGGATTTCCATCTAAGTCCAGTCTTCTTTTATGTATATTGTGGTCCATTTGAAGATGCTGCTCACCCGATGAATCCATTGCATCCAGAACTAAATCTTAAGAAATAAAACCAAACTTAATATTATAACATTACAAAATTACTATGATCGTGGTGGAATGTATTAAAAAAGTTACTAGAATTTAATCATAGTTGCTAGGAAGGTGTGTGTAGAGGTCAAGCGGACATCTAGCCATATCCGCTTGTCACCACTACAACAAATCTGGGATATATTAGTGAGCCATGTAACTACTAATATTCTTCTTTTTCCATATATATCTTGTATTTTTTATACTTACCTGTTGCTCAAATATCATATATGGATTAAGGGAAAGTAGAAGGGCAAATCATCTAATTATTATTTTTATGTTCTCGTCATACCTTCTTAGGTGTTAAACATTGTCTATATTAATATAAATATTATTAATTATATTAATATAGACAAATCGTTTATTATTATTCTATAATATAATTTGATTAAATTAGTTACAAAGACGATGATGATGATGATGTTCGTGTTAACACTTACAATTGCAGGAAATAGTAGGCACAACAATATCAAAATTTATCCGTAATTTATGTCCTCTTGACGTATCAACAAATAATTCTTCAGAAATGTTAGGCGACATGTACGTGTGAAGTTCTGATAAAAATAATAACAGCATAGTAAGAGCACCGGTTATAGTTACTGAAAGAAATAGTAATTTGTTTAGAAAAAAAAAACAATTGGTATCAATTGTGGTTACTTTGTATACGTTTTTTACTTACTGGCAGCTCCTGTCGCAGTCTTAATTCTGAAATCTTCTAAAGTTTTGGCATAGGCATCTAATTGCTTAAACCTGTCGATTAGTTGAGAAGACATGGCTGTTTATTTGAAAACACCTTAGATATAATGTTGTAATATGATATTACTGCAGTTTTAGCTACAATCTCATCTCAAAAAATAGACTCAGTATTTTTTATTTAATTTTAATCATAATACATGGGACTACAATATAAGGAATCTTACACCAAACAATTAAATTAAATGAATAAAATATTTTTTTTGTAATCTGTGACCGACTCATATTGAAGGGATGTGAAAATAATATCGACATTGTAAAAATCGTTTCTTATTTATTAATACAAGCGTTATTACTGATCGATATTAATATTCTAAAAAGTCGATTCATTCTTCTTAGACGATTTTTTTAATCACACTCACTCTTAGATCAGACACATTTTAAGCTAAGAACAATAACAAGACCAAGTGGTGACTTTACAGAATAACACAAACCAATTGTCGAGGAAAAGAGGTAGGATTGTGGAAAATAATTGATCTTATAACTTAGCCGATCTAAGTTTGGGGCTAATAGCCTTAAGTTGGTAAGTTTACGTATATCAGGGATTCTAATCTTCTCTGAACGGGCAATACTGTTCTGATTAGAAAGAGTGTTGCCATATCACCATATAACTTTCTCCTAAATTATGGCTAAGTACTCCCTAAAATTCAGGGTTTGAAGCCAATAATTAATGAGCCAATAAATATTAATCCTCAGGACTCTATTCTAGGTCCTTTCTTATTTTTAGTTTACATAAATGATCTTCCTTATATGGTAGAAAAGATAGCTGACATAGTTCTGTTTGCTGATGATACTTCATTAGTATTCAAAGTTAATCGACATATTGATGATATAGAAGAAGTAAACGGTGCTCTCTCTTATTTTTTAAAATGGTTTACTGCTAATAATATACTACTAAATGCTAATAAAACTAAATGTATCAAATATACTCTCCCCAATGTAAGGTACGATTTTTGAATCTACCGTAGATTCAAAAATCGTATTGGAAAATAAACCTATTAATTTTGTTGACGATACTGTATTTATAGGTATCACATTAGATTCTAAGTTGCAATGGGGTGCTCATTCTATAAAATTGGCGAGTCGACTTAGTTCTGCCGCTTATGCGGTAAGAAGAATTAGATAATTAACAGACGTGGCAACGGCAAAACTTGCCTACTTTAGCTATTTCCATAGCATTATGTCGTATGGTATTTTGTTATGGGGCAAAGCAGCTGATATAAATACAGTATTTATTTTACAAAAGAGGGCCATTCGCTCCATTTATATTATGGGTTCCAGGGAGTCTTTACGAGAGTGCTTTAAGGGATCAAATATCTTCACCGTTTCTTTTCAATATATTTATGAAATTATCATGTATGCCAGGAAGAATATAGACAGTTTCAAAATGTACTAATAAAAACTTACGTAACAATAAATAACTGATTTTACCTAAATGTCGTTTGGCTAAAGTTAGTAATTCGTTTTATGGCAATTGCGTAATAAGGTTTTACAATAAAATACCAGAGTCTGTTATAAATCTGCCAGAAAAAACATTTAAATGTCAAATAAAACACATCCTTTGCAAAAAAGCTTACTATGAAAAAGGCGGGAAACGTTAAACTTGGCGGGCGCGTTTTTTCTTTTGATTTAAATTTTATACATATTTTTCATTATTTAGTGATTGTGATACTGTATTTAGTTCTTTAATATCTATTATTTAGTTTGTTTATTGTAGTTAGTATAAATAATTAGCTGTTTTATTGGTAAGTTTTTCGTTTTTTCATTTCTATGGACGATCCCCCCGACCCGGGGGGATTCGTCCCTCCGGCTTCTAACTATGTTACAATTTCATGCGAATCGGGTATGGAAACCGATACGTCTTGTTCAAATCGATCGATAAAACGCAGTATATTACAAAGATTTTGTAAAAGTTGTAATAAACGGAGAAAAAAAATTCTTCAGATAAAATTACAGATTATATGTACAGATGACATAAATGATGGCATTGAAATACAAAAACCTCTCACGGAAGTGATTTCCACTCCACAATCTGTAAATTTAGATCCCCCTCATCCATCCACATCTAAAGAAACAAATGAAAATCTAGACACGCGGCAGCGTGTCAAGCCGAGTTTCAAGTAAACTGGCCTGCAGCACCGTGTGTATATTTACACGAACCATTTGGAGCCACTTTTGACCCCCTCATAACTCAAAAACTCTTTCACATAAACCTGTCAAATTTGGTTCATATATTGAGACTTGCGAGATAAATATGTGTTCCAAATTTCATAAACATATCTCAAATGGTTATTTAGATATTAATGTCCAAAAATCGTCATTTTTATCACTGATCAACTATAGATCAAAATTATAACCCACTTCCAGATGACCTAGGAAGTTCAAATTTGGTATGCAGATAGGTAATTAGGTGAATATAAAGGAAAAATCTGAAACTGGTAAATTGTTATCATTTTACTACAATTTTTCACTTTAATTGATTCTATTTCAACTTATACTGGACGAATACTAAAATTCTATGAAAACGTCGATAGCCACCAATTGACATTGATCCCTGGCGTAAAATCTCATCTTGTACTGGACGGAAAGTAATATTGTATGAAAACGTCGATCATTACCAATTTACGTTGACCCCTTCACATCAGTGTCGATAACTAGCAAACTTCAAATATTGCATTGAGCGGTAAACACTAGTTGCTATAATTTAGATTCTGTCTAGGAGTATAGTCGAATTTCGTATTTATTATGTTATTAACTGAGATTTGGTATTAATTATTGTTTCAATATTTAGCGCACATCGATAGTGTAAAATCATTATTTTTATAAATAATTATTAAATAATAGGCATTTCGGTATAGGGCGCCGCGGCGGCGCCGTGTGGGAGCGGTGCGATAAAACTCAATGTTTTGTTTCTCGATATCTAACCTATAAGGTTGCGATTTATGCTACGAAATTTATAGCTTTCTTAAATTATACTTATATATTTGTGATTATATTATTATTACATTATTTTAGTAAATACGTATGGTATAGACAATAGTTTAAACCAAAAATTAATAACAATTTTAGTATAGTTATAAGTAGGAATGTATAGTTTTAACTCGAGAATGAGAACTCATTGGTAAGAAATTGTTTTCTTGAGAATTCAATAGATAACAGTCAATTTGTTACATAATCGTCTTTACGAACTATAACGTGTCAATACGAAGTTTCAGATATTAAATAATGTATATGTTGATAGAGAACAATTCCGTATTTGCTTAACATATGCTATTGCTATCCTAGGTCCTTTACTTTTTATAATGTTCATAAATGATGTCAATTCATGCTTTAAGTTTTGCAAAATTTTATTGTATGCTGATGACCTTAAAATATATCATGTAATTGATGGTCCCAATGATCATATACATTTTCAGGAGGATCTGAATCGTTTCAGCAGTTACTGTAAAACTAACAAGCTAACACTTAGTCTAACAAAATGTAAAAGTATCACTTTCTCCAGAAAGCGAAATATAAGCAAGTTCTCTTACACATTGTGTAATTCTGTCCTCAATAATGTGGAAATAATCAAAGACTTAGGTATTACTTTAGACACTAGGCTCGTACTTGATACACATATCGATAATATAATTAATAAAGCATATAAAATGTATGGTTATGTTATGAGAACCTGTGTTAATTTTAAAAGCCCTTCTACTTACTTATATTTATACAAAAGTCTTATTCGCTCTCAATTAGAATATGCCGTAACTGTTTGGAACCCTTTTTACAATATATATTCGGATAGAATTGAAATGGTACAGAAAAAAATTCTACGCTGATTACAATATAAGTTTTACCATAGCCATCTTTCTTATGACAGACTTTTGAAGAAATTTGATTTATTAAATCTAACATCGCGACGCACACAACTTGAGATTATGTTTTTATATGATATAGTCCAAAATAAATATGATTGCACCTCTTTGACAAACCAGATAAGTTGGTTCCATCGCGAGCACAAATGAGAACGTCAAGAAAACAGGAATTGTTCGCTGTTAACAGATGTCGTACAAACTCTGGTACTCGGTCACCAATTAATAGAATTGTTAAAGCATATAATGATAACTTCTCTAATATAGATATATTTGCTACTAGACCATCATTATTCAAAAAGATGGTTGGTCAGAATTTGTCACATACCCACTTAACTTAATAGATGTTAATTTTTATTCTTAGTAATTCCTTTTTTTTTTTTATTTATTATTATTATTTTATTTTATTTCATTTTACGCTTTCTTATATTAATAGATAAGTTGCATTTTGAGTCGATATTTGTAACTTTGTATAAAATTCATCACTACTCTAGACAAATTTGCATGATTATATAATTATTGTCTTAAGTAAACTGTGATTAACGTCGTTGGTGATACATTTATCTTTCATCTCATCACATATTGTCAAAAAAATCACAAGGCCTTAGTTTTGGCAGTCCTCTTCTCAAGATAGCCTCCTCTATATTTATTAAAGGGCAGGTTTACGTTGGACTCTCCAGAGTTAAAACCTTAGATGGAGTACGTCTTAACAATTTAGATCCAAGTCACGAGAGCTCTATTGTAGAGTACAACCATCTGAGCACGTTATACCGCCCCGATTTGCCCAAAAATTCCTGACACTGAATTGGCATTGCACTTGAACATTTAAAAGTTACAAGAAAATATAGAAAATAACACAAAAAAAAAGACAATTATAACCCGTAAATATTCGAAAATACAGTATTTATCAAAAATAATTTGGTATTAATTTAGTTATAAATAAGTACCTCGTATAATTTATGTACAAAAAGTAATGATATCCCATCAAAAACATAAATGTGAAATGATAGCCGAGTTTAATATTATGATATATGCCTTGATTGTTGACTTCTACGACAAAAGAGATGAGATCTAAATGGGTGCCAAGTTCAATGGTCTGTCCTGAAATGTATTTATAACAATATAAAATATTTCTTATAACTTAGATAATATACTGTAGCCTAAGGTCTAACTTGGCTAGTTTTCATATACGAAATATATTGTAGCCTTCGCAAGTTCTAAACATGTTACTTGTCGGTTCCTATTTTAATATTAATAGTAACTAGCAATCGAAAGTAATATTGTTATAAATACATTTCAGGACAGACCATTGAACTTGGCACCCATTTAGATCTCATCTCTTTTGTCGTAGAAGTCAACAATCAAGGCATATATCATAATATTAAACTCGGCTATCATTTCACATTTATGTTTT